CTAAAAATAACAAAAAGTTATAAGAAAAAAGCTAGTAATTTATTTAATTTTGCTAGTTACTTAAATAGGTAATTACTTAAAATAAGCTAGTAATAATTTTAATTACTTATAAGCTAGCAATTTAAAATATAATTTTTAATTTAATATAACTAATTTTAACCTTTTTTTTTTTAATAACTATTTTATAAAGGAGGCTATAAGAAGTTTTTTAATAGCTATTAATAATAAAATTTAAGCAACTTTTTCTTTTAAATACTAAACAAAAAAAAGGTTATTTGCTTTTTATTACCGCCAAATATATCTAATTTTAGTTGCTATAATAAAAAGCCCTAGTTATTTATAGCCCTTTTTATTAATAACTTTTATAATGCTTCTTTTCTTTTTAATTAATTATATAGTATTCTTTAAAGTTATAAGCTCCTTTTTATATATAAAACCCCTTTTTATTATTTAAATTTATTTACTCTATTATTTAATATATTGCTATTAAATAGACTTTTTAACCCTTTTATTAAACTATATATTAGCCTAAAATTATTTTAATATAGTATCCCTAAAAAAGTAGTAGAATAGAACAACTTATATATTTTTTATATTTATTTAAATAATAATAAAATTTTAAAAAACTTAAATATTATATAATTAATTTAATAAAATTTTATATTTAGTTAAATTTATTAAAAATATTCTTCCTTTTTATATAAATATAACTTTAAGGCCTTAAATAAAGCATATTATTAACTACTTTTTTTCTAATTTACTAGTAAAAAATAGATATAAAAATAAAGTTTATAGTATCTACCTAACAAAATATTTTATACTTTTTTATAAGCTAAAAGGATTTATTTTAAATAACTAAAAACTAACTAGTACCTATATTTAAGTTGAAATAGGTTTTTTTAATTAATATTTATAAAATATGGCCTATATTATTAATATTATAATTAAATTTACTAATAAGGAAAAAGATATAATAATTAGAAATATAATACCTAACTTAAAAAATAAGCGGTTAGTTACCTTTATTATTTGCATAACTATTAATAAGTATTATATATTTTATTAGGCTAATTACAAATTTAAGAAAATTTTTATAATTAACTTAAATTATAAAGGCTATAAAAGCCTTTTAATAATTATTATATATAGCTAAATAATTTTATTTACATATATTTAAATAAAGGGATTATAAGGTATTTACCCCTAATATAATATACCTATTAAATATTATATAATTTTAAAAGCATTTAATAATAGCCTTTATATTATTAATAACTTTTAAATATTTTTAAAATTAAGAAATTATTTTATTTAAAAGCTTTTATAAATATATAAATTAAATAAAAGCCTTTTATTTATAATAAATTTTATTTAAAATGTGAAAATAAAAAGAATATAATAAAAATATAATAGTTATAGCTATTTAAATAAAATTTAAAAGTAAAAGTTATTAATTTTATTAGCTTAAAAATTATAAGTTTTAAATAAAGCAAATATTATAAAAAAAATAGCACTTTTAAAATAAAAGCTATTTTTATATTTAATTATAAATTGGTTTTTTAATTTAACTTATTTATTTTTAAGCTTTTTATTAAAAATAAAGTTAATTTATTTAGTTATAAAAAACATTTAGTTTTAATTATAGCTATATATTACTTTATAATTAGCCAATAATTTAAATTTTACTAAAAAACTTAAAGTGCCATTAAAATTTTAATTTATATAATTATTGGGCCTGCTAGCCTATATTTTATTTTAAAATAAATTCCTTTAAAAACTTTACTATTAAGTATATTTGCATAAAATTTTATAATAAAAGTAAAAAAATTAATACTTTTAAATATTACTTATATATATAAAAGTATTTTTAAACTAAATAACTTTTATAAAAGCTATATATAAAAATAAGTATTTATTATATACCTTTAAAATATAGAATATTATTTTCTTTTATTACTAGTAATAATAATAATAATTAATTTATATAATTTTATAATTTTAAGCTAATTAATACCACTTTTATTATAACGGCTAATATTAGCTTGTTATTAACTTAATTATCCTATTAGCTATTTTTTAATTATAAAGGTTATAAATATTACCTTTATTTAAGTATTTTGGTTTTATTTATAATTAAAATAAAAGTATAATATTTACTAATAAATAAACTATAATATTAACTTTTAAAAATAGGCATATAAAAGCCAAAGAAAATTAAAATATAAAATATAATTTAAAAATTAAATAAAACTTGTAGAAATAATAATATATTTTATGGCTTTTAGTATATTAATTTTATTTTTAAAACCCAATTTTATTTATTTTTTATACTTATATTATAATATTTTTTAATGCTTTTTTTAATATTTTTTATTTATATAGGTATTAAACCTATATTATTATTTATATATTTGGACATATATATGCTAGTAGAGGTATAAGTTAATAAGGGCCTTTATACTTATAAATACCCTATATAAAAAAATACTTATTTACCCCTCTTTTAGGTAGTTAGAAGAATTTAATCCTTCTTTATTTTTCTTTTAAATACGTTTAAATTGAGAGATTTTTACTATTTCCCTTTATTTCGCGCAGGTGCTTCCTTGGGCTTGCAATTAGGCGCTTAATTAGCCCACTTACGCTTTAATTTAATACTTTTATAATAAACTTTTAATATAAAACTATCTTATCTCCCTCTATTTATAATAATAATAATAAAAGAATAACTAATAACTTCTACCTTTATTATAAGCTTTTAAGCGCTATTATTATTACTATTAGTAATAATAGAGCCCTATTAAACTTATAAAAAAAAGTTAATAGTAATAATAGTAGTAATAGCCCTATTAAGGCTATTTAATTATATTTAACCTTAAATAAATTAATATTAAATAATAAATTAATAATTATATTAATACTACTCTCCCTTTACTTTTACTTTTACTACTTTTTTTTAAAAAAAATAAGGTTAACCCTATTACTATTAAACTCCTCTTTATTAGGTTCTATTTAAGCTATTTAATAATTAAAAGGACTTTTAATAAATATTTAATTATAATATTATTTATTATAATTATATTAAATTAGTTCTTTAAGTCCTTATTAAATAAACTAATATATATATTATCCCACTTAATAAAATACTATTATTATAAAAATCCTTTTATTTTAATAATAATAATTAGCTCTATAATAATTACTTAAAAATATAGTTATATCTTTATTAATTACTTATACTTCTTTTATATAGGGTCTATTTTTATCTTTATTTTAACCTCTACTTAATAATTATTAATATAAGTTAAAAAGTTTTAAGGTCTAAATCTTTATTAAATATATTTATATCTACTACCTACTTAACTATTAGTAAGCTATTTTTAAAGTAACTACTTATTAAATAATTAGTAATAGCTAAAAACCTTAATTAATAATTACTTAATTAAGTAATTACCCTATAATATAAGTATTTATAACTCTTATACTAATAATATAATCTTATAATTATATAAAAACTAAAAAAAGAGTCCCTAAAATTTAAAGAGTATATTTATAATATTATTATAGTTAAGCACTTTAATCTTCTTATTAATATCTTTTTTATAATTTTTAATTATAAAATTAAAAACTTTTAACTTATAAACTAACTAATTTTAATAAAAATATCCCTTAACTTAATAATTATATTTAAATAATTCTTATACTTCCTTTTAATTAAATCTTTAAATAAGTTAATATAATTTAATAAAAGGCCTTAAATCCCTTAACCCTTATTTTTTTCCTTTAATATAATAGTTTATTTTTTAAATTATATAATAAAAGTAATATTAACTTTTAGGCTATAAATTTTAATAAATAAAGTTAAAACTAGTTTATTTAAATATACTTATATTAAGGGGTTAATTAAGTAACTTTTAAGGTATTTAATATCATTACTATTATTATTTACTAAAAACTTTATTTTATTAATAAAGGGGTCCTTATTATTAGCACCTTTTAAAGCCTTTTTTTCCTTATTATTAAATATATTTTCTTTATTATTAACTTTAATAGTATTTTTTTATACCCTTTAAACCACTTAATTTACTATAATAGCCTTATTTTAGGCAGTTTTTAAAAATACCTATAAGTACTTTTAAGCAATTTATTAGACCTTAGTTACCTTAATAGTTAACTTTTAAATATATAACTATTTAAATAATATAATATTTTTATTAATAAATTATATAATTTAACTTTTAAATAAATCTTATATAATAAATATTAAATAGTTTAAGCTTAATAAGTTAATTTAATAATATTATTTATAAAGTTAATTAAATTAATATTATTTTATATTAAAGTAAATAAGTTATATATACCTTTATAGGCTAAGCTTAAATTAACTATATAAAATTAATATAATATTACTTTTACTTAATTAAATAATAAAAATAACTTATTATTAATATTAATAAGGTTAATAGGGGTGTTTTAGTAAGAATATTAGAGTTTCCACCCTATTAGTGAAGTTTTAGTTTAATTAAGGAACAGGGGGTATTTAACCGGGGGGGGGGCAACTCTCGTTTTTCCAAGACAGTGTCCAACCAGGGAGTGAGAAGAGCCGCCAAGGTGGAGACAGTTCTGAGTGGAGCATGGGCATGATTCATTTCAGTACTCCTTTTGAGTCCTTTTCCACCGCAACGGTAACCAACGACGTCCTTCTCTGTGATCTAAAATCTACAGGCGTTTGCTTTGCCGTCCCTGTTGTTCTCCACCAACAACCAGTTCTTTGACCCGCCACAGCAAGCCGTTGGGGAAAGTGTCCCTGCCCATCGATTGCCGCATTCAAATTGCACTTTTCCTCGTCGAGGTTCGCAATACCGATGAGATCGGGGCCGCATCCCTCATTTATCATCTCAGTTCTATGCGCCTACCTACCCTAGGGTAAATACACATCTCCCATCCCTACCTGTTACTTAGGTACTCCTTCAGCACCAGTTGGGTGTCACTTTCCTTCGATCATGGATCTGTCCAAAGGCGGTTTGGATTTGTCCCACATATTTGGCCGCACGAGTTTTTCAAGACGAAACGCTTTCATCACCGCGCTCGTCTTTTTCTCGATTGTGTACATTTACATCGTTTTCGCAACGATTCCCACGGCTCAACATGCACGTCTGATCCCTCAGAGCATACCCAAAAAGATCTGGTACAAACTAGGTCCCCGCGGGTTGACTGCACAAGTGCAGGCATGGGCCGACAGCTGCATACAACAGAACCCCGAGTATGAACACAAGTTTATGACGGACGAACTCAGCGATGCTTGGGTCGCAGAACATTTTTCCGACCACCACGAAGTCGCCGAAGCATATCTCAACCTCACAGTCCCGATACTCAAGGCCGACATTCTGCGCTATCTGCTGCTATTCGTGGAAGGAGGAGTCTACAACGACCTGGACGTCACCTGCCACGTGCCAATAGACAGCTGGATCCCCGCCGAGTATCAGGCAAACGCGAGCCTTGTGGTGGGATGGGAATTCGACGTCGGTTGGGGGGAGAACATTGTCCGAGAGTTTGCGACCTGGACGATCCTGTCGAAGCCCGCCTCTCCCCACATCTGGGCCCTGATCGAAAACATAATCCAGCTGCTGGACGACAAAACAAAGCAACTAAACCTCGAGTCGGTAGGGCAACTGACACCAATCACTGTGGGCGACGTGGTGGATACTACGGGCCCGCGCATCTTCACCAAGAGCATCCTGGAGAGCCTCGAACGAAACACACAAGCACCTGTAGATAAAGACAGCATAAAAAACCTGCTGCACCCGAAAATGGTGGGCGACGTGCTGATCCTACCTGGGTACTCCTTCGCCGCGGGGTCAAATCACTACAGTGCTGAGCAGCCAATTCAGCCTCCGCTGGTGACGCACCATGGGGCTGGCACGTGGAAAAACGAGCATGGTGGCGAGATCGTCTAAGAGCTGATATCAATGAAGCTATCAGAGGTGATGCATAGAATTTATAATGAGCGTTGTTTGTTGATATCCCCCCCAAACATTTTGATTTACAGGCCGGCCCACAGGACCAGAAGACTTGACGGTGTAAAATGGTGATTAAAAACGAAACCACTTTGACGGTGTAAAAATTAGCAAGCTTTTACGCCTCAACACTGATGCGTCAGTACTTTCATATAATGTGCCGAGATCCCATTCGCTACTAAGTACCCACCCACCTCCCTGTCATCACGTGCCCGCAGAGTCTTCTTGCACTACCATCAGCACTGTATCTCCTGTTGAAGGCTTCCACCTACTAGTGTCGTATTCTTACCATTATTATCATGATTATATACATGTCCCAAGGAAAAGAAAGTGGAAAAAAAAAAAAAAAAAAAAACTAGATCCTTCAGGCGCTCACCACTACATATAGGTATGAAAGGTACTGTAACTACCAGTCAGAACGAAACAATACAAGATCGAAAATGCAAAACATACACTGTGGCACCACGAACATAGAAGGCAAACTTGAAAGCCCGTTGAGAGCGGAAACCGCCCACCCAAGCCACGAGACGAGGCGCATTGCTCCTCTCCTGCCCAAACACCCCGGCCGGGGCAGATGGATACTACTACATCACCCGTGCCTGTCGCCACTGCTTCCTGGTTCCTGCGTGCTGCTTCTGCTGGCAATAGCTCTGTCCCCAGGATGTGGTGGGCGAGTCGACCCGACGGGCCGGGGCATACAAACACACACACACATAACGTGCACAACCTGCAGCCAGCCGGCCTGGGCCGGGCCGGCCAGAAGGGCGATTTGTGTTTGTCTGTATGGGTGTGTGCCACCCCGGGCCCTACCTAAGCAGGTACATATATACATACATAGGTACATAGGTAGGTACCTAGCCTACCTACACACATACCCTACCTCGCAGTGCCGCCTCTAGCAGCTTCGCCTTCCCTCCCAGCCCAGCAGGATCACGGCACACGACACGGCACGCAAGCGCCCCCGCTTCCCCGTGGGATGCCAGATGAGGGTTATCGTTTTCCTACCCACACAGGTTCGAACCACGTCAACCAACCAACCAACCAACCAGCCCAAATAGGACCCGACGTGCGCCCGGGCCGATCACCGATCACTCGCTCGGCCGGCGGCCACCGGAAGTAGTACCCTAGTGGACCCGCCGCGAGTCTATCCGCGGCCCGGCCGAGCGGTGCGCGTCCGGTGCGTGCATGGTAGGTACTTAGGTACTTAAGTAGGTAGGTAGGTAGGTAGGTAGGTAGGTACGAAGGTACACACACCAATGGCACAGTTGGCCATCGAGCAGATAGATAGACAGGCAGCCGCAACACGTCACAGGACTGGCAGGGCTGGGCTGGGAACCACAACTAGGGCAGGCAGGCAAGGCAGGCCGGTGGAATGAATAAGTGGCCGCGGAGGCTTCCATATTCATGCTTGCTAGCTTCTAAACGAACTTGGTATTTTTTATCCCCCCCCCCACACCACGCCCGTCCGTAGGTACTTTTCCGTCCCCGAAAACGCTTGTCCCCCACCATCTCGTGTAATATAAAAAAGTATATATACATCACATGCAGTCAGCACATAGCATAGCTAGATCGTCAGCGAACAGATGCCGGCGCATAACCATCCAGGGCAAGGGCCAGCAAGGGGGCAAGACAACCCAACCCGACAAAAAAGATTACAAAAAGCAGTAGTAGTAGTAGTAAAAAGAACACCCCAGGCCTGGATCACCGTGGCCTGTGTCCAATGTTCACCGAGCGCCGGCATGACGAGATCCCAGGACGCCGCCGTCGGGTTTCTAGTTCGATAAGGATACCAAGAAAAGATATGGATGAGATCCAGTTTGTCGTCGTGAGAAAATGCGAAGATATGTCGTCCGCGGATGGGAGAGAGAGAAAGGTCGGACGGAGGCGTGCATTGTGTTGCGTTGGCTCGGCTGATGGTAGCAGTAGTGGTAGGACGGGCCTCGGGAGCCGGCTATGAGGATCGGCGGCGAGAACCACCAAGCCAAGCCGCCGAGCTGAGACCGAAGCGAGATCCCGTGGTGTGTGTGTAGATATGCCTCGGCATGCGATGCGATCGGCAACGTTATCCGGCCTGGTCTGCCCTTTTTTTTTGCTTGTGTGTGGTGTTGGTTGCAGACAGCAAGAAACTCCACTCCACAATGAATGGGGCCCCGAACCCGTCATCCATCCACAACCGAGATTGGGAAATGAGGGGCCTCGTCGCTTCGTCGTGGTTGTGAGCGGGCACACGACACGACATGACTTTGCACCGTGAAATTACCGGCGCAGGACAGACAAATAGGTAGGAGGGCGTACGTCGCAGGCGTGGGATCGCGTCATGCGGGTTGGGCGGGCGGGCGAGCGAGCATCCGTGCTTCTCGCGTGCGAGCGTGCGTGCTTGCGCCCATCGGATCTACCTCGCACCATCAAAGCTGGCCCTCTGCGTCCTCCAGTCCGCCTGCTGCTGCTGCTGAGCTGCGCCATCCCGCCTGCCCAGCGACCCGAAGCCAGGCATGGAGCTGAAGCGGTTGAGCTTCTTGCGCTGCTCCTTTGGTGCCGTCGTCGTCTCGGACTGGCTGTGGAAGGTCTGGGCATGCGTGGGCGAGGGGCTGGCGCTGCTGTCGAACTGCGACGAGTTGTTGGAGGACCCCGTGGCGTTGGGGGTCTGGTAGATGTACTCGCCGTCGACGTAGATGGCGTTGGACACAAAGGTCGAGCGCCTGTTGCGGCGGCGGGTGTAGCGCTGCTCCAGTCGCCAGAGGTCGATCTTGGACTGGATTCGTTCGAAGAGTCCTTGGCCCATGGTTGTGGATGTGGAGGGGTTTGGTTTCTGGGGCTAAATAAAGACGTGTGAGGTCGGAAGAGGTTGTTGGGTGGTGACGGCTAATGTCGCGTGATTATATGGTAGGTAAGGTGAGCTCGGGATGGTCAGCCTGGCTGTTGGATGGTAGAGTTTCGTTGCGTCGTGGAGGAAGTCGTTGCTCGTTCGTCCTTTTCTTTTCCTTTTCGTAGGACGTGAGTTTGATTGTTGGGTTGGTAGCTAAATGACTACCCTGACTGACACTTGACTTGACTGACTGGTCGGTTGGCCGGTCAAACTATATCCGTCGTCGTACGGAGCAGGTGGGGCGTGGCCTCGGAGTGGAATCAATCCAGGATTAAGCTCCGTGTAATCTCGTAAATTGCGCGTGTTGGCGGCAAAAAGGAGAGGAAAGCCCAGGCGCTTTGTATTTCTATGGATGGCAGTTCTAGGTACGGGTGATGAAGGGCAGCGAGAGGGAGAAGAGGAAAGATAAAAGAATGGCTGGGGGGTGGGTATGGGCAAGGGAGGGAAAGAAATATGTAAGATAGCAGGTGGTCAGGCAATCAATAAGAGGAGGGCAAGAAACTGGATGGACGAGGTTGGGGTTGGGTTGATGAAGGAGGGAATTCTCGCGCTACCGTGCCCAGGTACGTACTGCGGGGAGGGGGCTAGGCCAGAAGGAGATTGGCGGGTTTTGCAATTGACTAGCCGAGTGGAGGCGGGTTGCAATGGCCAGGCCTTGTAGTGTAGTAGCATGTAACTCCGTACCTCGTGGCTGCCTTGGTTGACTGCCGATTTCTGTCTGGCAGTCTGGTTGACACGGTATTGTTGCCGTACATGAGCATGTCCACAATTCCAGGTTGATCTCGTTTTGGCCATGCATGAAAGACCCAAGAGCGGTGCGACTGCGACCCCACCACTCCGACCTGTGATGTGCTGATCAAAACAGAAGCCAAACCGGCAGAAGCACCACCAAAGCATAGCATCGAGTGGCCGGTCGATCACGAATCCACCAGACTCAGACTTGAGCAAAAGACGGACCAACGAGGAGGGACAGCAAGGGCGATAATCTTATCCCTGGCACCCAATGGGCCAGGCCAGTCCCTGGTAGTCCATTGGCGACTCGGCTGATCCCTGCCGCCTCCCTGTCCACGTTGGCTCCCCGTCCCGGGCCCTTCCCAGTTTGGGTTGGAGCTAGGCCCGGGAGAGGGCAGCTGCAGCCCTTAGCGGCCGCCCCACATGCAGGCCCCCTGTCGTCGAGCACGCGTCTTTGCTGAATGAGGAAGGGACTGGGGAAGGGGGAACTGGAGCGAGGTGGAAGGGGGGCAGCACTGGTAATCATTCAATCAGCCAGGCGTGTCGTGTCACCATGACAGTACAGTCAATCGACCAGTCAATCAATCAATCAATCAATCAATCAGCCAACCAAGGGAGCAGCAATGCAGAGTCAGAGTCAGTAAGGGGATGCATGCATGGAAATAGAAAGAAAGAGTGGGGGCCAAGAGGAGAGGGCAGAGGAAAGGGAAAGAGGGACGGGACGGGACCAGAGCCAGAGCAAGAGCCAGAGACGGCAAGTGCAACCCCCTCGAGCCGAAACGTGGCAGTGCACTCACTCAGTCAAGCCGACTGTTCAATTGTCAATTGCCTTTCAAGCCCCAGCAACAACCATCGGCCGACCGTTCGAGTTCGTATCAGAGACGGCTCAAATCACCGAACCCTCCCTGCCTTGCCCCGGATGGAGACCCAGGGCTAGACCAGCGCCAGACCAGCGCCACAAAACCCACATGTGCACCATCGAGTTCGCGCCAAGGAGCCGAGCTACTATGTAGATGCTAGACTACTGTGGCATAGCTGGTGTGTGTGTGTGTGTGCGCCGTGGGGCTCTGTTGTCGCATCACCCTCTTTGGAGTCTGTGCCAGTCAATGTCTGTCTGTCTCTGGCTGTGCTGCTTGCTGTTCCGACGGGGCGGGACGGCCTAGAACTCGAAGGAGAAGGGGGGGGCAGGCCATGCGACTGCACATGTGTAGTCACAGATAAATCATCACGGCAGCAGCAGCATTGAGGTCGAAACACCCGAGCCGCCTCTCACTCACGCACTCACGCATGCGAGTCTCGAGTCGCACTGGCAGGCAGGCATGGCAGAGGGATGGCAGTGTGGCCGACGGCCTCTCAACCTCCCCCATTCATTCTGCGATATGACTAATTTTGCACTCCCCTGCTTAAATATCGACTCACTCTTCCCAAAAAGGAAAGGTCAGTCTAACTTCAATTTTAACATCCTTAAAAATATTTATTAATACCTTCTTCCTCTTCTTTTTATATTTTAAAACCTTAACTACTAACTTAAACTTTAATTATTAACTTTAACCTTAATTATTAACTTTAATATTAATTATAAGAGCTTTATTTTTAAACTTTTATTAAAGGGGTCTCTTTTAAACTCTTTAAAAAAAAGTAGTTAAGGTACCTTTAAGTACCTAAAAGGCTTGGTATTTAAGGTTATAGTTAGGTAGGGTGGTGGTGGGGTATATTAGTCCTCTCTAAGAGAGAGTGAGTTAATATTTAATTAGGGGAGTGTAAAATCCGTTATACCATTCATTCTGCGCCATGATCCCCTTCGTGGCAAACATGCAAACATGATTTATTGTCAACCCCGCCCGCCACGGCGAGTCATCCCATTTCATCCCATCCCCATCTCATGCCCAACCGGCGGCACACAGACCACTCAAAACAGATCGAGCGGGAAGCCGAGGCATCACCTGGTTGCCCGAGAGCTTAACGAAAATAGCAGGGCAGGGCAGTGTGGGCTCCACGTGTCGTCTAATGTGCTCTGGCTTGTCCCAGCGACCAGAGTGAGGATCAAAACCAAATCGCTCGGCTGCTTGTCGGGTCAAGTTCGATGCTCACTCGTTATAATTATTACTACCGGGCACGAGAGGACATGAGCGAGTTGACTGGCACACAAGCCAAAAAAATCAACAACCCGGCCTGGAAACCCTGCCCAGGAAAACCAACAGGGTCCATGGCCGTCCATGCCGTCCTCGTGCAACTCGCGCCGTCGGATCGTTCCTAGCCCACGGGTCGGTTGTTTCGCCATCACAAAGACAATGGCATATCCCAAGGTTGCCCATCTCAGCCGGGGCGGCGGCACAACCAAACTAGGGGTCCTTCTCGTTCTAGATCCTCGGACCCGTGGTTCTGAGCTGGACAACCCGTGCCGCGTGTGTCAGCTAATTAACTACCTATCCACGCTTGCACCCATCATCCCCGGATCCGAAGTATGCACTGCGGCAGGACCAAAGAGTGTTGACCACACACACACACACACACACATACATCTGACTCTCCTGAGACTGCCGCCCCCAAGGGGCCCGGACCTTGCCTTGCGACTCCCCTTGACAGAGCCCGTCAGCCCGTGTAGGACATCCTGTCTCGCCGCCGATCATCCATCATGCGTCGCCACATGTCTGCATGTGCAGCTCCCTGCAGCTGTAGATTCAACACTGAACAACAGCAACCCCCACTCACACACAGACCGTGACCAGAACCCCCAGGGTTCAGGTAGATAGATAGCACTTGAGATGATCTATCTGCACCGCCTGCTGCAGACTCGGCAATTGCGTCGTGTGTCTTTTTTTTTTCTTCTTTTTTTTTTTTTTCTCCCTGTTTGACTAATCCCAGCCAGGCGTGGGTGCTGCGCGCGCGCCCCCCAAAAAAGAAACTTCAAGTTGTTTTTTCCGAGGTTGCAGTATCCGTCTAAGTTGCCCTTCATCATCAACAAAGGGGGAACAAAGGGAGGAGCGCTGCCGTCGGGCCGGGGTGGCCTATGTACGGAGTACTAGTAAACTAGAACAACCAGTGTGTGTGTGTGTGTGTGTGTGTGTGTGTGTGTGTGCCTGCCCTAACACCCTGCGGCCTTGCGGGACAGCTCCGCGCGAGCGAGCGAGCGAGCAAGCAAGCGAGGAGTCGAGGACAAAGGAAGCGCACGACCTCGGGATCCGCCGCGGCTGCAGGATGGGCTGGGCTGGGCCGGGGGAACCCTGCCTGCCACGTGTGGACGGGCCTCGATCGTGTTTTCTTTTTTTCCTGTTTCGCCCCTCCGAGTCCTCTTGCGAATACGAAGGGGTTTATATTTATTACGTGTTTTCTTTTTGAACATGCGTTACTTGGGACTGGCTGCACTGCGGCCCCACCCGCGGTCTCTGCGTGACAATCTGTCAACTTAAGTAGTTACCTCATCTTGAGCTCGTCGGATGCGGTGATGTTGAACTTGTGAGTTTGGACTTGGGCTTGGATCGGTGGGATGGCAATGTAGAGGGAGGGGCGTGGATCTCCTCACGATATTGTACTGCGTTTCTGCTTCTTTCGGAACCCCTGTATTTGAGTTTATGAAAGCCGCCTTGCTTGTCAGTGCGTATCCATCTCATTTTGAGCTGTGACTAGTTCTGGATAAACTACTTGTATGCAGCCGTGTCTGTCGGCCCTTAAGCTTCACTTTATGTGTGTAGTCCAGCCCCCACGGTTGGTGGTGGAGGCCTGGAAACCACAATTCGCCCTTGCCAGAATCTAGTGTACCAGCGATCCCTTGGTTTCCCTTCCACTTCTATATGCGGTGGTCGGCTGTATTAGTTATATTCGTCTTGACAGTGTGGCCAAATTGTGGCCAAACCACCGGTTGAGCATTGCTACGACAGATTCATGAACTTGAACATTCATTATATTTTCTAGTTATCATCTACAAACCCGACTCTTCACTTTTACAAACAACCATTAGTTCAATGGCATGTATCTATAGTTATTATAAACGAGAAGTTTCCACCGCAAATTTATAGATTCGATGTTGAACATGATGTTTTAACAATGGTCTCTCGCTTGTAATCCATGCTATGCTGATACCCATCTGCCCTTGCTGTTGCTACAATCCGTTTGCGTATTACCTGCCCTTCGTCTGGTACGGACCTCGCTTGCAGTGGGCCATGCTCGTCAATTTCCAGAATACGTGGTTTCAGGATGATGTTTACGAAAAAGAAACAACCAAAAAAACCGAGACTTTTCTATAATTTCGAAGGTCGAATGTGTTGCTTAGCTAGTTCTGCTGCGATTATAGTGTGTGGGCCCAACCTCATCCACCGGGGATGAAGATCCAGTGCTCTCCGAGTCTTGTCTAACTGCCAACATTCGAACCCAAGTTCTGCTCCGTCCGAGTCCTGCGGAAAGACTCGGACTCCTAGTTATCACCACAAGGGCGTCTTCTGTTCTTGGCAATAGAACAATTCTCATGTTCGGGCCGAGGCTTGATCTATGAGGATGCATTGAAGGCGATTGGTAGCGCACGATCCTCGAGGCTCGTAATTACCATGCGACAGACCGCGAGGACATCTATTTTTGCACCAGTTTGTTTTGCTGTCGTCTGTGCGTCACGAGGCCGAGTCCACTTGCCCACGGACATGTTATATTTTCTCTGCAATATTATTGGCATCATGTTATTTCTTATGTGAAAAAGAAGCTTGAAGGCGTCACAGACATTTTGTGTGCATAGAAATCAGAAATAGGAACCAGAAATGAATCCACGGGAAGACCACTCACTGCAGCTGGTAAATGGCAGCCTGCTTGGTTGGTGAAAAGTGGGCACCCCCTCCTCACCGCATTCGAATTTCCGACAAATGCGGTCAAGCGATATTGCCCGTGACACTTTGAACTTCTACTGAACAACAAATTGACCTGATCCTCACCATTTTAGAGAAAGCCTGGATATTTATCGGCGAGTATCAATTCTGTCGTGGCTATCATTCACAGACATTATATTCCTCAGCACCCGGAGTCGGCCAGTCCTTTCGCTGCTTTACAGTGCCTCCTATTTAGGCCAAATTGGACATGTGTCTGCTGCAAACGTTGCAGTCCATGGCCACATTGACGACGCCAGCGACGATGAGTTTGAGAGGGACAGACAGTCCTTTGACATGCTTGCATGGGATAGACTCGACGACCATTGGGATACGACCTTCTCGTGGCTCCGGTACGTGTCCACCTTGGACAAGCTCGCATCCGCCGTCGCGAAGAAGGCCGGGGTGCCAGAGACGGATGTCGAAGTTCTGGGAGGCGGTGGTGTGGGAAGCTTCAACGTAGTATATCCCCTTCGAATGAAGGACGATTCTCTTAATTTGTTCGTCAGGATACCCATCCCACATGTCACCCAACTGCCAGATGAGAGGTACGCCGCGGAGGTGGGCGCCCTGCGATTTATCCGACAAAACACCACCATCCGTACCCCAACTATCTTGTACCATGGCTCTCAATCTGAAAATCCTGATGTGGGCCCTTTCTTGGTCATGGATAGGATTCAGAATAAGTGGACTTTATCTGAGGCTTTCACGGGGCCTCGTGACCCGGACAACCGGGACGATCCGTACATGCTGGACATCAAGATACCCGAAGAACGCCTCCTAAAGGTATTCAGCCAGGTGGCACCCTTCATGTTGCAGCTGCTGCGCCATCGATTCGCGCGCATCGGCTCCTTAACGGAGACAGCCGAGGGCTCGTTCGAGATCCGGAGTCGGCCGATGACCACGAACATGCAGGCCATGCTCTCGATCGCAAACATCCCCCAATGTGCGCTCCCCGCCAAGAACAAGACATACCAGACCACCGACGCGTGGTATGTCGCCTGCTGCGACATGCTCTGGGCCCCGCTCCTCCTCCAGCGGAACGACTTTGTCACCTCGGCGGACGACTGCCGCAACAAGTATGTCGCGCGCCACATCATCCGCCGCCTCGCCGCACAGGGCAAGCTTTCCACCTTTGGCTTTGAGGAGGATGCCTGGTCCGAGCAGTCGAGGAGGATGAGGGCTGACCAACGACCGGGCAGCAGCAGCACGCCGCTGTGTCCTGCGCCCGCGGGGTCCGGCCCGGCCGCGTTCCCGCTGTGGTGCGACGACTTCCAGACCGGGAACATACTGGTCGATGGCGACGATAACGTCACGGGGGTCATCGACTGGGAGTTCACGTATGCGGCACCCGCGCAGTTCTGCCTCGACCCGCCCTGGTGGCTGCTTATTGATCAGCCCGAGGTGTGGGTTCTGGGGCTGGAGAGGTTTGGTGAGAGGTTCGCCAGGACTTTGACTGTTTGGCTGAAAGCTGTCGAAACGGTGGAGAAGGGCCTTGATCTCGAGGCCCACCATATCAGCCAGCCCTGGTCGATGTACATGCGGCAGAGCTGGGAGACCGGCCGCTTCTGGCTGAACTATGGCCTGCGGAAAGGTTGGGCTTTCGATTCCATCTACTGGAAGTTCCTGGATGAACGATTCTTTGGAGAGAGGCCGAAAGACGTTGCCAAGGAGGAATACTGGAGGTCTAGAATAGATCTGCTGTCTGAGAAAGAGAAGGCGGGTATGGAGCCATTCGTGGAAAAGAAGATGAACGAGTCAAAAGAAAAGATCCTTGTGGATGACTGGGATGAAGATGAGGTTGCAAGGCGTTTTGCTGAAGTTATCTTCGACGAGTAGGCGATACACTCTTTTGATGTACAATGGCGGAATGGACCAAACCAGTAGCCATCCCAGATCTTGCACACTTGGCTCGCGACATGCAAGCTACAGTATGCAGCATGTAGACATCCTGGTCTCATGGTCATGGAAGGGGGATGAGTGCCACGAGTACGTTCAACATGCCGCAAGGCCGAGGAAATAACACATTGTATCGGCCTAGTCAAGGATAGATAGAGTAAATATGGCTTGCTATTTAAATAAACAGCTAATCAGGAGACCTCGATATAATCGTACATGATTGAATTGAGTTGGCAGTAGATTGCCCTTTGAAGAGAGTCCATTTGGTTGAGTTCTCTAAGAATCGGTTGTTCCAGATCCATAGGTATAGTATCTATCATACTGGTGATCTGGGCTGTTGCGGCGTGTGATTGTATGTGACCGAATACCCTTCTGTGACTTGGATACCATGCTCCTGCATCTCGTGCGAAGACTTGCTGAAGCTGATATGACTGTTCTGCACGATGGGGATGAAGTCAGGGTGGCTGGAGTAGGCCCCCTTGGAGCCCGACTTGTGCTCAAGATTTGAGTCGTCCCAGGTCGGTTTCGGCTGGGAGGCCGACGTGGACGCGGCGGTGCTTCCGTAGCGGAGTTTGTTGAGCAGTGTGTTGAGGGACGAGTGGATCTTGGGGAAGCTGAGCTTCTTGGCTACCTGGAGCTTGGGTATGCTGCCGATCACGACCAGGAGGCACTGCTCGATAGACGCCAGGAGGGACCCCACGCCAAAGTAGATGAAGGTTCGGTCTGAGTCCATGGCGGCGCTCACGTCTGTCTTCTGGAACAGAGATAGGAAGACCAGCGTGGTCCGGCCGATGGCAACGGCGGTGGTGATGATGGAGCCGGCCATGAGAAGGCAGAGCTGGAGTTTCCTTGCCCGGTTCATGTTGAGCTTGGAGATGAATATGATAGGAAAGACGGTGTATATGATATCAGAGAGGGTGTAGGTGACTGGATACAAAACGTTAGCCACGAATAACTAATCATTGATCGCGCGTTTGACAGGAACACTTACTCGTCAAGATACAGGTGACAACCTTTTGCGGGAGCTGCTCCATGCGGTATGTGGCCGGGACGCGGAAGTCCCAGAGCGCCTGCACAGGCTTGGCCTGAACCCACACGAAGATGAAGTTGAGCATTCCGACGACGACCAAGAAGCTGGTGTACGATATCATAAGCCACCTGAACCACTGCCGACCATTGAAGACTTGGTAGAAGACCATGGCAATGGAAATTCGGGCGATGGTGCTCGCGAGGATGCTGCCGGGTGTCGTAAACCATGCCCACTTCGTCATGTCGATCAGGTCTTGGATGCCCATCGTCTCCAACGGGCGCCCGAGGCCGGCCACACAACACATGGTTAAGAACACCTGGAAGACGACGTGGAATGCCAGGGCCAGGAGCATGAGCCAGTCATCCGAGGCGATGGACGGGAAGAACTTCTGTCGCAGGTACAGGCGGAAGGTCATGGTGACGATAGCAAAGCTCGTAAAGAGCCATGATATCGCCATGAGCGCCACGGCTCGATCAGAGAGAGCATGATTTCCAGAGGTAAGAGGGATTGTGCTTGGGTCCATGATGATGATGCTGCTGACGATGATCGGCACAGGCTTGCACAGGAAACCGACAGCCCCAATCTTGACGGGCAGAGATGATAATGGGGTCTAAAATGACTTGCTACTCGAGACGGCCACAGATAGAACAGGGGAGGCTGAGGACGGCATGGAAAGCCTGCATGTATATGCAGATTGCACAACGTGACAGAAGGAGAGGTTATGTGAGCTGGAGGAGGGTCTTGTCCGGCCGATCCTGTTGGAATGGCTGGAACGACACTATCCCCATCTTCAACAGGGGCGGCCGCATCAAAAAGGACCAGAAGCTACTTGGCAGCGTCTAACACTAACATATGAGTAAGACCCAACGCTGTCGTCGTGGGATCTCGGAGAAATGGCCCAAACAGGCTCTTGCAGATTCAAGTGGGGGGAATGGGCTGGGGGCGTGTGTGTATCAAGGTCTCGGTGTCCACTATTGTTACTATGTGGGTATCTTTACTATTAATACACGTAGAGGCTTAGGCCAAGAGTTTAAAGTAGGGTGCCCACTCCGTCTTGGTATACGATTGAGTTACTCGATTGATCGACTAGACACTGATAATTGAATCCGTGATTGCAACATCATAGTGTCGCGAATGCCTGCATGTGGTCAGCGTGTAGGCAGCCAACTTTACGGCTCGGCGTTTCGATGTGAAGCCCTCTACTCTCATGAGTCATCTGAAAAATTGGCCTGGGCTGATCGATGCACTGGGTTGGGGTGAGCATCCTTCCACGATATCTGACCTCGGTCGCTGGTAACCATCGCTCGTTCAGTAAAAGAGTGCTGGCTACAGATCTGTGCTCCCCCTCTCACCTGCGGGTCAATTAGTAACCAGTCCCAAGTCTTCCCGTTTATGTCCCAAAACAACACGAGACCAAAATGTTCGTCAACGAAATCCTCTCACGTGCTAGTGCCATCCTGACATAACCCCCAAGGAATCGCAGTGTATACAGGAGCATCTCTACACAGCTCCTCCCCCTGCCTTATCCCACTCAAGACTTCACTGGCAAGACTGTCCTGATTACGGGCGCCAACACCGGGCTGGGACTTGAAGCAGCCCGTCACTTTGTTCGTCTGAACGCCAGCAAGGTCATTTTGGGTTGCCGGGACCTTGAAAAGGGCAATGCCGCCAAACAGGACATCGAGTCTGGACAACATCTAGATGACACCTCGGATATGGTCGAGGTATGGCAGGTCCAACTTGACTCATTCGACAGCGTCAGGTCCTTCTGCCGTCGCGCGTCCACACTTGAGCGCCTAGACGTCGTCATTCTGAACGCCGGCCTCCTCAGCCACCTATACCACACAGCCGAGGGCTACGAATGGCTGACAACTGTCAACGTTATTTCCACATGGCTCATGGCCCTCTTACTGCTGCCGGTCATGCGCACAACACGGACCAAATACTACACCGGCGATACCGACCAGGCCCCTCACCTAGTGACAGTTGGCTCCAACGCGCACTTCTACACCAAGTTCGACGAGCGCAACGCACCGTCCATATTCGAGGCGTTCAGGGGCGGGAACAACATGTTCAACCGCTATGCCGACACCAAACTCATGAGCCTCTTCGTCGCGCGCGAGGTCGCGGCCCGCATGTCAGATACCAAGGAGAAACCGCGGGTCGTGCTGAACATCGTCGAGCCGGGGTACTGCCAGTCACAACTGCTGCGGGAGAAGGCCTGGCCGTGGTACTTCAAGGCCCTCATGACTGTCGGGCTCGCAACCGTCGCCCGCACGTCGGAGCAGGGCGCGCGGACGTACATTCACGCCGCGGCCGCAGGGTGGGAGAGCCATGGTGTTTATCTAGAAGATTGCAACCTGAGTACTCCGCATGAGTTTGTTGACTCTGAGGAGGGCGTTAGGATACAGAAAAAGGTGTATGCTGAGCTGATTGAAATCTTGGAGCGCATTGAGCCAGGTATCTCGGAGAATGTTTGACATGGGCATGGTTTCATTTGTATTTAATTCAGTGTCCAAGGACCATGGCTCTGCTATTCGGTTCCTCCTCTATCAACGAGTCATCTGGCAAATGGAACATGAATCTTCTTAAATCCATCCTCGAATCCATTGGGATTTGGAAATAACAACAACAAGGTACAATAGTAATGCGGCGAGATCGAGTGACGAGTTGGCTCATAAACTGCATGACTGTCCAGTCACCTTAACTCCACTTCTCGTGAATGAGAGCCGCGCATCTTTCCGCCACCATATAGGTTGGCGCCATCGGGTGTGACGATGTGATAAAAGGAAAGATGCTCGCATCCGTTATTCTCAAGTTCTTGAACCCGTGCACCCTTAGTTGCTCGTCCACCACTCCCCCCTTCTCGACGTCGGCCATGCGACAGGTACTGGTGAGATGGAACACAGGCGTGATGTACTTTCGGATGTACTCATCCATGTCATCATCAGAGACTGAGCGCCAGTCGCCCTCACTCCATCCGGGAGACCCTGGGCCTCCAAACGGCCGTGCCTGATGGGGATATTCAGACTTGAAGCAAAACTGCTCGGCCAGGTGTAGTGTGAACCGCAGAGCCTTGCGTGCCACCTCCAAGTCTCGGGGGTCGTCCAGCATATTGAGCTGTATGCTGGGGTCCTCTCGGAAATCTCGGGACCTGACCCTGACAAATCCCTCCGACCTGGGTTGGTTCAGGCACACCTGAAGCGTGAACAATGCTTTCCCCGGGTACTCGTCAGGCTTGGTGCCGATTGGCACGACCATGATCTCGAAATCTGGCATGTTCTCTGGTTTTTGAGGATCCAACGTAGTCTCGTCGGTCCGTAGTTTACCAGTCTCCTCATCAATGTGTGTTGTCGCACCGTAGATTGCGCGATCCACCGTCGACTTCAGCCAGCCCTCACCCGCAGTGGCAAAGAGCACAGCATGCTTGACTGCCTGAAATGGGCTGGACAGGAGTTGCTGCAGGGTATCATGGAGTGCTGCCTCGACGAAGACGGGAAACAAGGAGTGATCCCCCAGGTGCCCGCCAACGCCTGGAAGATCTCTGGCCACTGGTATACCAAGATCCTCGAGCAGGCCCCGAGGCCCAATACCACTAAGCTGCAGGATCTGGGGGTCGCAGATGGCGCCGGCCGCAAGTATGACCTCGCGCCGGGCCCTGATGAGGTGACTGGTCTCTGCAACACGTTTTGCCGCGCTCTGAACAAAAACGCCGCGGACTTCACCCTGTGCAGGGTCAAGGTCCAAGCGTTCCACGATCACATCTGTGCATATGTGAAGAGAATCCCTGCGGCGGTACACAAGCTCCTGTGGCAGATAGGCACGGAAGGCCGAGTGCCTGTACCCGCTGCTGTCGATGGTGAGGTCGAGATTGAAATACCCAGACGAAGGTGCACCTGGCCGGTTCCCCCGAGGCTCGACCGGCAAGCCCAATGCCTCGGCCGCCCTTTCGAGATGCGGGTAAATACCAGACTGGAGGTTCTGTGTCTGCCGCAAAGAGATGGTCTCTTCAGCCTTTGAAAAGTACGGCTCCACGGCCTCCCAATCCCAAGCCGGGTGAGTCTTGCCCCAACGCCTGTAGTATGCCGGCGCGCCGCGGGTATATATCATGGCATTCACGCGGGAATTACCCCCAAGCGTCTCAGCGGTGAGGACATCCACCTTTCTGTCCCCAGTCTGGGCACCGGGGAGACATGTTCGATTCACCACGTAGCTACCATTGGCAACGGAGGCCGCGGGCACTCGCGATTGGAGACTGTCTTGAAAGGCCCCCCTCTCGAGGAGGAGGACGGTGACGCAGGGGTCTTCGCTCAGCCGAGACGCCAAGGCCGATCCAGCAGTGCCGCCTCCTACGACAATGTAGTCGTAGGTGGTCTGGCGGACCTCATCTAGTCTCTTGATCGGGTATGTCGTGCTGAAGGGCCACATATTGCACTGAAAACCTTGATTGAGTTGACGAGAGGGTAGGATCCCAAGCTGAAGGTAAGAAGCGGATGGGCGCATGCCAGATCGGAACTCCATGATGCCATCACTCATGCCATCGGATGGTGGCTGGCCTACTTTCGACGCTATCAGCCTTGATGAGAGCCAAGGAATCCCAATTGCAAGCCAAGGGACTGCTGCGGACGAGACTGAGTTCATCAGGACTCAGGGGCCACTGTCAATGCTGCCATCCTCCGGGCTAGGCACCAATAGTCGGCTGAGATGGGTAGTTGACCCGGCAGGATTGCGGTGCATGTTGTGTAGTTGGCTTCAACGTGCGCTACGGTCCGTACCACTGGGGTGTGTGTCGAACAACCCTGGAAGCCCCATACGACAGGGCAGGGGAGGATCTTAGTTGCATATTCACGATGATGATAAGATGGTCCAGACTCACCGGGGCAGTCTTTTGGGGGCTGAATCATGAGAGTCTCTTGGCCTTCCGTTTGACCGAAGGCCGAAACTCTTCGCTTTATAATCAAAACTGTCATGCTGAGGAGGCGGAGGCACCGCTAGGAAGGACATACCCCTGGACCCAGCCAGCCCTGTCTGATCCAATACAATTTGTCTTCTATGGGAAAGCGATATTCTGTAAGGAGAGGCCATCCCACATTCCTCTCTTTCACGTGGTGCCACAAGTCACTTGCGGTGATCCTGTCTCGAGTCACCGTTGCATTTGTGCCACCCTGTCTACGCTTACACCGTGTCATCGAGAGGATGTGCGTGAATGGTTGCAGCCGAGCTGCTTTCCTCCTCCCATTGGAACACTGGATAAAAAATATCTTCTGGTGAGATGGATGGGCAGCCTTCTGCAAACACTGCCGGCGTACAGCCTCAATTCTCCAAATGCCCCAGAAAATTATTTGTAGTCTGATTAGATAGGTCGTACGGTTCTGCAATTTCCGTATTTCAACATTTTAGCACAATTCTAGACTATTCTTCGTCTACATAGGAGTCGTTTTGTCTTCTGCGTTTTGTGATGGGAGTCCCTTCTCAGCCATCGAAGACTCCGAGGTCTCTCTGCCGTCCTTGAGGCCAAACTCAGTCGTGCTGTCTTTCCGCAGTTCAATGTGCTTCTCGAAAAACGTAGCAAGGAAGCCTAGGCACGCGACACCCGCAAACACAAGCCATACGACACGCAGGGCCCTTTCGTAAACCCGGATCACCTGGCCCTTACTTGGGTCAGGCAGGCCGCCGATGTTTGTGTTGCCGCCTTGGCCACCCGCCGCAAAACCGTACGCCGCACCGTCCGCGAGCAAGCCCCGTAGGCTGGCATCCTGGACGATGTTGAGGTTGCTGTTGACCTGGCCGTTGAAGATGATGGACGACATGGTGACGCCCCAGACCAGGCCCATGGCCCGCACAAACGAGTAGGTGCCTGTGGCGGTGGCCACGTCCGCCTCGGGCAAGGCTGCAAGCGTGGAGGGCAGTGTTGCGGTGAAGATGAGGCCGGCGCCGCCGGATGCAATCACCTGGTATCCAATCCAGGCGCCCGTGCTTGAGTTCCTCCGAAGCGTCGAGAAGAGCCCCGCGCCGACGGCCATCATGGCAAAGCCGCCCCAGTGTAGGAACTTGTACTTCCCCGTCTTGGAGAGCACAGCTCCCGCCCCGCCGCCAAAAGGTATGATAGCTAGGGCGAAAGCCAGGTAGTTGATGCCGGACTGAAGGGCCGAGGTTTCCTTTATGGCTTGGAAGTAGACGGGGAGGAAGTAGCTGACGGCCTGCAGGATGATGGCGGCGATGAAGATGAGGAAGAAGCCCGTGACCGAAGTACGCGATTTAAAGAGGCGCGGCGGCATGCTGGGCTCGCGGCAAAACCGCGAGGCCTGGTGCGCATGGAAAGCAGCCCAGACGGCGACGCCCAGGACGATGGGCAGGATGATGCGCCACGAAGACCACGGATAGCCCTCTGTGCCGCCCATGATGAGGCCGAAGTAGAGGGAGACCATGGCGGGGACAAAGATGGCATTCCCGGCAAAGTCGACACGGGCGAGCGCGCTCTTCCAGGTCGGGCTGCGCTTGTACTGCACCGTCAGGGCGAAGAATATGACGACACAGCTCACGCCCGAGACGGGGAGGTTCAGGTAGAAGATCCAGCGCCAGTCGCTCTGCGCCAGGGCCCCTCCGAGGATTGGCCCCAGTGTCGTGCCGATGGCGGCGCCGGCCATGGTCATGCTGAGCCACGGCCCACGGTAGCGGGGTGGGATCAGATCGCAGATGATGATCTCCGGGAGAACCGAAATCCCTCCGGTTCCGAAGCCCTGGATCACACGCCCGGCGATCAACATGGCGACACTGTGGGCGCCGCCGGCGATACCGCTGCCCAGGGCAAACAGCGCGATGGCGACGAAAAGGGGGTTGCGGCGGCCGAAGATGTTGGCGATCTGGCCGTACAGGGGCTGGGGCACGGTGGAAGAGAAGAGGTAGGACTGGGCCACCCAGACGTACTGGTTGGCGCCGCCGATGTCGCGGGCTATCGTCGGGAGCGAGGTTGTGATGATGGTGGCGTCGATGCCTGACAGTAGACTCAGGGCCATGATAACGATGAAGATTGTCCATATTCGCCACGAGGCCTTGAACTCTCCCTCGCCGTCGCCGCCGTCGCCATCGCCGTCTTGCTCTCGAAGGGTGATATCGGCGCGAGGATAGCTAGACGCCTCCTTGGAGGGTCTCTCAGCCATCTTTTCCGCTTCGGCAACAGAGGCGACCATTGGGGCGGATGCGGCGTGCATGGCCACACCAGTTCTGTGAGAGGAAACCTTGGAATCACAGAGCTAGCCAGCTAAAGGGGACGATGGAATCCACGAGCTCCTCCCGATGATGAGGATAGCCCGCCGGGGCTCATCATCTTGAATGGAAGGTCGACCCAGCCGGAACGACCCAGGGGTTTGGGCGAGAAGACCGTCAGTCTGACGCGATATGCGCAGTATTGTGGAATCCATGAATGCCCAGATCTCACTGGCAGCGCACATGTGCAGTGTCGCACAAGTAAGATCTCGGACCCGTCTTTCCGGTGCAGCTGCCGCTTTGGGTCAAGGGGATGCATCAGGTGAGTAGTATCACGCTGATTTGTGACATGTGGTAGATCACACCTGTGCCATATCTGGTTGCCTGGCGAGACGACAGCAAAGAGCCATTGATTTGTGCGGTTGGCGCCCGCCAAGGCGAATAGACATGGGAGGGCAAGATGGCGCAGTGCGGAAGGATTCTAATAAAGTTCGACTCAGGACTCGACCGCGAGCTCGGCAAGCTATAGGGCTATATTACTTGGCACCTTGTTGGTACTATATTGCGTGGGGCGTGGGGGCTGGCACGGCTAACATAACTCGAACAAGTGCGATCCTATCCGTGGCCCCTGTAACTATCGCGAACACCCCTCCCCCCTGGCCTGCCTTGCCCCCCTTGCCGAGCGATCCATCCCGAGGTCCCCCACACAGCTGATAGCCTGACAACACACGCCCGGTGCACTAGTGTAGAGCGGGGCAACAACTCAAGTGCTGAGTCCCAAGATCTAAGCTGACGTTGAGCCCTGGGTGAAACCGACGAGTCCGAGGACAGCAAAGACAGACGAGCTGACAAGGCGGAAGATGCCCGTCCACGGCAGCCCCTCGTTCCACAAGATGTAACAGTCGACGAGCCCGAGGTATCCGGTGCCGATCAAGAACATGTCGAGGACGTCGTAGCGGCGCTGGGCGTAAAAGGTAAACATGAGGATGCCAAGACAGGCCGTGCGGGCGTTGCCGACATGCCAGACTGTCCACGTCTCGGGCACATGAGCCACCCGCTCCGGCAGTCCGTAGTGAACGATAACGCCCCGAGTGCTGCTGATGAGTGGGAAGATGGTGCCCCAGCACTGGGCGGCGGCGGTGAACAGCGCGGGTAGATGTCGGTACTGGAAGTTGCTAAACATGGCGGCCAGGCTAGGTGGCGCGATGGATCAGTGACGTTCTGTCAACCGGTGGTGAGGATGCCGAGGGTGGGTGGAGGAAGAGTCGCAATCAAGTATAGTGCTGGTATTCTTGTTCTGACTAGTAGTTGACTTTTGTTTATCAACCGTTGAATCCTCCCGCCAGGCCGGGCTCGCACCCGCTTTTGTAAGTCAACTGTGGCTGGCGCCTAGCCTGAAAGGTGTTGGTGCTTACCAGGTAGTGTATAAAGTGATCAATTGATGGGTTCTGGTCAGAGCCAAGCACGTGCCAAGGTAGGATCTCAAGGGTATTTACTACAGTAGCTGACCACCACAAGACAGGTTACTCCCAAATGGGATCTTGCACCCGTCTGGCGGATCTAAGCGAAGAACACCCAGCCGGCAAAGTGGAGAGTCAGGTAGGGGTTCCCCTGTACCGCTCCACTGCACCCTATCTGCAGAGGAATAAATGTGCATTTCCTACTATTGTATTAGTGTCATGTATCCTGCAGCCCTTGCTGATACTTGACCAGGCGTGGTGTGTGAATATCAACCAACTCACCATTAGATAAAAGAACCCACCAAACTAATTTCACAATGACCTCAGCTCCAAAATTGGCATCGGCCCGTCACTACAAATCGTATGAAAAACAGAAATGGAGGATATGCTGCCTATGATGGTGGCTGTGGCCGGCCAGCAGCTCCGACTCGGCGCTACGCCGCTGAAGTCCTACCCGCAATGGATGGCATGAGAGCATGGGAGCATGTCCAGCTGGGCATGGGCAGATGGGTGGATGGATGCCAGACTGGCCATATCAAAAAGAGATGTACAGGTTCATGTGTGCCTGTCCGGATGGCATTTATATCGACTAATATACATGGCATTTTGTGTCTTGAAAGCCCCTGTTCCCAGACGTCCTTGTCTCGTTTCGTAATGATCGCCCATCATGTTGCAACTCCTTGATCTCAACGCTTCCTCCCATGTCGCCGTCCTGGGCGCTTCGTTCTTTGCCGCTATCTTCGCCGTTCTGTATAGAGCCGGCTCTCTCTCCAAGCAGCATCATGACTCCAAGACTCCCAGTATATGGTCCTTGCTGCTTAGTCCAACTGAGAAGGTCAAGTCACGTTTCAATGCATGGCGCTTTCTCTTCCAAGGACCTTCCATGATCCAGGCGGCCTACGATAAGGTGTGATCATTTTCCCTCTTCTAATATGCTAGATGCTACTACAGACTAACCCATCGGCTTACAGTCCAATGGCGCCCCTTTCTCCATGGACATGCCCGAAAACACCATGTTGATCGTCTCGGACTGGAAGCGCATCAAGGAGATTGATTCCGCCCCCGAGGCTGTCTTGTCCCTCCAGGGGGCTGCCAAGGAGATCCTCCAGCCAATGTACACCATGAAGTCCTTCGACTGGACGGAAAAGCGAGGTGGCGATGGCGCGCCTCTGCTCAAGACGCTGCGCAACCGCCTCACCGAACACCTGCCCAACATCCTACACAAGATCCACGCTGGAATCAAGGCTCGGTTTGACGAGGGCTATGACACTTTCCCGTTGCTCAATGGTGAGTTAAAAGACCGCCGCTTCTAGAACACGTCTTTTTTAACCATCGTGCCAGGTGTCAAGCAGGGCGCCGTCTTCCCTTTGATCATTGAAGCCGTGGCAAAGTCTAACGCTGAAGCCTTCTTCGGCCCGGAGCTTTGTAAGTAAACTGCATCTTGGACATGGTGTACGCTCTCCACAATATTAACACCTGGTTTCCCTCTAGCTGGAGATGAACAGTTCATGGAAGCTGGCATGAGCATGATCGAGCAGACTCTCCTCATCGCCGAAATCATGCGGCTGGTCCCTCGACCTTTCAAAGAGTAGGTGATTCCCTGTCATCCCCCTGTCATCTAGAGTCGCCTCTCGTCTCACACGAAGATCAGGCGCGCCGGCAAGTTCCTGTCCAGCCATCTGAACTCGGGTCTCAAGTTTTGCGAGAAGCTCGAGCCTATCGTCGCTCAGCGGTTTCACGAGCGCGACCTGCGTCGGAAGGGCCACGACATTCCGGAGCAGGTACGTGGCAGCTCACCTCTCCCTGTACCCGTACCGCTACTCACTTTTTCGCAGAAAGATTGTGTCCAGTGGATCATGCAATACTCCCCCCAGGAGAAGCCTTGGAGTGTGAGGAGGGTCGTCCATGAACTGATCGCAGTCTGGTTTGGTTCTGTCCACATCACCTCGACGGTCAGTAACATTCCACACGCACATAGCGGCCGCACATCCGATTGACACGTTTTTAGACTGCCTGTGTTGCTCTCTTTGATTTGTGCGAGCACCCCGAATATGTCGACATACTCCGCCAGGAAGTTGAGCAGACAGGCTGGGAGGCATTTTATAAGTCTGGTGGTACACTCTTCCCCTTGATGGACAGTTTCATGAAAGAGTCTGCCCGCCTTCATCCCATCGAGTCTGGTACGTGCCTGAAACGGTGTCTATTCCTCCTACGTGCAATAAGATAGCGATAATAATAGTGCCAACAGTGAGCACCCGCCGAAAGGCCCTCAAGTCTTTCCAATTCTCCGACGGACAGACGGTAGAGGCAGGACAGTGGGTCTGTACAGCCCCCAGAGGCATGAACACAGATTCGGCAAACTTTGTACACCCAAATGATTTCTACGGCTTCCGGTTTGTCCAGCCAGAGGTTCTGGCACAAGCGGAGAGCCTACTAGCTCTGTCATCACCGGTCACCGAGGGCAAATTCAACATTCCTGAGCCCGGGAAGTCTTCAAAGTACATTGAGCTTTCTGACTGGCAACAGTGGGGAACGGGACGCTGCGCCTGGTAAGTTTCCTTCACCAGAACCGAGGTACACTCAAAGGCGTGAAGCTAACTTGGCCTCTAGCACGGGGAGGTGGTATGCTTCGGCACTCATCAAGACCATGCTCGGCACGTTTATCACCAATTATGATATGAAGCTCGTGGACCCTAAAGCTCAACGCACTTTCGCATGGCGCACTTTCGTATATCCTTACGCCGGCACCCAGATTCAGTTCACGCCTAGAGTAGAGAATAGGTCATGTTGAATGATAAGCTTTATGAGATTAATTGCCCTTGAAATAAACTATTATAAGAATCTACTTGTCTAATCAGGAAGACGCTTGGAAGAAACTGCCTGAGATACCCAGGCGATAATTAGAAATCTGGGAAAATACAAACCTTGTGGGACCTGTTCTAGATAAAATTAGGCATTGCATTCTAGAAGGCGTGTCCCACCCGCTCAGTCTGTGGGAGCACCCTGGGGCAGGCACGAAAAACATTTGTTGTCGAGGCCTGACTAGATTGGGCTCACATATGAGAACACAATCATTGGAATATTGTGCAATACAATGGTGGCTGAATCACAGACAGGGCTTTACTAAGATCTTGGCACTGAACTTTTATATTACAACGTTGATTTTCCAGACCCAGAAGGACATCCTGCCAAGCCAGTCCAGGCGCTGATGAGAATACTTCACCAGTTGGTGCCAGGATGGTCAGGTCTGCTTACAATGTACGGAATCCTGGAGGAACAGCCCTGGAAAACAGAGTTTATCAGACCCGGTTTGAATTTACACGCAGCTGACGAAAACTTCCATTTTCAGGCAATGGTCCACCAGGCTGCAGATGCAATGCAACCATCACGGCGATGACTATTCACACGCCCCCGGTGGACACCCGTCACTTCTTGGCATAGATGTTGGCTGGCTTGAACGAGGCTGCCTGGTTTTAGCCCCACTGCACCCCTGGTCGCCCCCACTGCAGTCCACCTGGGCATGGATGCCGGAAAGCGGATGGTCATGAGGAGGGAGAAGGCAAAGCACAGGTCCAGCCCTGAACCAGACCCGGGCTAGAATCAAGCACCGTACCCAATGAGCAGGAGATTTCCCCGTTGTCGTCGCGTACAACCCACTACAATAACAGCTACGGCATGAAGCAGAGTTGAAATCCCGGGCTTTTGTCTTGGGAAGTCTGCCGGTTGCTCACCAACTGGACTGCCCCGATACCGAGCCAAGTCCCCCCACCTCGCCTGAATCAACATGGACGTTATCCTGGAGCAGCCAGTACAGCTCCTATGGGATTCGCTCAACAACCGGCTTGTGGTAGGAGTCACGATTGCCTTTTTGATAACTGTTGCACTCCTTGTGAAAAGCTGGAACAAGGCGAATCCGTTTCCCGAGATTCCTTTCGTTGGACTGCGAGGCTGGGAGTCAAGGAGGAGGAAAGAATTTATGTCCAAGGGATCTGAGCTGTATGCTCAAGGTTATAAGAAGGTAACTGGGAATACTCTCAAGATCCTATCGAGGTGAAAATGGCATTGGCTGATTAAAACAGTACAAAAATGGAATTTTCCGAATCACAACCGCCCGGGGTAGGTCCCTGATGCTGTACGAATCAACCTGTTTCACTCTAATGCATTTTAAGAATCACCATGCGTCGTAGTCGCACCTAGATTCCTTCCCGAGCTCAACAAGCTCCCCGAAGACGTGTTGAGCTTTTCTGCGGCAGTCAAAGAGGCACGTCATTATTGCTTCAAGAACATTGAACTCTGGTCCCAGACACTGACTTGATGCAGCTGATGCATACGAAACATGTTGATATCTACTCTGAAGCGTTAGAGTTCCCACATGTCGTAAAGAACTTCATCACGCCGTCTCTTGGTTAGTTCTGGACCTGGCTCCCCCTTTCATGAGCATACGATACTAAAATGGGTTTGAAATGGATAGGCAGGTTGAATCCCATCGTATCAGAAATTCTAGATCATGCCCTGGAGGAAGAACTTCCTCAGACACATTCATGGACAGAAGTAAAGATCAATGACAAGCTGGTCCGCATAATAGCCAAGGCCTCAGGTCGAATCTTTGTGGGGCTGGAGCTCTGTCGCGACGAGAAGTACCTGGAAACGTCCATCAACTTCACAATCGATGTGATGAAGGCTGTATTCACTGTCGCCTTTCTTCCAGTGTGGCTGAGACCCGTGCTGACACCTGTGATACCGTTCGTTCGGACGGTACACCGACGCATCCGGGAACAGACAGAGCTGATCTCGCCGCTGATTCGATCCCGCCGATTGGCAGCAAAGAACGACCCGTCCAGAGAGCCTGTGGATATGCTGGACTGGTTGATTGGCGAGCAGATGAAGTCGGGCATTGTGGACGATTATGATCTCGTGCAGAAGCAACTTGGGGCCACCTTTGCGTCTATACATACGACAACGCAGACCATGATGCATGTGTGAGTATCTCGTATCACTGCACGTTCTTCCTGGTACAGTGGACAATCTCTGACTCAAAACCAAGTTTCTACACCCTTGCCGCAGAGCCTGGGATCGCGTCTATGCTCAAAGAGGAGGTCCAGGAGGTCTTGGCCAAGAACGGGGGCGAGTTCACTTCTCAAGCATTGCAGGACTTGAAAAAGCTAGACAGCTTTGTCAAGGAACTGTTGCGCTTTTATCCACTCCAAGCCTGTAAGATGTCGCCCGCTCCTTGCATCTACATCCCATCAAGTCCCTCTCCCTCTTGAAGTCCACATAACACGATGATAACATTAGCAAGCGACCTTTCAACGCAAGGTGGTCCGGCCGATCGAGCTCTCCAACGGACAGGTGCTCCCAGCCGGGGTCATTGTGGAGGCGCCCGATGGCGCAATTAGTAGCGACCCCGAGTATTTCGTGGACCCTGAGGTCTTTGACCCGCTCCGCTTCTACAAAGTCCGTCAGGCCAAGACCTCTGCCCCCACGGGCACCAAGAGGGCCGAGGTCGTGGCCAACAGCCAGCTCGTGAGCTCGGGCACCTTGAGCCTGTCGTGGGGCTACGGCCGACATGCTTGTCCCGGCCGGTTCTTTGCGGCGAACGAGATCAAGATGATTACGGGCAAGGTGCTGATGCAGTACGAACTGCGACTGCCTGATGGTGTGACGGAACGTTATCCAAACATCACTTTCGGGGACCTGGTATGTTTGAAACAGTCCTTAGTCAGGCTCTCGTACTGATATGACTTATTAGACGATGCCGGACCCTGGCAAGACCGTCATGGTGAAAAGACTGTGAATATTTCAGAAGCTGGATTTAGTTGTTGATTTGGACTTGAATCATCACTTGTCTTTTCTGGCATCACGATGGGGAACACATTTCTGCGGTTGCGTTCGACTGATCCATGACCCATGAAACCAAAGTTTTTGGTCAGGCGTGGTTTTATCGCACAAGTAGCAGGCTGGCTGCCGAATTCGGATGCCTTTGCGGGTGATAACTAAGCCCTGGCTACGAAGTATTGACAACAAAAATGGGAAAGTGGAAGCTCATGGCGAGAGAGAGTGCGGCCTCAAGTATCACGGTTCAGTTCATACACCTGGTTAAGCAAATCTGCAAGGCTTGCAGGAAGGAACCTTGGTGCAAAAAGTGTACAGGTTCATGGAATCTTCCGGTATATAGCTTCATATAAAGTGTGGCTAAAGAGAGACGCTTCAAGTCGTCCCAGGCGACCTAGGTGCCGACAGCAACTGCACATAAAACCCCTAGAAGAGGACATCAAGATCGACACGTTTCAAGACAACTTCTTTCAGCCACCCCAAGACGATAACATCCGTATGATAAGCACATGTCAAGGCACGCTACATTCATTCGAATCGATCTAGTTCCACTTCTATTCCGTAAACATAGGTCCGAAGCCATACACGGAATTCGCATCGATTTTCTCAATCAAATCATCTCTCACCTGATGAGTATGTGGCGCTTCTCAAAGATTCCTTTATTGCTTGTGAAGGGAGAAGTCACTGGACCTTTCGGCTTTTAGCACACGGAGTGAATGGTTGCGTGGCATGGCGTTTATTGCACTTAAGTGGAGCCCCTTGAATATTTTCTTCAATAAATTGGCGGTGTGCCTCGGAACACCGGGCGCATTGGCCGTAGCATGTTCCGGCGGTGTTGGTTTCACTCTTCCTTGTTGAAAATGAGGGAGGATGAGCCAGGGTAGACTGAACATGGTAGGCTGACCACCAACACCAACACCAACGAGTGACCTTACTGATCAAGTGTAAGTGCCAAGACGCATCCGAGCAACCGATTCAACAACCTGGTCATACACATTTTGTATTGTCCTGATGTAGTTTAGGACAGGCTCACCTTATCAGATCCTGTATTGAATGCTGGTGTGTGTTCGTCGTCAACGCTGTCGTGCAAGGAAGGACAGCGGGGCAGTACAGAATTATGACCCTGCTTGCTGTTGACCAACCTGCCCCATTTTATTGGCAATGCTTCCTGCAGTAAGCTCTTCAAAGAAGCCAAGGATGTACGATTGTGCCAACAGGAGGCTTGGACAACCCCCTTTGGGTAAGACTCACAGCAGCACGTGGGCCGGAAGGATCAAACGCACACACCTGGCAGCGCCACCCAGCCCGTCGATTCCAGCGTGGCCTACCAGGTTTAATTAAGGCTATTATTGGCTTACGAGGCCCAAAATCCATATTCCAGATCTGTCAACCAAGACGGAGAGATTCGGGCCGCCGCCGGTTCTCGACCTCGTGATGGACATGTCTGCCAAGACGACGCTGCAGCTTTATTAATACGGGCATCCCACCCAGCCAAGATCAGTTCCGGTTTCTGCAATCATCCCTGTGGTACCACGCGACTGCAACGTCACCGATACTACCCAGCAGTCCGCATCCAGAATCTCAAGATGCGTATATCTCTTCTGCACCTTTTTTCCTGCTTTGGTGCGCTCTCGGCACAAGCCAGACCGTCATCTGACAAGAGCACACTGTCATCGCCACTACCACCTCAGACGCGAGACCACCAAAACACAGACATTATGAGCCGCGCAGCGAAGGCCAACCAGCCCGAATACTATGGTCCATCCCAGACAGCACTCCTCTTCCTCGACTATCAGAATGTGCTCTTTGCCATGATCCCGGACGAGGTGACAAGGCAGGGCGTCCTCAACTCGGCCAAGCAGCTGCTCGATACAGCACGCAACAGCAATGCCGTTATCATCCACTGCCTCATCGATACCAACATCGACCCTCCGCCCACAAGCAAGATCTACGACCAGTGGTTCCAGATAAACAAGCCGGCCTTGCAAGCCAACCCAGAGCTGGCCAAGGAGCACCCCGAGCTGGCTCCGCCCAGCAAGTCGACCAATGCGCGCGAGCTTGTCTCTCTGAGGCTTCCCGGACCCAGGTCTGCGTTTGTCAACAAGGATCTTTTGCCATTACTGCAGCGGAAGCTGGGCATCAAGTCGCTGATTATTGGCGGCATTGCGACCAGTGGTGCTGTTATTGGTACAGCTCTGCAAGGGATTGATGAGGGTTTTGTCACTACAGTATGTGAATCAGTAGTTTATTGTTTGCCGATGTGTTGGAGGCCAAATGTCTCTCAATCGGCCTCTTTTGCGTCGTCCTCCCTCCCTGTTCCCCTGCCTCCCTGCCCCTTGGCCCCTGCTTCCCTCCCGCCTCCCTCCTTTCCCTTCTGCCTAAGAAGATAAATCATGACTAACTGTTGTTCGTCTACAGGTTGTTCGGGATGCCGTCTGGGACCCCAATCAGCAGGTTCACGAGGATCTACTCAATGTTGTTCTCCCCGTCTCAGGTTATGTGGTCTCAACCCAGGAGGCAGTGGGCTACTTGAGCAAATAAAGTAGGGGGCGAGACAAGTAAATATTTTCTGGTTTCGCTTCTATTACATATACGTCCGAAGCCATACATGGCGCCTCTATACAGTCTCATGGTGAACGCCCAGAGACCCAGCGTTTCAAGAACATACAATGCCGATAACAGTGGTAGATACTTCATTTGGATGTCCATATCGTTAGAACGTAATTCTTCTCGACCATCTTTGGACGATCGCTGGAGTAGTTAACTTAATGTAATCAAACTCAAAATCATGCGCCATTTGAAAGGAATTGCCACCTAGCAGAGCCCTCCCAATAATGGGGCCGTCCCGAGACGGTGCTCGACGACTGCGGTCACTACGTCAAGTGGATGTTTGACTACCCGGTCCGCACAGGCGGGATGGACCCCAACGTGCCCATCGAGCACGAGACGTACCACAAGCTCGCAGAGGCTTTGAACAAGGTCACTGGAAAGCAAGCCAGGACTGTTGAGGGGTGGGTCAGGCGCGAGGATCAGCCATGGATCGACCTTGGGCTTAGCACCTTGTGAGAACGCGTCCAGCCGAACAAGAGCGGCTTTACGCTTAACCTGAAGCTGCACGAGGGTAAAGCATCGGGGACTCTCTGAACATGATGTGTTTAGCGGGAAGGTAGAAATTGACACGACAATTTGGAATTGATTTCTCCAGGTAGAAGTTCTGGAGAGGGCGATTCGTGATGATTACAGTGGACGTCTGGTGGGTGTTCGATGTTTCACTTGATTATTCACAAGGCAGTCTTTAGTCAGATCCCTCCGATAGTCCCAATCCTGCCAATACGATATCCTTGCAACGAGACACGAAATCTTCCACCTCTGACTTGCTGTGCCAGGCGTCATTGTAGGCAGCACTGAGGCTCATCCTGCTTCTGAAGGTGCCCAGGAACAACCCAAGCCCGTTTCCGAGCTCCTCTCCGGTTACCCAAGGCTTATCGACCTCGATCTGGCCATGCTTTGACGCAATGACCGCATCAACGTTTCCCATGCTCGAGATCGAGACAGAAGGCTTCGGGTTCGGAGACGGAACAGGTGGCAACGTGTCGTTTTTTGGCAGCTCGGGGCACCCAGCCTCCCAGATGGGCAGTGACAATGCGTAGTGATCAGCATCATCCCGCACGGCCTCGTAGAAATTTCTCATCTTCTCTACTATGGACCCGAACTCGTCAGCCCGGTCGGCAGGATCGGCGGTCTCCCCCGTGGCTGGCAGAGTCATATCCACCGTCAATGCACGGCCCGAAACTGAGTGGTAGACCGAAACAGCATGTTTCGGGGTGTTGTACGGCTCGACACAGCTCCTGCGTTCGTTACGAAGAATGTAGTTGACGTATCGAACTCGCTGCGCCTCAGCCCTCCTGTCTTGGATATCCCGAACGGCCATGGCGATCGCTGCGTGGAACGCTTGCGTGACGGTGGCCTTCAGCCTCTTGCAGGCCGCGACGAGAGCTGCTGTGTCGCGCTCGGAGAAGTCCAGCGCGATACGTTGATGCCTGCCAGGTGCAACAGGGCCGTGCTGATAAGGGAGTGCAAGGACCTTGATACCCCCGTCGTCCTGCGAAGCCGCGGCTTTGTGTGCATTCTGTTCAGCAAGGTGCTGTTTTTGGCGATCCGTCAATTCGGTCGGGACATTCGCGGCGACACGGAACGGAGGGCTGAGGTTTTTGATCTCGGAACCGTCGAACCTCGGTATTTCGTATGTGCTTCCTGCGTCGTATGCGTCTGCGACGAGTCGCATCAGGTTGTTGAACATGTGGAGAGTTCCAATGCCGTCCACAATCTCGTGTGGGGAGCGCAGCACAAGATCAGCGCGTATAATACTTGAGGTCGCTGGCCCGGTGGGAATTTCCCGTGGCTTCACAACGAATAGTGTTGGAACCTTTGGCGCCGGAGGGTCACTGTTGGCCCATTCCTCCCCGGCCTCCCCTGTTCCAATAGGGACAAACGTCTCCGCCAGCCAGGCGTCGTGACCAGTCAGGCGGGTGCGGTAGCTCTTGGTGACTTGTCCTGTGGCTGGATTGTGAGAGACGCGGGACGCAATGGTTGGATGTTCATATCGTAAGGCGAGCCATCCGTGCCTCAAGGCGGTCTCGAAGCGTTGTGCAACGGCCTCTTGGCTTTGTCCTTCAGGAATGTCCACGCTCAGGGACAAGTGACCTGTTATCGCGAAGAACATTCGCCCGCAGCCTTCATACCTTTTCGCAAGTGAATAGTAGAATTTCTCTGCCTCGTCGACGTCTCGCTGCCATAGCCCAGGAGAGGTCTCGTGCCACAGGAGGGAGGGGTAAGCCTGAGACATAGTGCTAGTACGACTTGGACGGCACAAGGTGGATAAAGGAGGCAAGCAGATAGAAAATCAGGGCAGAGAAGAAAATGGTGCAAGCAGGTAGTTGTTGCTAAAGAAAATTTGAAGATTGTGCTACTAAGGTCCAGTGAGTTTGACGAATTATCACAGTCCTATAATGAAGCATTCAGCGTGTGACCCATCGTGACTACTTTATTTCCAAATAGGGAAAAGCCAACCATCGTGTGAGTGGTTCACCGGGGCCAGAGCAATCGCTCTTCCGAGATTTTGCCGTGTTAGCACCCGTGGACTGTTACCGGCCGCGGCAGAACGGGCCGATGGTTACTAACGTGTTCTGAATAACATGCAACGCACCATCAGACTAATAATGATGTCTTGGATAAAAGGCACCTAGATATTCGTGCCCGGATAGTTTTCATGAGAACAATCTAGGTTGCGAGGCAGATGTGCAAGTCCTTCCAACCTATATCCATCAGCTTCGTACCCAGTGCGTGTGTAGACATGTCTGTCACGGCTGAGGTTCCTGATGTGTTTCCGGGTATTGCCAGGAATTGGTGAAATATTGGTGGATTCGGTCGACCACCGGCGTAGAACTGTTCTGGTACGTTTCGACGTTGTCGACCCATCTTTTCAGGGCTGACAAATGTGCAAAAGGGCTCCATCTTCCGGGATACACCACCGAGCCACTCCATATTGGCGATGCAGAGGATTTCATCAGGTCGAGTCGTTTAACGATACCAAAGTTGTTCCCACCACCCTTCAGCACGGTGAAGGGATCATTATTCTGGTGCTACCTCCCTTGTGTTTCAGGGCTGGACGAAGCACTCCGGGGTGAGTTGGGATGTTACCTAGGTAAAGGCCAATACGACTCCACACGGTCGGCGTACAAGGTATCATTTGGCATGTAGATTTCTTGAATGCCGGCATCGATAAGAGCTTTGACACTGACGTGCAAATTTAGCCAAGGGAAACAGGCACCAAGCTGAACCCGTGGACAGCAGGTTCCTACACAATTCGAAGGATGCAAAATCTTGAACAATTCTGTCGAATTAGCCGAGGCGCTGAGAGCCAAGTTCAGCACCAACATTGTCTTTATGTTCACATCAACTAAGTGCGTATGATAGTTTTGCGGGGGGAGGCCGGTCTGTTTGGCCGGAAAAGACAGCTTGATACTTTTGAGGGCATGATGACTCCCTCTGAAAAAATCCGTCTCCTTATTTGTACCCTGACCCATACGACCGTACACACTGACATGTTCACGTAGTATGCATCGTATGCCAAGCAAGCAAGATGTCACTGTATTCCCGCACTGCATATCCCGAGCTAGCACCTGAACAATATTCATTCCCAATGAGCAAGAGTTGCCGGTCATCTGAGCACGTCAAAATATAAATACAGTAAAAACCCGCCCAGCCATCATGGACCGACCCTACCATGCATGCATAACGCGTCGTTTGGCTTTCCAAAGCTTGTGACTACAGCAGATTGGCAGCAGGTAGACCATGTGTGGTTGCACAATTGGTGGCAGGTGGTTTGCTTTCCTGGCAACTGTACCCGAGGTTTTGCCGGACAGGACAACATGGGGCCGTGTCTAATATTACCGGATTAGGTGATGATACCAACTTCAATCATCTTCGAGTCTGGTGGTGACCCACACTGGCCGGGACATTGGATCGTGATCGGCTTCCTCCCCGGCCGACAGCCGCATCCGAACTTCTCCCGGCGGGGAGAAAGCGGGCCTTTGTCCGAGTCCGGATCTCCACATTGGGAAATACTCCCAGCACCGTCTACGCCTGCTATGCAAGAGGCTTGAGAACAAGCTGGCGGTTTTGACGAAGTGTCTCAACCCTGCAAAAGTTACCTCATATGAGATACACAGCACACACATGAGTAGGCGTACCATGCCGGCCGTACGGGGCACATTTCAGGTCTTCTGGCTAGCGCCGTGATGAGGCCGACAACGACGGGAAGTGTCGGGAGCCTTCCAACGTTCCGAGATAGGGCACCCCCGAATAATCAGCAAATATAACTTTTGTAGAATTTTATTTAGATAGTTTTCCTTTTAGACCACCTGGCATATTCCTTCGGGAAGCAAGGAGGCTATAGCCACATTTTACTTTCTATTTAACTGTTTATCTATTTCCCATCTTCTCGGCCTTTAGACTACCTAGCAGCTGATAAGTTATATACACAAAGTTAACAATTACTTGAAACATCCCGGGATATCAGTCTTCAGGCACTCGGCCAAGAAGAAGTGTTTACAGTCGCGTGGTCACTCTAAGTGACCTGGAAGCCTTAAGGTTATCGGCGACCTCCTTCGCAACTCTTTGGCCATCCTCTATCCCACCATCGAGGAATCCTCTCCAACCCATGGCCCAGTCCGCACTACCGAACCACACGTTCCCTTGCTTTTCCCGAAGTGCTTCGAGGTATCGACTGACCTGGTTCGGCTTGAACCATTCCCAAGCACCCCTAGCGAACTCATCGTTGTGCCAGTTGTGGAACACAATCCTCTTCAGATCCTTATCCTCAGCGCCAGGAAGGAGCTGCTTCCATGCCTCCAGAGTTGCGCCGATGTCCTCTTCTGCTTGCAGATGCACGCCGGGCAGGGAGCTGCCAAATGCGACTAGGTGGGTGTTCCCCGCCGGCGTGGTCCCGTCGCCGAATGTGTAGGTTAGCTTTCCGTGGGGGTAGTTGAACGCGCCCAGCGACCGCAGCTCAGGCTTGGCGACCTCGACGTGGCACTTGACCACGTGGTTGGCGTGGCCCTCGACGCTGGCCTGAGTCTTCAGTGGCAGCAGCGCGGGAGTGAACTGGATGGAGTGAAGGACGTTGAGCGGGATGGTGCAGATGAGCCTCTTCGCCTTGAAAACAGTGCCGTCCCGCCCCGTCACCTCGACCACGTCGCCCTTGTCGTGCACGCTCGCGACGGGCGTTGAGAAGCTGTGGGTCAGCCTCCCCGTGTCGTGGGCCTCGTCGAACAGACACCGCTGCAGCGCGCTCTGCCCGCACTTGAGCTTGTAGGTCAGGCCCATCTCGATGAAGTCCCTGTAGTCCCAGTTGGCGAGCGCCCACCACCTCAGCATCTCGAAGAAGGACGAGTCCTCCCACTTGCCACCGCACGTGATGGCGAGGAACCCCTCGAGCATGTTCCGCTCCAGGGGGCTGAGCTCGTCCTGGATCTGGTCGATGCGGTCCTTGAGCGACATCTTGTCGTAGATGGCCACGGCCTCCTTGTTGCGGAGCGCGTCGTGCGGCCAGGGGATCACGGTCCGGCCGAGCTCGCCGTCCACGTTTACCAGCTTCTTCAGGCCGGACTCTGAGATGACGTCTTCCTCCTCGTGCGACATGAAGATTGTCGGCTTGTCCTTGGACATGGTCACGGCGCACTTGTTGATGCCGCCCGCCTTGGACATGGACACCTCCAGATTGTCGAGCAGGTTGTACCGGAAGAGCTCGCGCCAGATAAATGGCTGTGTCCAGTGCACCCATGTGCCCCCCATCTCGAATGGGTACCCGTTGATGTTTGATGACCATGACCGGCCGCCGATTCTGTCACGTGCCTCGATCAGGAGTGTGCTGTGGCCCGTTGTCGTTAAGTCCCGGATGGCTGTGAGACCTGTGTATCCTGCACCGATGACTGCAACGTCGTAGACTGTGTCTTTTGACTTGACCGTGGACTGAGGCTGTATCACTCCAAGACACGGGACTCCAGCTTTGAGTCCAGTCTCTGGTGTCCATTGGAAGCCATCGCGGCTGGTGTGGCCCGGTGGGTTGGACATTGCGCTGTTAAACCGACAAGGCTGACTGGATGCTGGGAGACCAAGGTGGCTGTGTGTCAATTGAGGTTGAGGAATGGTTGTTGATGCTTTGAAGATCCGCGATGTTGTGTCTGGTGTGCTATAGGGCATCATCTTCGTTGTGGTGATGCATGATTTAATATTTATATCGTGTTACTCAAACGTCTCACAGAGTTTCTCACTTCCCATTCCTAATTCGGTATTTTATGTTATCACTGTGATATTCGGCATTGAATGTGAGGTCGAGATGCCGTGGTCGACCCTCGGGAGGCACCGGCTCGCTTGGCCACGTTAAGAATCTCACTTTATTGCCCCAATCTGGAAATCTCCTGGGCTGAGGGGAGGAGTTATCAGTCCAATTTGGCGCAACGATAGCGGCTGGGCGTCCTATCGGGGCCGGATCCAGCGCGGTAAACTTCAGGTCTTGCATTGAAAGAGGCCGGCCTTCGGTTTCGCGCCTGTCTCCAAATCGTTAAGGACACAGAGGACGGCAGTCGCTCGGCAATTGCTGTGGCAGGACAGGGGTAATTTTCTCACTTTTTTATCCATATCGGGCATACGAATCAGAGTTCACTAGCCCTCAGCTCAATCTCCAATCACATGGCGCTGACAGGCTCGTGAACGGGCTGCCACGTTCTGCTGCCAGGACACCGCTGTGACAACCTCCACCCTAGATAGTGGTGGACACCTGGATAAGGCTGGAACCGACCACATCGCCATGCCCGGTCCTCCGTTACTCCTGCTTGCATGATAAGACAGAGAGATACGCACTGTCGCTTACAAGAGGCTGTATTCTCCTCTGATAGACGTTAGTTCTCTTATCTTCTCGACGAGGCATTGTGAGCGTGGCGCCACTCTCCTATAAAGTCGAACGAAGAATGGCGAGATCTCGCATCTCGACAAATTCGGACGACTGCACTTGAGTTCATCCTAAACCAGGGCGACCTATTCACATCCTGTGAAGTCTAGATTCGGAGACCGGCTATCGCTCCACTTCTGCATTTAGACAATATGGCGCCAGACATTTCGGTACGCAAGACAGACGAGCTGTCAAAATCCGGGGAGATTGACCTGTCCGCCCTTGAAAAAAGTACGTAAAGATACCCACTTCGTGGCCTGATGCCATGGACCCATCGCCATTGAAGTAAACCCAATTACTGATCGCGCTCAACATTACATTAGGTACATCCAATTCCTTCGGCACGGTCGAGAACTCGACTGCACCAGCCCGAGATCTTGGCCTGCTCGCCATCATCGCCATAGGATGGAACATCTGCAACAGTTGGGCTGCTATTGCGGCGACGCTCGCCATCTCCGTCGCCTCCGGCGGGCCGGTGACGCTGATCTACGGCATCATCATCATATTCATCTTTGGAGCAGCATGCGCCCTGAGCATGGCTGAGATAGCGTCGGCGCACCCTACCGCTGGCGGACAATACCACTGGACGAGCATTCTGGCACCAGAGTCTGCGAGCAGAGGACTGGTAAGTGGCCCTCGAAGCCCAGTGCCAACTTACCGGATCTGCATCCGTAGCCTGACGTTGAAAACAGAGTTATTGGTGCGGCGCTGTCAACGTCTTTGGGTGGATCGCAACGTCGGCCGGATTCATCATTACCTTTCCAACCATGGCCTTGGCCTTGGCCTCCTTCTGGAACCCTGGGTATACGGTCGAGACATGGCACGTCTTCTTGATCTTCCAAGCCATGAACTTCCTCATGGTGATATATAACATCTTCCTACTGAAGAGGACCATCTGGCTGCAGGACGTCGGATGTAAGTGGTCCCCTCTCGCAGAAGATGCTTGCCGGCAGCAATGACTTCCATTGGCATGACCAAGTGCTAACATTGTGTGACTTTACCAATATAGTCTTCATGTCTCTCGTCGCATTTATAGTCATCACAATAACCTGCCTTGCCGAGTCGAACCCCAAACAGAGCAGCGATTTCGTGTGGAGAGAATTCGTCAACACCTCAGGCTGGTCTTCTGATGGTGTCGTCTTCCTCACCGGTCTTGTCAACCCCAACTTTATATTCTCGGGTCTTGACGGCGCCATACACCTAGCTGAGGAATGCACCAACGCTGCGGTGGCTGTCCCTCGGGCTCTTGTCTCGACGGTGGTCATCGGATTCGTGACAGCTCTGGTCTTTGCGATTGGCATGTGCTACAGCTACCACGACTTCGACGCCGTGCTTGCCTCACCGTCAGTATAACCTTTCTCGGCGTTTGAAGATCGATCCATGGGGAGCTTGGGGCTGACGATGTGTACTATCACCAGGTTCCCCGCCCTCGAAATTTGGTACCAAGCCACGTCCAGCCGAGCCGTCGCCTCTTTCTTCCTCGTCACACTGAACGTCATCACACTCTTCGCCATCTCTGGGGCGATACAGACAGCCTCACGACTTACGTGGTCGTTCGCACGGGACGACGCCGTCGTGTTGGCTCCTTTCCTCAGCCGTATCCACCCACGCCTGGGTGTCCCTGTGTGGTCCCTGATCGCCAACAGTGTGTGTGTGTTTGTCTTGGGATGTGTCTATCTGGGATCTTCGACAGCGTTCAACGCCCTCGTCAGCACCGGCATCATCCTGCAGCAACTCAGCTTCGCCTTCCCTGCTGCGCTTATGCTGTACCGCCGGGCCAAGGGGACTCTGGAAGAGGTCATGCCAGCGGCACAGACTGGGTTTAAGTTGCGATTCGGAGTCGGCCCTGTTGCCAATGTCTTGACCATCATCATGGCTCTGCTGGCCTTGGTGTTCTATGACCTTCCTGTGGTTTTGCCAGTAACCGCGGCTAATATGAGTATGTCTTCGCCCTCCATGTGTCTTATTTCGAGACGCGTTGACTGACAGTGTGATAGACTATGCTTGCGCAGTGATTGGAGTGATGGGTCTACTTGCCCTGGCCAACTGGTTTGGCTATGCAACGAGGAAGTATCAAGGACCGAGGATGGAGCACGACGACTAGTGTTTAGAGCGAGTCAGCTACTTTTCCAGAGCGAAATTGAATTGTCATATTCCATTGAGATTTGGTCGCCACGCCTCTCAGCCCAACGTACATGAATGGACCTCAATGATCGCACGACAAAGCACTTTGCTGTAACATGATGCTATCAAGTGAAGAGCCAAGTGACATATCATGTTTTAGGCTACGCGAAATCATGGTCCACAGGTGCGCATTATAGCCCACGGCAATGGCATAGAATTGTAGTCCATGGTCAAAGGTCCCATAAAGCCCCCAAACAAATGTCTCCGCGGCTAAAGCAATACGGCTGCTTCCAGCAGTCCAGAAGCTCCAGGTCTCGATCGAGGATCAGAGAGAGGACGGCTCAGGGCCAAGCGCCAGTCTTGTCTGGAAGGCTCGATCGCCCCCAGCGTTATGATTTGTCTTGATATTTCATTGCCTGGGGGCCATACAGGCACTTGAATTTTGTGCGATAAACATTGGACCGTTTAATGAGTACTTTGAAATTGCACCAATATCCGAACTTTCATGCTCCTTCACGATCTCGGGTCGCGTTCGCTGTTTGACCCATCATGCTTTCTCTCTGAGGACTCTTGCACCGCGTCGGGGCCGTATCGGCGGGACTGGACAAATGCATGTAGCTTCTCAAAGTTCCTACACGTATGGGGCACATCAGCTTGCACATAATTATGTCCCAGCTGTGCTGTCCACTCGGTGGGGATCAACGTCATGTCGCCAGCACACATCAGCATTTGGCGTATATGATCTATGCAGTGCTCTGTAACGATGGTGAATTAGCCACTCGGCCAGCAGAGCCTGGCAGGGAACGTACCTCGGTGCACTCGCGTATTACCCATCTGCTTCTCTCGGGGATAGTACTCGGGCCATAGAGCCTGCCTGAGTCTGTTCTAGATACGTGTCAATGGATGTACCTCGAGTTTCCGTTATGAATGGAGGCCGCAAGTACTCACTAAACAATGCAAGGCATGAAACATGTCAATTCTGTACACTCCTTTAGTACAACGGGATTCTTGAAGGCTGAGCCCATCAGGTGGGTGCCATATTCATTTCAATTTGAGACCTACCCCGCCGTGTATCCGCCTACTTTATCGTTCCAGTATGAGTCGGGCGCAGCTCCAAAGGCCTCAACGGCCTCTTCGGCCGTGATGAGGAAGTATCGACCTGATCGGAATTTAGAATATGGATAGATTTTCAACGTAATTGTCATTGGCTATTATACCTGCTGTCAATCGTTCCCAATTGTCATCAATTTCAGAGGAAGGTTCACCAGTGTACTTCTCCTTGCTAGGGTGTGGGACCCAGAAGGTCCCATTCTCGTCAAACACTGGGCTTCCTGTGAATGTCACGATTTCCTGTTCAATATGTTCCGCTGATGCTCCTGATTGTCCATAGTCGTATCAGTTCACCGAACTTTCTTACTATTTTCGTCGGGAAACAGGGTCGAAAACGATGAAACGAAAAAAACACCAAAAGGGTGTGTCAAAGGTTGAACTCTGTATACTGACTGAAGTCGGTGGGACGAAGTCCTTCCAAAGCTGGATTGGAGTGGTTCATCCGCGCGTGTGTCAATGAAAGAGCAAGCGCAATTCCAAGTAGCAGGCAAAGTATCCAAGGGAGCGTTTGTCCAGCGCGATTGAGGGTAGCTTCCGAGGGCGGGGGTCGACCATTCATACTCTCCGCCTTCATTAGATCAGACTTGTCATTTTCGAGCACCAACATTCTCGAGTCTTTGAGCCTCTCATAGGGGGTGCCATCTCGTCCAAAGAGACTGGAGAATTTGAAATGTAGAGACCCCATGCTCTCCTAACCTGGAAGATGAACGAAGATAGAGGAAGTAGTCTAATACGGACAGGTCTGTGTTGGGAGAGTGAATTGCACGAAAGCCACTGACATAGAAGTGGTTATTTCATCTGCCGGACTGCGAAAGAAATGAAGCACAAGTTCGGCGGAAAAACAACGAGTGGGCGAGGAGCGGGCTCTTGGTGACCAACGCCACATGAACATGGGAGAGGTTTTCGGAGATACGATGGGGAGCAGGTGATGTGTGGACATCTGCGAAGGATTTCGCCCACTCGCCTCTCGACTTGGAAGGTGTTCTATGGCCTGGGAAAAATATTTGACTAGAAAGGTACTTTGTGATACAAGTCGCAGATCATCAGGCCGAGCATTACATTGAACTACCAGTATCGTGAACCCACAGCACTGTGTACAAGGCTCCTTCCACGTAATATGTGGAGACTGCACGACTGACTCTACGCACTGTCCCCACAGCGCAGATGTTCATGGGTCCCCACACCCGTGCGACGGATGTCTGGGAAGGTGACCTGCGGGCTAGCCCAGGCAGCTCTGGCTTGAAAAAGGTCTTCTGTAATTTTCGCTCGCGAGTGTGGGTGCCCTCAACCCTCGTGGCCAGAATGAGCAACATGTTTGGGTGACCCAAGCATTACCATCCCTCGGGGAGTTGATCAAGCCGAAGAGCATCGCGTAAACGCAGTTTCCGAGTAGTTCATTCGTGGCAGAGAGTGGGGGTATACGGCCTGCGCTCAGAGCAGGATCACGTATGCCCCGAAGGATTGCAGGGACTGGAAAGCTTGCAATCACGTATCTTGGCTTGGAAATGAGGCCATATCTCCGATGACCGGTGGGAGGATCTAAAGGTTTGAGATCAGCACCAAATACTGGTAACATCTTGGTGCCTGTGAGTTCGCACAAGGCCGAATTGCTATCGCAAGAAGATGCAGTGATGCTGGGTTCAGACGCCTATCTAGGTACGCAAAGCCCTTATGTCCAGCATTGTACACCTCAGCCTGAGGGGTCTCTGGTGTGAACTCAATCATCTTATCTAGCAGTTCTTCTCCATTATGAACTCAGATATCTTGGGAAGACATAGCTATAAGAAGACATGTTTCAGATTCAAATACGTAGCAGCATGACGACTTTTCAAAAAGTAGGCCCTAAATTCAGATATCTGGATCATGATGAAATAGTTGAATATCAGCCAAACCACCCAAAATGGATGGTTGCGGCCCTCATGGCTTGACAAATATCACCCCGACATTGTGAACACTGCCTGCCTGCGTGGACGCTGTATTTAGTTGTCCTCACGGTCTCCATCGTACCGCTTGACCTTGTTGTCCTCACGATCTCCATCGTACCGCTTCACCTTGTTGTCCTCACGGTCTCCATCGTACCGCTTGACCTTGTTGTCCTCACGATCTCCATCGTACCGCTTCACCTTGTTGTCCTCACGGTCTCCATCGTACCGCTTGACCTTGTTGTCCTCACGATCTCCATCGTACCGCTTCACCTTGTTGTCCTCACGATCTCCGTCGTAGCGCAGCGACAGGGGCTTGAGATCGTTATCTGCCAATGGGTGACGAGAAAGTAAATTGGTTGCGCCTTCAACATGTCAAATTCGAAGCCATTGGTCGTTGATAGTGTAATTTATCTCACCTGTGGCGGGAAGAACAGCCGCATGGATGGATACAGCAGCCAAAAGGCCAACAGAGAGTTGAGCGACACGCATATTGCAAGCCAGCCTTTGAGATTATTAAAAGTTGCTTAGTATTGTGCTTGGAATGCTTCAGGGGGTTTTCGATGCTTTTTGGAGGGTCTGAGCTGTCTTCAGGGCAGGGACAGCCTTTATGTACTTTTTAGGGCCATTCATTTACGTGTCTTGCTCACAGTCTTGTACTCGTACACAGAAAGTCGTACTCATCAGCTTCGGGCACAGCCTGTGGGGTTAGGCGTCCTGCTAGATAGCCGCCTCGTTTCAGCGAGGTAAACAGCTAGGACGTTCACATGCAGGGCTAAGATGACTGAAAATTCAGCCGAGACTACTCGGGATTTGTTGAAAACAATCACTGGTCATGAGAGCATCTGTTCCTTGCAGTACGCAAAACTTCTCCGTTTATTTCATTCCATCACCACTTCTTCCGCCAATGCGGTTGTGCGGATCAATATCAGTACAGTGTCAATCAAGAGGGTAAGCTCTATGATATAGTAAGCTTAATCCTCCAACTGCGGGGTTTCGCTAATGCAAGAGGCTGAACGATTGCAGGCATCAAGACGAGGATATGTAGATGCTCGCCCCGACAAGAGACTAACCGTCCCACAGTATTGCCTGAAGTGGACCGAAGGAATTGAACTTCCCTTTTCAGCCAGCCCACCAATCCCGGCCGGAGCACAGCCGTTTTTGGGATATTCAGCATTGCCCGGTTCTACATCGCTCGTCCTTCCTCGTTCAGTCGTGTAAACTGAACGGTTACTATCCCCAGCACCAATGGCAATAATCTGATGTCAACTGGTGTTATATGAAACACCAACAACAGACCATCTCAGCCTGTCCGCGGCATCATCTATTTTAAATATGGCTTCACCGAACGAGACTTTCGACGTTGAAGAAGCTAACTTTGAAACGACTCTGCCAAGTTCCAAAGTCAGTTTCAATGGGCCTCGGAAATTTGCGTGCCAAATTAGGAGCACTTGCAGCACAATAATTGTCGCCTTGGTCCCATCCTGGCTTCATGCGGCACCGAAATCACCACCGCGAAAAACATCCAGACCCTCGCCGACTGCCTACGTAACAGGAATTAGAGGCTTGGTCTCTATCTTGGTATTCGTTCGGCACTTCTATTTACCCTGGCAAGACCATATGGACTACGGCTACGGCTATCGAGGTAGCAACAACCTGTTGCGGCTGCCATATCTGCGACTCCTGTTTTCTGGGCCATTGGTGCCGATGTTCTTCATCCTTTCCGGATACATATTGTCGAAAAAGCCACTTCACCTCTCAGGATCAGCAATTGTTCCCTGGGAAGGGCTGACGACATCTTTGGCCGGTTCGACATTTCGCAGAGGGCTTCGCCTTTTCCTCCCACCTACATTCTCAACGTTTGGAGTCATGTTGCTCGTCAGATTTGGGCTTTTCTCATTCCCCTATGAGACAATGCCAGGCCGCATTCCCGATCACCCGGACTTTCTTGATTCAACCGCCCGCCAGCTATGGGACTGGGTCAAATTTGTCGTGACTGAGATGACGAACCCCTGGACATGGACCTCTGGCCACCTCATCTATGGCCCCCATCTCTGGACAATACCTATCTCCTTCCAGGGATCCTTGGTCACGTATCTCACTTGCCTGGCGCTTCTTAGAGTTAAGGCCTCTGTTCGACTGATGTTGATTGCATTGGTGATCTTACATGCAATAATACTTGGTCGCATTTACATGTCTCTCTTTTTCGGCGGGATGCTCTTAAGTGGGATAGAGGTCTACCAGTCAACCTCGAGCCACTTGGCTTACATTGCCACGTACACTACCAGACTCAACACACCATCGAGATTCTGGACATTTTTGCTCTTGGTTTGTGGAGGCTACATTGGATCGTTCCCTCGTGATAACCACCATGGACAATGTGTCTCTGGATATCAGACAATTTGCGAGATCAGTACTGATTACCATCCTTGGCATGCTTTGGGTGCCTTCCTGATATTCAGCGCAATTTGGCGAGAGACCCAAGTACAGTCGTACCTAGAGGCGCCATTGCTGCAGTATTTCGGAAAGATATCGTTCTCCTTATACATCATCCATGAGCCTCTCTTGCATGTCTTCGGATTCTTCACTGTACAATTCATCTGGAATTTCACGGGAAAAGAGACAATCCTGCAGTATCAAGCTGGACTCATCTTGGCCATGGCAGTCAACTTTTTTGTCCTTGTCTGGCTTGCGGATTTGTTTTGGAGACACATTGAAGGTTTCTGTGCGCGTATCGCTAGTCTGGTTGAACGCTCTGCATTCGCTGTCTGATAGAGCCTAGGCATACTGGAGAATAGACACTGTTCTGCAGCATGAAGGCATCTGTACTGATGTATTACAATCGTTGGTGACATTCACCCTTGCGCTCCATTTGCACGTTCTGCCCCCTGCAGAACAGAAATTATCCACTCCTAGGTATTACAGGTACACAAGGTCTTGTTATCAGCTGAGACCGAGCTGTCGTCAGAACTCTCAGATTGTCGTGCTTTGTTTCTCTGTGGAATTTCTCCGACGCTAATGGAATTGTTGCCAGGATTTTGATCCTCCACGGTTTTCTGCTAGACGATCGATCCTACAGATATAACCAAAGTCCCTGTCACCTGCAGGCTTGACTCCTCATGATAAGTTTACAGTAGCATCCAGCCTCGAGCATCCTGGCATCGCGCTCTGCTGCACGACTGCAATGGGGTTTGCCTTGTCTGGGACCCACTAGAATCCTTGTCAGCCACTTCTAATGCTTAGAGAACTGCCCGAACTATCACTAGTTGCCTGACCGCTCACTCATTCCTTCACCGCATGATAATTCCAGAGTGTTGAGTGTCGGGCGCCAAAATTGGAAGGATGATAGCTCGTGGATTGAAGTGCTGCGACCCACTTGACCCACTACACCAAGCCGTGTGGTTCAGAAACACTCTGACTGTGCTTTTCTCGTGGGCCCATGGATTCTGGTCTCGAGAGCCGCGGAGACTGGCAGCCGAACCCCGAAAACACGCCTGGAATCTTTGTTTGAGGGAGCACTTCCTTTCTAACTCGGGAAGCCGGAGAGCCCAGGCATATTGTGTTCGTGCGTTGTGCCTAAACCATGATTTCACCACCGTGGAAGGCGTGTCTTAGGCACATTCAACTGCTGGTATCCTTAATTTGTCTTATTTGTAGCCTTTTGTTTTATGTATCAAGGTGCACTGAGAAACCGAGCGATGAAGTCTGCGTTGGCCGCCTCTTCCCGCCATGTATGTCAACAAATTTACATTCACCATGCGGGCGGGTTGCAGGAGATACTGACAGTCAAAGCTGCCGCAAACGCAGTGATTGAGTATCAATTAGTGAATTACCTTGATATTTCTCCAACCGATACAATTTACCAAGGGGAACCGACACCAGACCGGGAGGAAGCTTGGGATTCTACCACCCCCAGTCTACGTAGGTCACCAGGTAATGCCCCCATGCTACAAGAAGAAGGGCGCTGATTGATGCAACAGGACTACTTCCATTGGGATTAGAAGATCAAACTCCGGCAATTATCGGTGTTTCGCTTCATATGAACTGCCTGGTAAGATAGTATTCTGCAGTCTCGTATAAGTGGCTGTCCGTCACTGATAACACGAATGAGCCCAGAGATTTTTGCGTGACAAGGTCTATTCCGGTGTGGACACACCAATAGACAGTCAGTTAGATGAGTTGGTGGTACAGCAGTGTATCGAAATTCTACGTCGACACCTGATGTGCAACTTCGATACCACGGTATATCTCATCGCGAATAGTGCGAAGAGTGCGAAGGGGACCAGTCCTGTAATGGGCAATCCTCATTATTGTCGCACATTCACCAAGGTCTTAGAATGGATTGGTGACCATGGTGATGGAAAGCCCACTGCCGACTTGTACACGTTGTTGGGTAACTAAGTAAATAAGTTCGGCGAGATCAGAATGATGACGCTCATGCTATCATAGCAATACTGAGACAATGAATACCAATTGAATTTTGAAATATCTGGGACTCCGTGTGCTCGGTGGTTCGTAATCGGCGATTTTATTTCAATTTTACGGATACTCGCGTAAGTAATTGCGCTCCAGGGCGTGATGTATTACATAGAACAAACAGGTTTCACACTTCCACCACATCCTGATTGAAAGCGAATCCGAAATGAGACTGAATCGCCACTTCAGTGATCCAGCGGTACAGTTATGTGATCATTTGCCCAGTCGGCAGCGGCGTCGAAATCACGACAACGTTGATCCCGGGGCATTTCAACAGCCAGGTGACCCGTTTCGCCCTGTGACAAGGGATACATGGCCGTATCTGAGTCGCACACAATCTTTGCTCGAAGCATCTCGATACAATGCTCGGTGTGGTCAAGAATGTGAATATCCTTGTTCGTGAAAAAGGCGAGATAGGAGTAATCTCGTTCGTTTCGGTAGATGTACTGACGAACAAGATTCTAAAACCATTTCTCAGCAACCGCCTTGTGCAAAATTGGCGAGGCCTGCCGTTGAGCAGGGGAAGGGGGTTGTTTATTTACAAGGCAATGAATATAGTGAAACCCTTCAATGTATGCTTGTATGCCACCGCCATGTTCATTGGGCAGGTGGTGCCAATCATAATCATTTGCCGACTTGTTCAGCAAGGGCAAATCGCTTTCAGGCAAGCCCATCGACCCAACTTTGAATTACCATTAGCCAATTGACTTGCTTCAATTTTAGTACTGGTACTCACATTTCCATAGCTCGTCCCATGCGGACTCCATTTGATCAGACGGTTTCCCGACAAATATTGAATTTGAGAGACTTCCGAAATACGGCTCCCGGTATTTAATTGCTTCAAGCATTGGTGCTGTAGCCCCTTCACCATCAGCATACAGCTAAAAACATCAATGCACGTAGTATTATCGAGGGGAGTACTCACACCACGCGTTGAGTTTGTGCACACATTCTGCATCTGAAGGCTCACGCCATAGTGCGCCAAAGAAGAAGATAATGCTGGCTGCAAAACATAACGTGGTCAAGAAAAACACGTGGTTGTCACCCTGAGTTGTATGATGGGTACTCTTCTGGGGCTCACTCGGCAAGAAGGGGACTTGCTCCTCTGCGACCTCAAGCTCTGATAGTACCTCCCTATGCCCGGAAACAGGCTGAGATGCGCTGACGGCCATGTTTGAAATGTTCCTGTTGACGACAAGTCTCAAATTGGGAATTCTTAGGCCGCCATCTCGGTCAGTCTTCCAGCTGTTCGATTATCCAGCGCGGAGACGGGGCTGGACCCGGTGATGCTTGCGTTTCGAGATCCTCCTACTAACCGTATACGGACGTCTTTAGTCTAGCACAGTGTATTGCGAATACTGGGTTGATTCTGCATCATCGAAGGATTAATGGAGCCCTTGTCATGTCCGGGCCTGTTGGTAAATCCTGTGGCACAGTGCCGAGGCGATGTGCTGGCATTTGCCTGAAAGCTTGTCAACAATGTGTGTACACAGTAGATTCAACGGCCCACCTGATGCCGGGGCTGGATCTGACGGCTATCTTGCCAAGCGCTGGGAGCCCGTGGGCCAAAAGCTTGTCTCCAAACTGGCGAAGGCCCACACAGTAGACGGGTCCTGCATTTCAGCCTCCCGGCAAGAAGGAATATACAGGCTGCACAAGGTCGTGACTAGAGAGATCCAAGCTGATTATGACTGGTGGACTTTCCTCAAAACATGTGTTACGTGTACAGCTGTTGGACCGAGACCCGCTGCGGTGGACGCGGGCTCGTGATGCAGCTACGAAAGCCATTTGTTGATTTAGTCCAATAGATCTGTGACGACGCATGGCTGCCTAAAGCGCACTTTAACTTATCTGTGGGTCGCGTAGTCGACATCCCATTGTTTGACCTGAGTCTCATGCATACACGATATCTTGAATCCTGCCCCGGGCGGGGATTCGAACAACCCTAGGAACCGACCGGAGGACGTGGGTGTACTCGGTTAGTCAGACCCGTCGTTGCCGCGACAAGGTGAACATGTGGACCCTGAGGTCCATTAGTACCATTGTGCAGTCCTCCAAAATTCCCAAGGACATTTCGGTGTCCGGAGCTAGCAATAGTTCGGTATCTACTCGTTCACCGACAGCCTATCTCGTCAGTCGCGTAAGACACTGGCATGTCGCTAAAGCAGACCCGCACGTCAAGATTATCACGGCAAGAGAGCTTCCATCTTTGGGCCAGATGAGCTGTGGGAGGCCAATTGAATGATTTGATGACAGGTAAAAAATAGTCGCTTATTTTAATGTCTCGAACTACTGCCGGTCAATCATGACGACATGAGGACCTAGGAGCCTCGGAACCTCGGTATTCCATGTACAATTGAGAGAATAGGCCTGGTGCCATTTTCTCTCAAACACAAGTCCGTATTGCTCTAGTTTGTGTCATTCTTCATCCTGTCACAGTGCTTTTGAGATAAGGCCTGGTGGGGTTCCTTCATACAGTCGTAAAAGCTGCAAGACCCAACGCTAGATAAGCACACCGGTGTTGATCTAGTCACTTGCCCATGTCCATCGATATTCATTGACCACCTGTTGAACAGAAGTCCAATCTTTGCATTGGTGAACAGTTCCCCAACCATCCGTAGCCCTTCGATGCCCATCTTCATCGACCCTGGCACCTTCGAGTGTCATATCCGAGGCACACATGATTGCCTGGCGCAAATAGTCGAAGCAGTGATCAGCGTGGTTGGACACCTTGTCTTGGAATGCTTCATTTCGAAGAAGGGCAGCGTAATTATTTCGTAATGTTTTCTGGTGACATGATCAGCAAATAGAGGGGCAGTATCATCGTTGTCGACCACCTGAGGGAACAATGAATTTGCCGTACCAGACAGTGTAATTGATGAAACACCGATACTGCTAGCTTGTCGTTACCACCATCGGCCTCGATGCCTGCGGCAATCCCAAATCTAGAGGGGTCGAACACCATGATGTGCCCTCGCATACCTGCAAGGTCCCCGGCCTCCGTCAGCATGTTTGAAGCTTGCAAGACGGATAATTAAACGTACCGAGCGGCTTCCATGCCTGTTCAGACTTGTAGTCAGAAAAGTTCCAATAACTATAATCGGCCTCGAAAGTGACGGGAGCCACGAGATCAACTGATCCGATCAGCTGCTGCGCTCGGTGTTGCATTCAAATTGAAGTTCTTCTGACGCAAATACCTACTCACCAACGGGCAATAGGTTTGTTCCAGAAGTTTCTGAATCGCATTTTCCATCTCTCATGGCCACACCTATCGACAGTCCTATGAAGACAGAGAATAGTGATCCGATGACTGCGAAAATTATTTGAGTCACTTTATGCTTCTTCGAATCCGCGTTGCCTTTGGAGTTCTGGCCTCCCGAAGTGTTGGATTCCGCATCCGCCGTGATTTGGGAATATTTAGGTCTTGAACCTGACCACTTCGACAGCATGTTCATCGTGAAATAAGGTATCCGCCCAACAAAAGCAGATGAACTTGGACTCGTGGAAGTCAGAGATTCTGTCCCAGGCAATGAAACAGAAAATTGTTCGTATTGTGACGAGGGCTGTTGGCCCCCCTCCCCCCCCCCCTCCAATTCTCCTTTCGACTAATATCTCATACAATGATCATGGCAGACTGCAAATCGGTACTCTGATAACGTAATCATGAGTCCAAGATCGTTATCAGGCTCGTGGGGAAACCTCTGAGGTGCGATCCTTGGTAAGGGACCATGGCCCAGCCTCTAGATGACTAGTCAATATGTTTGTAGTATCCACATATATGCAGACGGACCCACATGGTGAATCCTACGACTAGAAAGCTTGATTTATTGCTGATACCTAGCAAATACTAGGGGAAGCAACACGATCTCCATACAGTGCATTCCTAACTAATGTACCGCGAGATACATGACCGGGGGTGAAACCACAGCGAGTACCACCATGAACTAAGAACCACATCAACGGGCTCAGTGTGAAAACTCAATCACTGCAGTATTACTGGTATGGTTCTGGTCGCGCTTCCAAGTCGGAGACAGATTGTAACTCCGAAGGTCTTCTTCGCCCGGGAGCTGGGCCTGTCATGCTTGATTGATGGTACTACGTACCGTCGGACGGCAATGCGGCGCAGCTGCGAAAGACCCTGACTTGCGGGGTGCACAGGCAACTTATCGCTAAATCGTAGGGTCATCATTTCTATTAACTCGGGGCCTCTTCCTGAAGCACAATCAACTCTGGTATGAATTCGTGGCCTTATTCCCCACGCATTCCAGCACGCAACGGGCACGGATCCGAACTTCCCATATGATGGGCCTCCCAACCCAAACTCCTATCGCATTTGATGCCACAGAAAGTTCACTTATAGAGGCTGCGAAGAATCACATCGCGACTACCAAGGCTCTGTGGGATCAGGTTGTGTCGTCCGTAGACCCGAAGAGCGCCAATTGGGAGAACGTTATTGTTCCCATCATCGAGGATGAAAATAAGAGGGTGTCCGCGACCCGTTACCTGGGCTTCTACAAGTCTACGTCACCTGACGCGAGTCTCCGGGCGGCATCGAACACCGCGTCAGGGCTCCTGGACGATGCTGAAGTGGAACTCTACGGACGGACAGACATGTTCGCGCTGATAGATGCTGTCAGGGACCATATTGCCGCCGGAGCGGCAGTTCAAGACCCGGAGCCGCGGTATTATCTGGAAAAGATGCACCGGAAATTCATACACAGCGGCTGTGGTATCAACGATGCCGGCGAAAAAGCCGTATTCATGCAGTACCAGCGACGCATCAGGGAGATTGAGCGCCAGTGCAACAAGAATCACCATGACGAAAGCACCAGAGTCTGCTTCAGTCGAGACGAATTGGCCGGCGTTCCCGAGTCCTTCTTGAAGCAATTGACCACGGACGAGCAAGGTATCTGGGTATCTACCAAGGTCGCCCAGAGCGGCAAGATCCTCAGCAACGCGCGCAAGGGGGAAACCCGCAAGAAGATGTTCTACTCCATACAGAACAAGATGCCGGACAACATCGCCCTCTTCCGGGAGCTCATCCTGTTGCGCGACAAGGCCGCGAGGCTCCTCGGGTACCCGAACCACGCAGCCATGCGGATCGGCGACAAGATGATGCGGAGCCCGGAGGCCGTGACCAGCATGCTGCAGGACCTCGAGGCGCGCCTGGTCCCGGAGGGCGCCAGGGACGTCGCGAGGCTGCTGGAGATCAAGCAGGCGGAAGCGACCGCAGCAGGCAACTTGGGAGGATCGAACCAGACGGAGCGTGTGTTTCTATGGGACGTTTCGTATCTCGCTCAGCTGCAAGATCAGCGAGAAAAGGCAGCAGCCGTCCAAGTCGCAGATTACTTCGAGCTGCATCATACCCTAGACAGGCTCCTCGGCATCTTCCAGCACCTCTTTGGCGTCCAGTTCAAGAAGGTCACGGCCGAGGAACAACAAGAGCTCAGCGGTGGGAAGCCTCTTGTCTGGGACGATGATGTGCTCATGTATTCTGTGTGGGACACTCGGGAGCAAGTCACTGGCAGCACTTTCATGGGCTATGCATATCTGGACCTGCACCCGCGACAGGGCAAGTACACGCACAGCGGCCACTATTCTCTGCAGCCAGTAAGTGTCTACCACCACCACCCATAAACAAAGTGCAAATACTACCAGTGTAGGTGACTAACCGCCTGACCAAGAACTACGACAAGCCTGACGGCTCCCATAACAAGGCCTCCTCAGTTCTGGTGATGAACTACATGAAGACGGCCGGCCGGCCGACTCTGCTCGGGCTTGGAGACGTGCGGAAGCTCTTTCACGAGATCGGCCACCTCGTGCACGCGCTTTGTACCAGGACCAAGTACGCGGCGTCGCAGCAGGTCGACAGGGACTTTGTCGAGGCCCCGGCCTTGATGTTCGAGCAGTTCTTCTGGCAGGCCCAGCTCATCCAGGACGTCTCCCACCACTACGCGTGGCTGTCGCCCGAGTACGAGATGATATGGCGGGAGACTCTTCCCGATGCCGAAAGGGCATCCTCGGCCCTGCCGCCGCAGAGGATGCCGGAGGGCGTGGCAGTCTCTATTGCCAGCTCGGATGTGAAACGGAGGGCTCTGCGGGAGGAGCTGAACAGCTTGTTCTTCGCTAAGTACGACTTGATGATTCACTCGCCAGAGAGCCACGAAGCGTTGGAAAAGATGAACCTCACTGCGGCATATAACAAGATGAAGTCTGAGATTCGCAGCCTGGCAGGTGGGGAGGCCTTGGGCGAGGGCCTGGAATGGGGACACGGTGAGACGGTTTTCCGAGCTGTGATCAACAAGTACGATGCTGGATACTACTCATACGTCCTGTAAGTCGACCCATCCCACACAGGTCTGCGTGCCCCAGCTGCTTGTCTGCTGAGGTCCCTACCACGCCGCCGTCCCGGATGTGGTGCTGCTGTTACCTACCAGCTGGCTAATCCAACCAACCCGCAGTGGATCTATTCTTGCATCTGAGATTTTCGCATCATCCTTCGCATCAGACCCGATGAGCCCGAGCACGGGGAGTCGCTATCGCGAGGAGGTACTGAGGTGGGGAGGCTCGAAGCCGGAGCTCGAGATAATCACCGATTACCTAGGTCGGCCGCCGAACACGGGGGCGTTCCTGAGGCACCTTGGCCTGGAGCTCTAGGTTTTCTAGTTCTGTTTCGTGCCTCCTCTAACTTCAGCCATGTCTCCGCCTAGTCCTTGGATCACATGTTGTTGGCACACCGGATGTGGTCCACCATCGATGACCACCGTCGAGTGGATCACCCTTGGGTGCTTAAGCTGCTGTTAGCTATTGTTTCTCTGCATGCAGCTTCAGCAAGGCAGTAGATACAGTATTTATGACGCATAATCACGAAATACACAGAGCATCCATTCTGAACCATGACCTCGGCGCCCATACAGAGCGAGACGTGCACCTCCGCAACGAGCTAACCCCAGCAGGGAAGGTCGAAGGTTGATGCCCGCCGAGCAGGGAGAAACCGCCGAGCAAACTGCGTGACCGAGTAATGGCGGGCAGACACGAGCTGGACCTAGCATCGTTGGTTATTGCCTGGTGGTAAGTATCGCTGCGTGATGCGGGCAGGTGCCCACCAAGAGAACGAGATGACACTTGATCCAAGGAACGAAGCATTTCTCCTGTCCATCAGTCCTTTATGCGCCCCTTCGGCGGCACCTGGCTCCCTCTCGCTCTCTCGCACTCGCTGGAAGCAATATTACTAGTATTCCCATTTGTATCAAGCACATGCACCCATGATGGCGGAGGGCCCTATGACCTCAAGTGCTGGGGGGGGGGTCCCCAAATTAATAAATTGGCTTGAGTCGGTCATGAGAGCCCGCTCGTCCAGCCTTCTTCTCCAGATGCCGCCAGTGAGATTCAACATGAGTTGTTGAAGCATATGAGGACCGAGGTGCGCAATGACCCTCAGGGCCTCGACGAGATATTGTGGGATAGACTGGCAGATTTGGAGGACCGCTCTTGGCGCCCATACAGAATACTAGTGTAATGATTTTGTACCCTAGGTTAGGATTATGCGTGAGGTGCTTGGAGGGAATGGCGATTGTGCTTGGTATTGGGGTTGTTGTAGTTAGTCACTATGTTGAAGTTGCGGGACTACAGAGATCTCAACCTCTCTCTGCGTGCGGTCCCATTTTCGGGCCCACTCGGGGGCTGATGAATGATCATCCGAGGCACAGGATCACATGCCTTGCTACAGAATCATCGACGACATCTTCGAAGGGAAGTTGCGTAAGATCATGACAAAGCCCCTGTAGCCTGCAGATGGATCTCTAATGTGTTGTCTCGTGGGATGAGGTCTCATGGGAGGTTGCCTGATTGCCTAGAGGAAGAGGTTCTACAGGAGGTGCGGATGTTATTCTAGAAGAGGATATCTCACCGAAGGATGAGCGACAAAGATGTTGTGGCCGCGTGGCAGAGACCATCGTGAAGGCGTTTGACTTAGTAGTGGTGCAGCATTAGTCCAACGTCATTCGCGCCCAAGTTCAAGACAGCTCTCTGTGGCGCTCGGCTCATGCTGAGAATCCAGCTGAACAAAGATCTCCATTAATAACCGCATCGGAGGTATACGCGTAAATCAGTTTCACGGAGCACCATTGTCATGCAATACGCGTGTAGCGCGCCCGCCTGCAGCATGCCAAGAAGGGGACTCCGGCGTACGATCCATGTCAAATGCCCCTACCTCCGTACATACCTAGGTGCAATCCCGTAGTACCTAGGTAATTTCCACTGTGCCCGCACACTAAAAGAGCTTCGGTGTCCTGGCGGGTATTTCTATATCCAATGTTTGCAATCACTTCTATTACTACTAGTCTAGTATATCTTTCGCATCTCGTTCCCACCTATTCTTGGATTCCACAATAGCCTTGGCTTGGGACACATCTCCCTCTGGATCCTCTTTCTCGTTGCTCAAGCTGGATCCTCAATGCACTACCGGGCTGGGAACTGAGTCTTGTGCCCCAGGAAGCGAGATTATCCGCGGGCTTTCGGATGCCTCGACCGGTCGCACAATACGTGCGAACGCTGTCACGACAGCGGCCTGAGAAATTTCCGTCATAAGGTAATAAATTCTCCTTGTGGGGCGCGCCCTACGCCCTACCAAATAAAAGGAGCGGCTTGAAGAGGACAAGTTTCGAGTTTGCGCCTCCACAGCTGTGCCCGCCCCACCCGACGCCCAGACCCGATCGCCCCGATCTGTCTCGGAGGCGTAGAGTCGCGGCGGCTGCAGTGCAAGATTCATGCACGCGCTAAGGGACAAACGTCCAGATTCACATCCTCATCAAGAGCCTTCCGCCAAACCCGACGACGGGCCCCGCTCGACCGCCAAACGAACACTGAGCCGCCCGTTTCTTTGACGACATGCCGGCTTCAGCCACGAGCGAACAATTACTTTGCAAGCCAACAGGGACCGGATGGCATGATCGATGGGCTCTGATAAGCCGAAGAAATGTGAGCCTGCACCAGCTCGGCCTATTGCCGAAATACCTCGGCTCAAAGCCACAACACCCACAACCCCCTGAGCTGAGTTCTCGAGTGCCGGAAGCCTGATCGAGCAGCGTGCCTGCTCCCGGCCTGGGTCGCCGTCGAGTCGAAAATTACACGCCCTGGACTGCCAGCTGACTCGGTGTTCCCTCACAGCTTGTTATCACTGCACAAAGAGGAGGATAGTGTGTGATCTGACAGAGCCCAAGTGCAACAAGTGCGCTAAGAAGGGGCTTGACTGCCCCGGATATGGCATCAGATATCGCTTCGCCGACAAGAAGACAACCTCGTCAGCCGAATTTGAGCCGGCTGAAAGCTCACGGCGCGCCTCGTCCTCGTCCTCGTCATCGGCGTTCTCGTCTGCTGCCAAGCGCCGGCAACCTGACCTGAAATGGGTTGACGTGTCTAGTCGAGTGAAGAGGGCGAGGGGAAGTACTGACGAGGGGCAAGGCAGAGATGCCGCGACAGGTACAGCGCCTTCAGGCCCAGCCAGTGGGCCTTCTGGGATCTGTTTGGATATCGCTCTGCATAAGAGAGGCCCTAAACCTCCCGGCCCGGGTCGACGACCAAACGGGCGTGGAGGCCATGATGACCAATTTTTGGCTGGATATACCGGGGATAACTCAACTTACTGGACCTCTGAATCTTCGTCCACGGACAGTGATGAGAACGACGTTATCGAAATCACACGAACGGGTGACTTCGGCACACTAGCCTGTCCGGACTTCTCACCGATACCGATGTGCCTACCCTCACTACTCTCAAACCCAGACCCACGCATACGTCTCCTCTTCAAGCACTGTGAGTCCTGCGCTTCTCTCCGCTGCTTTGTCAGCCCGCTTCTCGAGCCCACTGGCTGACTGACGCCCGGCGGAAAGTCTCGACCCACGTCTCGCCTGTAATGCTCATGTACGATGATGAGGCCAACGGCTATAGACGCCAGATACTTCCCCTCGCACATGCTGACCCCATCGTCGAGCGCGCCGTGTGCGTCGCCGCGGCGTTCCACCTGTCTCGACAGGTGCCGGAGCTTCGACTGCCTGCCGAAACTGGCCGTGCTGCCATCGTCAGCAAGCTGTCGTCCGAGGTTGACCTCAGCGACTCGACATGGGCCACCATCATCCTGCTCATTGTCGCGGACCTGGTGACGGGTCATGAACATGTACTAACTCTTTACAAAATGCTAATCGCCTTCCTCGATGCGAGAGGGATTGGGGAGGATGCAGAATTACTACCGCTACAGAAATTTCTGTATAACCAATCCAAACTGTGAGTAACTGTAACGTCACGGCCCTATCCGACATGTCACAGCAGAGGATGGATCACTAAGATGGCAGGATATCATTCTTCGCCTACCCAATACTGGGCGAGTCCAAGGCACTGGCCGACTTCTCCAAGTTCCTCAACGAGCTCATGGCGAGCCGCGCGCAGATGGCCCAGCGCCAGCGCCAGAGCGTCGAGTTCCTCGTCGCCACGGACCAGCTCCCCACGAGCACCGAGGGGCTCTTCGACATGCGCACGCGGCTGTACATGGAGATCACGCGGGCGGCGACGGAGATCTACGTGCTGCGCGCGCGCAGCCCGGACGACAACCCCCTCGAGTCGGCCGGGGACAGGAGGCTGGAGACGACCGTCCTGCCGCTGCTCTCGAACCTCGAGGCCACCGAGACCGCCATGGACGAGGCGTACAGCCCCATCGAGAGCATGCCGGACCGCATCGCCCACATCCGGGGCCTCTTTGAGCAGGTCGACCCGTCCGCCCCCGGCTCGCACACCATCGTCTGGCCCGCGTTCATCGCGGCGGCCGAGTCCCGCGAGGAGGACAACAGGGAGTTCTTCTCGTCGATCCTGAGGCGGCTGTGGCAGTCGACTGGGTATGCCAATGTGCTGCGCGGGCTGGATGCGCTGCCGAAGCTGTGGGAGAGGCAGGGCAAGGGCCAGAGGTGGACGGCTGCCTTGCAGGAGCTCAAGACTGTCGTGATGTGAGGTAGCTGACTGTTGCATGCGCGGAACTCGGTTGTGTTATGGTGGTTGTGTTTGCATCATGTCGATTCATTATATTAGAGATATCCACGGGAAATAAACGCCAGTTTCAAAGTTCAGCGGACGGTCTGGGCTCCACTCTACGTACTACCGTCGACGAAAACCATCGCCTCAGAAGATATCCGTGACGAACCTCTCGTTCCTCATCTGCTTGACAAAAGCATCAACCTCCTCCGGCGTGTAGTCCTTCCCATTCCTCTTGGCCCCGGCAGCAATCAACCGTCTCGCCACCGCCCCAATCCCCTTGGCCAGGCTCTTACTCCCGCAGATATAAAACCTCGCCCCCTCGAGCCACAGCTGGTCGATGTCCTCCCGGTCCCTGAGCATCCGGTCCTGCACATACTTACACCGCTGCCCCTCCGCCTCCCCCTCCGCCTCCTCACCCTCACGCCCGCCCCCCTCGTGGTGCTGACTAAACACCCACCTGACATCCACGGCCCCCAGCGCCGCCCAGGCTTCAAACTCCTCCCTGTAGAGCTGATCCCGCCCCGGCCGCCGGCACCCCGCGAACAACACCGCGGGCGCCAGCGCCTTGCCGCCCTCGGCGATGAGCGTCGCCCGCTCCTGCACGAAGCCCCGGAACGGCGCGATCCCGCTGCCGTTGCACATCATCACCACGGGCGTGGCGGCCATGTCCAGCGGGAGCCGGAAGTACCTGTTGGTGCTCCGGACCGAGACGAGGGCGCGGTCGCCCGGGGACAGGGAGCGCATGTAGGATCCTGCCACGCCGAGGAAGCGGTGTTCCTGTCCACATGCACCCTTGACATCGTGTGTCGGACCGGTGGGGGAGCCCCCGCCGTTTGGCTGGTACCAGGCCGGGGCGTCGAGGACGGCGTATGTCAGGGTGGCGGAGGTGGGGGAGGCGAGGGGCGAGGACGAGATGGAGTAGTGCCTGGTGCGCATCGGCGGCAGCAGGGAGAGGAACGTGGCGAAGGGCAGGGGGATGTCGGTCTTGTGTCTCGTCAGGATGTCGAGGATGGTGATGCGCTTCTCGATCACCTCCGCGGCGAATGTCTCTGGGGAAAGATAACCTGCCAGAGTCCCCTTCACGGCCGGGGAGCCGCACACCGAGGCCATCACCTCGATGTCCTGCTTCGTCGCCGGCTGGGAGATCTCCACGTAGCCCTGGAGCAGGTCGAAGATGGCGATGGGCTTGCCAGTGGGGAGCGAGGTCGCCGAGCCCTGCTTGATCGTGATCATGCCATCCCACGGCAGGCTGAAGTGGTTCATAACCCGCCTGACGTACTCCTTGGGATTCAGAGGCAGCACGGCGAGGTAGTCTCCCGCGGAATACGTCATGTTCGATGGGAGTTCGATCTCGATATGGCGCTTCTCCGGCTCGCCATCTGCGGTGAGGATTTTGGTGTCGACCACGTTGGCCCATTGCACATTCTGTTGAAGGTGTGCGGCGCGTTCCTCGGTAGTGAGCTCGATCTCGATGGTCGGGACGGTGGAGAACTGGGACGAGTCTTTGGTAGACGTCAAGTATGGGCCGAGTGCCGGCCATAGTTTCCCAGTGGTCCATGTCTCGAAGTCGCCGAATGTATCCTGCTTGCTCACGTCTGATGATCCACGGGCTGCGAGTCTCTCGGCGCCCAGGGCCGGAAGAATCTCATCTACCGACGTCGGGATCTTCTGGAACGTGGATGCCCAATCGCTGTGACCACATCCGAAGACTGCATACTTGACTCTCTCGAGCTTCTTGGTCTCGTTTTCCTGCTGCAGGCTCTCCAGCCAAGCCACGAAGCGCGCGGCATCATCGGTGGGCAACCCTTCATACGAAGCTGTGATGATCACAGTGGGCTTGTCCTTCAGCAGCTTCCCCATCGCAGCGTCTAGGGTCCGAACACCCGCAGCCAGCCCCCTCTGAGCACACTGGCCGGCCAGCTTCTGCGCCAGCGCTTGGCAAGTCCCCGTGTTGGACCCGTACAAGATCGACAGGTCCTGATCACCATCCGCCACGGTCTCGACAGCCCTGGGAACACCATCCTTGTGCTGCCCGCCAGTAGCCCTGTCACCACTGAGCCTCTGAAGCAGTATCGTCGGCGTGATACCCTCCCTCAGGCTGGCCCGCATGAAAAAGTCCTTGGGCTTCAGTGTCAACGCCTGCACGACCTGAATCTCATAGTTCGGGTCGTCAAGCCGCATGTCGAAATTCTGAAGGATCAGCGCCACGGCGAGCACAGCCTCCTGCCAGGCAAAAGCACGTCCGATGCAGGCCCTCATCCCCGTCCCAAAGGGCTTCCACGCGTTCTTGGGGAGCTTCTCAAAGTTCCCGTCCAGCATCCGCTCGGGTCTGAATTCCTCGGCGTCCTCGCCAAAGACCTTTGGATCTCGCATGATCTTGCCGAGGAGGCACACGATCGATTTCCCCCGTGGGATCTCGTATTTGTGCTTGCTCCCTGGGTCTTTGGCCCCGATATACAGTGGATCCTCCGTATTCTCGGGCCGGACGGCGCGGCTGAAGGCCGGTGCGGTTGGCGTTAGGCGCAGCGTCTCGCGGAGCACGGCGTTGATGTATTTCAGATCGTTGACGTGTTTGGGCTCGAGTTTCGAGTCGCCAACTACCCGGTCGACTTCTGCCTGGGCGGCGAAGTAGGCGTTTGGGTTCTTGAGGAGCTGGAGGAAGGCGAAAGACAGAAGCCCGGATGTTGTCTCGTGCCCTGCGACTGGTCAGCTCGTCCTCCCCGGTATGGGAGACTCACATCGGACAACTGACTCACCGGCAATTAGGAAGGTTTGCATGTTTGCGGCAATGAGCGCGTCCCTCATCGTCTTTCCGGTCTTGGGGTCCTTGCCGTTGATCAAGGAGTTGAGGAGATCCTTCTTCTCAGTGGGATGGTCCCTGCGATACTGAACCAACTCCTGTGAGGTTTCCTCCATGAGCGCTACACTCTGCTTTACTTCTTCATTGTACGAGGGGAACAGCCGGGTTATGAGGCCGGCAAGCTGTCCGGAGCTATTTGCCGCACCCAAGGTAGTGTTCATTGCCTTGACAAACGGATGCATGTCCTCTTGGTAGAACGAGTTGAATCGGAAGTCCATCGCACACAGCGCGATGGTGTCTAGAGTCAGCCTTGAAAAGTCTTCCGATGCTTGAATCTTGTGCGTCGGGCCCTGCCTCGCCCATTTGAGAACAAGCTGAGAAGCAATGTCATGCATTTCTATGCAGAGGTTGTGTCAGCGAGCCTCGATCTCCTATGTTACACTCAGGGTGTGATCTAACCATCAAACATCTCAGCCACAGCAAGAGGTCCAAAAGCAGGCATGAGAATTCGGTGGGCCTGGCCCCAGTCTTCCTCCTTCTCGCTCTTCTGGGTGAACAAGCCTCGCGGCTTGCCAGAAGAGTCCGCCGCGCTGGCCAGCTTGCCGCCGAGCAGCTTGTAAAATCTTGTTTCGTCACAGAGCTCATCGAATAGGTCAAAGCCACTGACCATGATCGACTCGCGCCCCGGCGCCCTCACCTTGAAGATGGGCCCGTGTATATCGGCGATGCGCTCCAGGGCCCGGATGGGGACCTCGTCTTGTAGGTCGAATATGTTGCCGACGAATGGCAGCCCAGGAGGGCCGCCGATTTCCGTTGGGAGGGCCATTGTCCGCAATTGCCTGATCTCTGCACGGACACCGTGATGTTGGAAATGGACGGAGCTACCTCAAGTGCTAGGTTCGGAGTGATGCAGCTCACTTAGCAATCCTGGGCCAGGGTCAACATGAGCGAAAGAGAGAAGAACGAGAAACCCAGGAGGTGACCAGGTACTGGTATTTGCCTGAAGGATGGCATTTATTAAGAAGCTCACGCCTGTCAGGAGGGACTCGCGTCCCGGTGGCTTATATGCAGGCCGGAAGGAAGACAGGTCGAGCACGGGTTCCATGACATCTCCCTGTCCAGTCGTCGAATGGAGCTAGTTCGCATGTGAATGCATCCTTAGAGCTGGAAGGAGGTGCGCAAGCAGGGATCAGCTAGGGCTAGTACGCTGGACCAAACGCTTTTTTGCGACAAAACCCCAAATCCACATTTCATACACACTTTCCTTAATACACCCACCCCACTACTTTATATAACCCTAACCCTAAGAAAAAAAAGTAAACCTTTAAAAATAAATAAATAATAATAAAAAAATATTTTAAAAATTCTTTTATTTTTTTATTATTTTTAAAAATAATAAAATAATAAAATAATAAAATAATAAAATAATAAAATAATAAAATAATAAAATAATAAAATAATAAAATAATAAAATAATAAAATAATAAAATAATAAAATAATAAAATAATAAAATAATAAAATAATAAAATAATAAAATAATAAAATAATAAAATAATAAAATAATAAAATAATAAAATAATAATAATAATAATAAAATAATAAAATAATAAAATAATAAAATAATAAAATAATAAAATAATAAAATAATAAAATAATAAAATAATAAAATAATAAAATAATAAAATAATAAAATAATAAAATAATAAAATAATAAAATAATAAAATAATAAAATAATAAAATAATAAAATAATAAAATAATAAAATAATAAAATAATAAAATAATAAAATAATAAAATATATAATATAAATAATTTTAAAATATATTTATTTTATTTAAAATATTATATAAATATTTATATTTATTAAAATAATAAAATATTAAAAATATATTATTAATATAATATTTTAATTTAATATTAATAAATATTATATAAAAATAATTATTATTATTTTATTAAAACTTTATTTTATTTAAATAAATATTTATTTATTTATTATAAAATTATTTAAAAATAATTATTTTATATTTAAGAAAAATAATTATTAATAATTAAAATTTTAATTATATATAAATAAAAGTTTTATTTTAAAATAATTAATATATTTTATATATTTTATATATTTTATATATTTTATATATTTTATATATTTTATATATTTTATATATTTTATATATTTTATATATTTTATATATTTTATATATTTTATATATTTTATATATTTTATATATTTTATATATTTTATATATTTTATATATTTTATATATTTTATATATTTTATATATTTTATATATTTTATATATTTTATATATTTTATATATTAATTATATTAATTATATTAATTATATTAATTATATTAATTATATTAATTAACTTAACTTATATATAAAATAATTAAAATAAAGTAATATAAATTAATAATAATTAAAAGGTTTATTTAATTAAATAATAAAATACTTAATTAAATTAATTAAACTTATTAATTAAATTTAATTTATATATATATATAAACTTATTAACTTTATAATAATTAATTTATTATAATTTATTATTTTATATTAATAATTTTTAATTTTCTAAAATTAAAGTTTAATATTCCTTCTTTTAATTAATTAAAAGCTTTATTTATTAATAAAGTAATTTCTATTTAAATTATTAAATTATTTAAAATTATTATTAAATATAAACTTATAATTTAATTAATTTAAATAATTTAAAAATACTTTAAATTAATATTTTATAAATTATTTAAATTATTTAAATTTAAATTACTTTAATAAGTAAAATTAAATTTAAATTACTAATTATTTATTAAACTATTATTAAATAATATTAACTATTAATATTTAATTAATTAATTAATTAACTTTTTTAATAGTTTTTTATAATTAATTATTATTTATTTTATTAATTCTTTATTTTAATTAAAAGTTTTATTTTAATTAAAAGTTTTATTTTAATTAAAAGTTTTATTTTAATTAAAAGTTTTATTTTAATTAAAGGTTTTATTTTAATTAATTATATTAATAATTATAATATTTTCTTTTTATTTAAATAAAAACGGAGATTTATAGGGTAAAAAACGGAGGGTATAGGGCAATGTATACCCTTAGTGCGCTAACCTTAATTTATACCACCAATTTACTATATAAAACAATAATATATAGTTATTAACTATATATTTATTATTCTATATAAATACTATTCTTATTGCTTCTACTTACCTTTATTGCTTCTACTTACCTTTATCGCTTCTTTTATTCTGGTGGCTTGTTTTTACTTTCCTCCTTATTACTTAGGGTACTATAGTAAGTCCTTGTGTCTCCTTTTTATAGATTGGTAGGTCTGTAGGTTAGGGTATAAAAAGTATTTAATTGGGGTGGTATAGGTAGTAAGGTAAGGTTGAATAAAGCCCTCTAATTGGCTGGTAGTACTTTTTACCCTATACCCTCTGTTTTTTACTCTGTGAATCTCCGTTCTTATTTAAATAAGGTATTTAAATAAAAATAAATAAAGTTTTAAATATTAATTTAATATTTAACTTAATATAAATATTATTAAAATAAAAGTTATTATAAAAGTTTTTAAAAAACTTTAACTTAATTTATTTAAAGTATTTTTTAATTTAATTTTAAAAAGTTTTATAAAAGTATTAAAAGTTTTTATTAAAGTAATAATTAAAATTATTAATAAATTATTAAATTTTATTATTATTAATTTTAATAATTATATATTTCTTTTATAAATATTATTAATATATTTCTTTAATTTATTCTTTAATTTAAATTTTTTTAATAATATAAATAAAAATATTATTAATATATATTTATAATAACTATAAATAATTTTATTTTTAAATTTAAAATTATAAATAGTTATAATATTAAAATAATTTTATTTAAATATTATAAAAGAAAAAAGTTAAAAATATATAAAAGTTATTTATTTAATTAATTATTTCAATAATATAAAAGTAAATAAATAAATAAATAAATTAATTAATAAATAGTTAAATATTAATTTAAAAGTTTAATAAATAAGTTTAAATTATTAATTATAAAAAATTATTATAAAGTTATAAAACTTATTTAATAAAAGGTTTTATTTAATTAATAATTAAATCTATATTTAAATAATTTAAATAACTTACTTTCTTTAAATTATAATAATAATAATAATAATAATAATAATTTATTTTTTAAATTATAATAATAAAATAACTTTATTAATTTATTTTTATAAAAGATTTATTATTTAAATAATTTAAATAATTTATTTTATTATTAAAATTAATTAATAATTAATTAATATTAATTAATTAAACTTATATATAAAAGTAATTAAAGTAAAATAATATAAATTAATAATAATTAAAATTTATTTAATTAAATAATAAAATACTTAATTAAACTTAATATATATATATATATATATAAATTTATTAATTTTATAATAATTAATTTATTATAATTTATTATTTTATATTATATTTATTATATTTATTATATTTATTATATTTATTATATTTATTATATTTATTATATTTATTATATTTATTATATTTATTATATTTATTATATTTATTATATTTATTATATTTATTATATTTATTATATTTATTATATTTATTATATTTATTATATTTATTATATTTATTATATTTATTATATTTATTATATTTATTATTATTATTATTATTTAATTTTATTAAATTTTATTAAACTTTTAAACTTTTAAACTTTATTTAATATTAATTTTAATAAGATTAAAATATTTATAAATTTTAATTTTATTAAAAGTAAATTAATTATTTTAAATAATAATATATTATTATAAAATTATATATTTAATTATTAATAATTATTTATTTTATAATAAAATTATTAAAATTATAAATTTAATTATTAATAATTATTTATTTTATAATAAAATTATTAAAATTATAAATTTAAATTTATAATAAAATATAATTCTTTTAAATTTATTAAATAAATAATTATTTAAATAAAGTTTAAAATTTTTAAAAATAATATTTTTATTTATTTTAAATAATATATTTTAAATATATAATAATTTTATATATAATATTAAATAATATTAAAATTAAATAATATATAAAATATATTAATTTTAAAATGAAATAATATTAAAAATAATTATAAAGTTATTATAAAAGTTTTATATAATAATTTTAATTAAATTAACTTTTAAAATTATATTATTATTATTTTAAAAGTTTATTTATTAATTTTAATTCAATAAAAATATAAATTATATATATATATAAATTTTATTTATTAAAATAATAAATATTTTAATTATTAAATTATATATTTTAATATATATTAAATAAGAATTTAATTAATATATAAATATTAATATTTAAAATAAAATATAATTAAAATAATTTATATATAAAATTATATATATAATTAAATAAATATTTATATAAATATAATTTTATTTTTAAATATAAAGTTAAAAGATTTTTAATTATAAAATTTTAATTAATTTTAATTTAATTATTTTATTATATTATAATTTAATTTAATTTAATTTAAATTTCTTTTAAGTTTTTTAATCTTTTATCCTTAAATAAATTAAAGTTTTATATTTTTAAATTTAAATTTAAAATTTTATAAATCTTAATATATTTTAAATTAAGTTTATAATTCCTTAACTTTTAAAGATATATTAATTATTTTTAAATAATAATAATTTTTTTAAAATAAAGGTTTATTTTTATATAATTATAAATTTAATTATTAATAATTATTTTTTTATTTATAATAAAGTTATTAAAATTATAAACTTAAATATTTTATATAATAATAAAATATAATTACTTTATTTAATTATTTTTAATTTAATTAAATAATTATTTTTAAATACTTTTATTTATAAAGTTAATAAATAAATATTTATTTATAGAATAAAATTAAAACCTTTAAAGAAATAATAATTTTATTTTTATTTATTTTAATTAATTTATTTAAGTTATATAATAAATTTAATATTTATATATAATATTTATTAATATTAAATTAACTTATAATTTATAATAATTTTAATTTTTAATAAATTAATAATATTAATTTAAATTAATTAAATATAGTTTAATAATAAATAATATTATAAATAATTATAAAATTATTATAAAAGTTTTATATAATAAATTTAATTAAATTAATTTTAAAAATATATTATATTTTATTTTTTAAAATTTTAACTATTTATTTTAATTTAATAATAAAATTAAAAATATAAATAATTTATATAAATATAATTTAAATTAATAATATAATATATAAATTTAAATTATTAAAATATTATATTTAATTAAAAATATATATTTATTTTAATATTAATTATTTAAATATATATTATTTTAAAATTATATTTATTTAAAAGAATATTTTAATATAAAAGAAATAAATTTTAATTCTTTTATATAATTTTAATAATAATATATTTAATATATATTATTAGAAAATAAATTTAAATTAAAATATTAATTATTAAATTATTATTAAATAAAAGTATTATATAATAAAATATTATAAAATATTTAATATATTATAAATTATAAATTTTATTAAATATTTAAATATAATAATTTTTAATATATTATTATATTAAATTATAATTATTATTATTATTATTATTATTATTATTATTATTATTATTATTATTATTATTATTATTATTATTATTATTATTATTATTATTATTATTATTATTATTATTATTATTATTATTATTATTATTATTATTATTATTATTATTATTATTATTATTATTATTATTATTATTATTATTATTATTATTATTATTATTATTATTATTATTATTATTATTATTATTATTATTATTAATTAATTAATTAATTTTTAAATTAATAAATTATATATTATAATATAATTAAAGTTAAAATAAATATAAATTTAAATATATAAAATAGTTTTATATTAAATTTTTAAGTTTTAATAAATTATTTTTATTTTATAAAAAAGAAATTAAAGTATTTAAATTATTTTATAATTTTATAATAATTAATAATATTTATATTTATTTATTTATTAAAAAAACTTATAATAATAAATATAATAAAGATTTTAATAAAAATTAACTTTTAAATTAATTAAAAATATAATATTAATAAAAGTTAAATTTATACTTTTATATATTTAAATAAATAAAAGTAGTTTAATATTTAATTATTATATTATAATTTAAATTAATAAATTATATATGTAAAATTTATATTTAAAATTTATAATTAAAATATTAATTATTAATTAAAATAATAATTATTAATTAAAATATTAATTATTAATTAAAATAATAATTATTAATTAAAATAATAATTATTAATTAAAATAGTAATTATTTAATAAATTTAATTAAATTTTAATTTATTAAAAATTAAATATTTTAATAATTTAAAAGTTTTATATTTAATTAATTATATATAATTATTATATTTTAATTATTTAATATTAATTTTAAAAATATATTTAAATTTTAACTTAATTAATAAAATATATTTATAATAAAATAAATAAATAAATAAATAAATAAATAATAAATAAATAAATAAATAAATAAATAAATAAATAAATAAATAAATAAATAAATAAATAAATAAATAAATAAATAAATAAATAAATAAATAAATAAATAAATAAATAAATAATAAATAAATAAATAAATAAATAAATAAATAATAAATAAATAAATAAATAAATAAATAATAAATAAATAAATAAATAAATAAATAAATAAATAAATAAATAAATAAATAAATAAATAAATAAATAAATAAATAAATAAATAAATAAATAAATAAATAAATAAATAAATAAATAAATAAATAAATAAATAAATAAATAAATAAATAAATAAATAAATAAATAAATAAATAAATAAATAAATAAATAATTAAATAATTAAATAATTAAATAATTAATTAATTAATTAATATTAATAATTAATATTAATAATTAAAAAAATTAAATTAAAAAAAGGGTATAAAAAGAAGTTAAGTTAAAGAGAGGGTGTAAAAAGAAGTTAAGTTGAAGGGGGGGTGTAAAAAGTACCCTATAGGGGTAAGTATAGGTATTGAAAAGTGTGCACGAAATGTGGATTTGGGGTTTTGTCGCAAAAAAGCGTTTGGTCCATTTTAGGCTAGCTACAGGGGGTCATAACGAGAACGAGAACGGTGACGACGGCGCCAGTAGCCGCTTGTGGCTGACAACGCGGGTATTCAGTTTGCCTGGTATCACCTCCGGTGAATTGAAGATATGTTGTACTTGAGAAGTGCTAGCTGCGACGTAAAACTCGTCATTAAATGTTGTTTGTTAGTAATTTGGCCCATGATTTCCGTCGAACGCGCGGTGTTTGGTGCCAAAACGCCATTTTCAATTATGCACTTTCACCCTCTGCACGGTGATGTTTTTCCCCGGTCGAAAAATGGTCCCCCACAGCAACTGATGCGATGGTTGCACCTCGTACCAGGGTGGGCCCTGCATGCACAGTAAGCGGCCTAGTACAAAGCTTGTGTTTGTGGTGCCGCAGCGAGTGGGAACGAGGCCGGCGGGATCGCATCCTTCCAACGGGGCTTGCCTCGGCCGGCAGTCCTCTGCAGTGAGTGGCCGTAGAAAGTGTCCCTATCCATTGCTAGGGACATGCAAACAAAATTAAAATTACCCCACCCTAGGACAGGCTTGGATGTTATTGTCCGGTCTAGAAAAACATACTGTTGGGGCGCACATATGGACATGTGTCACCTCTTACAACACCAACCGGCGTATCATGAGATCGGGTGTTGGACGAAGCGTTGGGCTGAGTTGCAAGACATGGCCAACGGGACGGGGGAGAGGAGACAAAGCGGCGGGAATGCTAAGCGCAAGGAAAAGAGCAACGCTGTTGTTTCTCGTTCATACGCTCCGGGAAGCTCATTGTCCCATGGCGGCCGTGAACCACCAACAGCCTGCCGGAACTGGCTCTGAATCGATTCACTTTTGCTGTCATTCATTCAGCGGCATGGTGCAATAGTGATGTTGGAATGGATTTCATGTCATCAGTGGCCCAGTGAATCGAGCGACGACTTGCACAAAAGCTGCCTTTCTCAACCTCCACATAACCACATCAACGTCCGAACCTAACACATCACACCCGCCTCGAGAAGCACACCACAGATCAACAGCAACAGACGGCAACATGCATTTCAAGATTGGATTACTGGTGGCTGCGCACATCTTCCTGACAGCCATGGCTGAGAGCATGTACTGCTACCAGTCAGGCGAGAAGTTCAGCGACCTTGGGGACAACATGGACATCAGCAATGCATTCAACCGCATCTGCGATCGCATTGGCGGGAAGGACTACAAGCTTGGTCAGAAGGTAAGTAAAGCAAGACCGAAACACCCTTGGGACTCCCTAATGTTTGCTAACTCCCAACTTCGCTTTTCTCTGCGTCGCAGGTTTCGGATTGTGAGAATGTTGGCGACCATAGCCTTGACGTCTCCATCAAAATCAAGGAGGACTCGTATGCAGAGAATGGCGTCGTTCAGTTGTACAAGACTGACTGTTCCAGCTACTTCTACATAGTAAGTTCTGCAATACCCGCCCCTCCCCCTTACCTTAAAGGCATCCCGTCTAGAATGTGGAAAGCTAATTACATCGTTACTGCAAAATAGCTCACGGACTGCTCGCATGGAGGATCTATGGATGTCTCCATCGACGGAAGCCACGAGGCCAAGGCTGCGGTCAAGGTCGACCCTCAGAGGGCACAGTGTTAACCACGTGATACCAACCCCCACCTCGTAGGGGAGAGTCAAACACCTGGGAACAAACCTGGCAGGACTACCAGTCCAGCAACATCTTGCATAAACCGACACGACGGCAAGGAGTGTCTCTTTCGCGCAACGCCTCTACCAGTCTTCAATGTTGTTTGGCCAACCTGGAGGCAGCATGGTGTAAGACTGCTTGCGGTCATGGCGGTGAATACCAAGCAGCTGTTCTGTGATTCTGGTCAGTTTGTAGGGCAGAATTTGCGTCGTTTACCAGAAAGTGTATTGGCATGAGACTTTATCCTCTCATAGTACCTAGGTAGCGAATTTACATCTTCATACCTCCCTCATCCCATAGCTTACGTTAGCCCCTTGTGTCAAACTCGTCTATCACACTGACAGGTTTGACAAATTCGCCAAGTGGCTGGTACTTCAGGTGATGTATGCCAAATCCCTCTGGGCCACCAATCTCAACACCCCTCTCGGAGCCTGTCCACCTGTCGCTTGCGGCGATTCCCAGAACAGTGACAAGAAGGCCGTATCTATACTCCGGAGTCCCAATAGCCTCTCCGTTCTGGGCATCAATGACCGAGATCAGATCAGGCACAATGCAGAGAACATCCTCCTGCTTCTCCAGAGCCTCGTAGTCACCGTCCTCCTTGTCTTGTTTGTGTACCTTGATCGCAGCAATGTTCTCGTTCTTGAACGGGATCTTGATCACACCCTCGAACCGGCTTCTGCCCGGCTTACGATTCAAGGCGCCAGTATCCCCTTCCTTGGCCTCGGCCACGTCCATGCCCTCAATCAGACACTCCCCATAGACATGTCCCATCCTCAGTGTCCTCGTGACACCCACTATCTTGCCCTTCCACAGAACCTTAGCCGCGCCACTCCCCCCAACCTCCTTGACGATCTCATCCGCAACCTCATCAACCATGTTCGCCCGCCTGGCCTTCTCGACGGCCCTGCCGATCCTCCACGCCGCAGATATGGTGTGCTCGACGGCCCACCGCCTCGTCTCGGCGCCAGACACAGGCCCCTCCGCACACCCGGCGTGCGAGCCCATCTGGCTGATGGCAGCCCGCAGCGCCCTCTCGACCTGCAGGTCCGACGTGGCGCTGGTCATGATGATGGTGTTGCCGTTGCCGTCGCACATGGACAGCGGGCAGAAGACGGGCTGCCGCTCGTTGAACACCACGGGCGTCGTCTGCCACTTGGTGGGGTACGCGCGCCCCATCCAGTCGCCGTCGACGCAGGGCAGGTCCATGTTGGCCGAGGCGCCCAGGATCATGCCCTGCAGCCCGTTGCCGCCGCCGATCTCGAGCGCGATCATGTGCGTCGCGCGGCCGTCGGCCCGCAGCACCTTGGCCAGCTCCGCCTGCGCCTGCATCATCTCGTCGCCCGCGAGCTTCTCGATGCCCACTGTCGGGCTGCCCATCCCGCCGCCGCAGCCGACTCGGTCTGTGTCCTGTAGGTCGTCGGGGGAGACCACGCGCACGACGGCGCCTGCGCGCAGGAGCTGGCGCAGTCGGACCATGTGCGAGTAGGGGGAGCCGCCGCCGCCGGTGCCTAGGATGTAGCAGCCTGTGCTGATCCAGGTTACGTCGTTCTCGTTGATGAACCAGACGCGGTTTTTGACAGTTGGCCGGTATGTGCTCGGATCGATGTCCATGGTCTTTCGTTGATGTTCTGGCTTTTCCGCGCCGTTGATACTACCAGGTGTGTCCCCGTCCGTTTGGGCTTTCTTCTCATACTGGTCCATGTTGTTCAGAGCCGACGACTCTTCATCGCTTGTGTGTGGGACCATGGCGAGGTCTGTCCTGGAAAAGTCAAAATCACCGGCAGCACGGACGATGAAGCGTGTCTTGTTTGCAATATATTGCAGTGGCAGGGTCTCCATCTCGACCACTTTCACAGATTCTCGTGATGCACCAGCGGCCACTGTCTTCTCGGCGGCCTCCGCAGAGATCTCCTCCAAAAGCTTTTGTGTCGACTTGCTCTCGGTGGACTTTACCGTGTCAACCACGGCGCTGACTCTCGCCATGGCTGCTCCAATGGCATTGGCCACTTCCGAGTAACGGGGCTTCAGGACCTTGCTTGCACCTTTCAGATCATCCGGAGATATCACAGCTCCTCCACCGACAAGCAGTACAGGCAGGTCCTCCGGAGAAGTCTTCATCATATCAATAACCTTCTCTAGCTTCTGCTTGATGATGGCTCTGGTCTCGCTCAGCTCAGCACTGGACAGCTTCCCTTGAACAAGGGACCGGTCACCGACTTTAACGTCAGGTCTGGCCAGGACTGTTGCATCCGTCGTCGTCAACACGCTCCCCCCAAACACGACCGCTTCTTCTGTGAGCTTGTACCCAACAGAGTCCGGGCCTACCGTCGTTGGCCTGCCGTTTGCTCCTTTACGGATAATCGACCCGCCTCCGAGGCCGATACTCTTGATATCGGGGCATGAGAAATTCATCCGAACGCCAGCGAGCTCGCTGTAAGCCGCCTGCTGCCTCGGGAAGCCGTTGGCGAGAAGCAGCCCGACATCTGTCGTTGTCCCGCCGATGTCAACCACCATCATGGCCTGGCCTTCCTGTTGTTCCTCGCCCTGTATAAGAAAGGCCGCTCCGCGCATCGAGTTGGTCGGCCCGCTGCTGAACGTCCTGATGGGCAGCCTCGCAGCAATCTCCCCTGCAAGAAGGGTGCCGTCGTTCTGCGTGATGAAAACGGGGCAGTCTAACCCGAGCTTCCGCACCGGTTCCTGAAACGACCTGATTGTCCTGCGCGCAAACGGCAAGATGGCAGCGTTGAGGATCGCGGCGTTCTCCCTCTCCAGGAAGCCAAGATTTGCAACCTCCTTGCTCAGCACCACATCGACGTCTGCGCCAAGAACCTCGCGCACAATCTCGGCGGCCCGCTCCTCCTGCCGGTACACCGTGTCGATAGGACTGAAGACCCCATTGACAACCACGGCCCGGATGCCCTTCTCCTTGATAATCAGGCACTCTTCCCTGATTGCAAGCTCATCCAGGTCCCGGATGAGCACCCCGTCGACCTCCAGCCCGCCCTCAACGCTGGCCCAGTACCCGAGCACCAGGTAGCGCATGTCGTCCGGCCAGTCCACACACGGCGGCGCATGCTTGCCAAAGGGGCCCGCGAGCCGGAGGACGGCCACTTTACACAGCCGCGCGGCGTCCCGCTCCACGACGGCGTTGACGAAGTGCGTCGTGCCGATCGTCACCGAGGCGACGTCCGCTGGGTTGATGGGCGGGTCTGACGCAGTGAACATGTGCGTGATGGCCGCATTGATGCCGTCGCTCGGGTTCGTGGTCGTCGGCGCCTTGTGGTGCGCCAGGATGCCCTTGTTGGGCGACGACGTGGACTGCGTCGGGTCGATGATTACGCCGTCTGTGTTGGTGCCGCCAACGTCGACGCCGATACGGAGGCGTTTGGTACTTAGGCCGGCCATGTTGCGACTGGTTGTGCTGATGGTGCAGCCGAGTGGTCTTGATGCCGGCTGTGAATTATCGCGAGTCTTCGTAATGGCCAGATTACGAGACTTGTACCACTCTTATCGTTTCATGCCTGTTGGTATTAAACACCGCAAATGGCGCACTATGTAGCCTCTCGTCGCGATCCCGGTGCCGGAGGATCCATGGATCGCGGAGATAACCGGCTATCAGTCACAAGCAAATGTTCATCAAGCCGGCCCGACTCCATACAAACTAACATGAACAGTCACAGCAGCCGTAAACGCTACCTTGACCAAGCAGCGAAAATTACTCAACTCTTAATATGCATATACTCTTAAATAAAAATTTACCTAACTAGAAGTTTAATAGAATTAGACTCTTATTTATTTACTTCCTTTTCTACATATAATAATTAGTTCTAAAAGAATATCTTATTAAATATTCCAGTTAAATTATCCTAAGTGGTTTCGCTTCTATTCCGTATACGTCCGAGGACATACATGGCGCCTTCATATGGTGGTAAGCACTCAAGACCCAGTGCTTGAAACGAACACGGTGATAGTCATAATACGGTAATAAGTATAAGTAGTGTATTTGGCTCAAGACAACATAGGATAGCAACCAAAATGCAACACTTGACTTCGCAACAACCCCTTCCAGTGCGTCTGGAACCAAGGTAGCATAGAGTGAGACAACGGAGCAAATCGTGAAAGAGACAAGACCAGCCAGTTATGTGTCGCACATACTAGGTACTCCATTGTATGAATACCCCTTCCCAATATGAACCAAAAAGATGTGGTCCAACTCCTATTGAAAAGCGCCCTTGGTTTATTACCTGGTTTCGTTTCAATCGGTAGATATTCTTATCACAGGTGAGCTTCCCCATGGGCTTGAACCGAAGGCGGCTCGAATCCCTGCTCACCCATCTCCTCGCTCTCCAGACTAAGCTCTTTTATCGCCGCCGACGTCACCAAGCCAAGACCCGAACAGCAGGTCATGAAAATCCAAATGGCCCCAAATGACTTGCGGTACACTTCAACAAGATTTTCCACAGTCTCCTGAGACAGTTCATCTCGAAGTGCCCTCAATGCCGGAATGAAGCTGATTGCATGACTTGCATCATTCAAAACTCTCGCACTTTCTGGCAACTCCCCCAGCAGCGAGATGTTACGTTGGAACACCGAGCTGAACACTGTAGCTGCTACAGCAAGACCGATCAGGGCACCAAAAAGACGCACAACAACAAGCATGCCCACAGCCTACTAATTGTCAGAAAGTTGATTCGTGCAGTGCCCAGGAGTAAATTGAGAGACTAGTGCAAGACGAAATATGAGTATTCCTATAAGGGCGAAGCGGGTACTCACAAGACCGGTATCATTAACGTCTTCAACGCTTGCCTGCACGGCGAATTGTGTGACAGTATAGACGATACCAATTCCAATCCCAAGAAATACCTGGATTGTATAGGCTGTAACCCTGGGCGTGTTCTCGCCGACTAGGTACCACGTGCCCATGGCCACCGTAGAGCAGATCCAGCCGATCCACAGTAAAAGTTGATAGCGACGGGTTATCTCCACGGTGACGGGTGCCACGATACTAAATGCAACGACGGATATAGCAACTGGGAGCGTTGAAACGCCCGCCTGCAGGGGTGCCTCCAGAAAGACGGCCTGAAAGAAAAGGGGCAAGTACTGGAGCGCCGTGTAGAGGATCAAGCCGTGGATCAGTCCGGTCACCATTGACGCCACAGCGGTCCTGTTCTTGAACAAGCGATACGGAAGTATCGCCTCAGGCGGCTTCTTCTCGTAGAATCCGAAAATGACGAGCTGGATTATGCCAATCACAAACGGCACTATAGTCCTCCAGGAAGCCCAGGCATACAAGGCGTCAGCCCAGCTCAAAGGAAGAGCAAAGAGCGTGGCCCCACTCGCAAATAGCGCCATTCCAGTCCAGTCCACACGCCGGAGACGTGTGGTCAGACCACCATCCAGGGGTCGTAAGTGCAGGAAGAAAATCGACAGCAAGAGTGCTGGACCAATGACGGGCAGATTTACCCAGCCGATCCATCTCCAGTCATAGTCACTAAGGAGGGCACCAATAATGGGCCCACTGATGCTCCCAGCAGCAATGGACATGGCGATGATACCCAGATACATGGGTCGCTCCTTCAAGGTCGTGATATCGGCAAGAATGATTTCCTCGAGGACGTCTAGACCCCCACAGCCGATGCCTTGGACGAGACGACCTGCCACAAGAATGCTCATGTCTTGAGCAGTCGAGAAGACAATCGCCCCAATAATGAAGATCCCTGTTGACGCATAGAATGGAATCTTTCGGCCTAGGACATCCGAGAAGCTGACGTAGATGGGCTGGGTCACGGCGACCCCCAGCATGAACGAGATGTTAGCCCAGAAAGACTCAAGCGTGGTCCCTTGGAGCTGTTCTGTGATGTGCTTGGTGCCTGTCAGTATACAAGATAATGAATGCTGTGGATCCAACTTTGGGACATACTGGTAAAGCGACAGCCAGAGCAGTGGCATCCCAAGATGTGACTATCGCTGTAAGCGCCAGCGACAAAAGCGACATCCAAAATGAGAAAGGCTTTTTCACTTTCACGCGCCGGTCTGAAGAAATCGAGGCATCCTGCTGGTCTGACCCCGACTGCAGCGCGGACTCTTTTTGTGTGTCGACTTGTTTCGTCGGGCCGGGCGCTGCTGCTGTGCGGTCCTGTGGGTACTCGTTGTCGTTAAAGCAGCGATCAGCTGAGGGCAAAAGTACCGCACCAGCCGCCCCCTGTAATGCAAAACGAATATCAGGGCTCCTTGTGAAAGAAATGGAATCTCTAAGACTTACCTATCCGGACAAATTCCTTTTCTATAAACGCTCGTCCTCGTGTTTCAACCGTTGCTTCGTGAAGCCCAGATCCCAACAGGCTGCATATCTGACTATTCACTTTCACCGATCTCACTCAAGATATCCTACGAGGAGAGGTTGTTTCGAGGCTGGGCGCAGGAGAACAAGTTGCGTGCTGCCGGTATGAAGGACGACTGTGCCTTTGACCGAAACCTGGAGGCGTGGCTGGATGGACGGCGACAAGCAAATTACATCCTGGGTTTCAAACCCGAGATCACCGAAGACGTAGCTGATTTCATTACGGGCGACTTTCTCGTGATTGCAAGATCATGAAAACTGCGGGATGCATATCTACCAGAGCTTGCAGCTTATGCGGACTTTCCCACGGGCAGCCTCGGTTCTCGTGTTCAGGATGGGAATTACAACTACCTCAATATGGTCGAGCAGGAGATTGCGGACTTTCAGGGCGTCGAAGCCTGCTATATCACAAAGTGTCCGTACAGACGTCCCAATCATGTCACATCAATGCAGATCAAACTGGGCCTGACTTCGGTGCATAATGGCTGGTACTCGTGAGAGGCAGACAAGCCCATCCGGCATCCGTGCAAAGCGATTCCACTATATTGTGACTAAGTTAGACTGAACCAAACCCTTGATACCGACTTCTGTTCGTAAACCAAGTTTCGGCAAATTCTAGCCCTCTTCCAGAGGTCCAGTTGAAAATGCCCTGGACGCAGCTCGCTGAAAGCTGGCATTTGCGCTTATCACCATGCACCGGGATCGGCGTCCTCCGCCAAGTGCCGCCCGGCATGCGGATCCCTGATGAGAGAGGAGACCATATTAACGGCTTATTGATATCGTACTTGGGCCAAGTGAATATGTGATTTCCTAGTCGGGTGCAGGAGATATGGTAGGACGGTAGTCATGCAGTCACTATTTGCCTATCTTTGATGCTTTGGTCCCATTCGTACGAGTCGAATGCCACTGATGGGGCAATATCACCGCGTTCACGCCCTCGCGGGATGAGGGGCTGACGTCCCCGATGTCTCACTTCCGAACCCATGAAATACTACCACGGGTTTTCATGATTACATCTTCCACTAAAATTCTACGTCTGTACTGAATTTTTCTGCACTCAAAACAGACTGCCTGGCGTGTGATCATCAGCCATGGGAAACAGTGGTATCAAAGCACGATTAGGAGTGATCGAAGGAAAAGTACGGCTGCATGGCGACGAGACGCGGCATGAACAGACCGATTCTTGGTCAAACAGAGACCTGATCCCACTACCCCCAGAGAGGAGAACCTGGAGTACGTCACACGCAAGGCACACTATCACTATATTCAAGAAGGATTTCTGACACTCCTTTCGCTCAAGACTGGTTCCTGTTTTTCGGATATTGGACGATTTCCAGTCTCAACATCAGCAATTGGCAGTCCCCGAACACATTCCTGACGCAAGGGCTCTCAGTCTCCCAGTCGATGGGAATCATCCTCATCGGCCGCCTCCTGATATCCCTCTTCTCAACGCTCATCGCCTGGTGCGGACTAACCTGGCACATCGGCTTCACCATCCAGAACAGGTTCTCCTGGGGCCTCCGGGCCAGCTACGTCCCGCTGCTCCAGCGCATCCTGCTCAACTTCCTCTGGAACGCGATCCAGTGCTGGAACGGCGGCAGGCTGGCGGCCGTGTGCCTGACGGCCATCTGGCCCAGCTTCGCCGAGATGCCCGAGTTCCTGCCCGCGGGCATGGCCGCCGTCACCACGGGCTACCAGTTCGTGGGCTTCGTCGTGTTCTGGGCGGCCTCGGCGCCGTTCCTCCTCATCCGCCCCGAGAGGTTCAAGTGGCCGTTCCGCATCACCAGCGCCTACTGCGGCATCGGCATGCTGTGCATGATGACCTGGGCGCTGGCCACGGCCAAGGGGGTCGGCCCGCTGATGACGCAGGGGCAGAATGTCCCCGGCGGCTGGAGGAACTCGTCGTGGTTGATGATGGCTGGCATCAACCAGATGGTTGGCGGGATCGCGGCTGGGATCACCAACTCGAGCGATTTTGGGCGTTACGCGAAGGGGCCGAAGCACTATGTCGGAGGCACGATCCTTTCTGCTTGGATTGTCGGGGTGCTTGTTTCATTCATCGGTCTGGTTACAACTTCTGCTTCCCAGAAGATATACGGTGAGGTCTATTGGAACCCACCGGATCTGTTGATGGTCATGATGGACAACGGTCACGGGTCTTCTAAAGCGCGGGCGGGGGTGTTCTTCCTGGCTTTCGGATTCGCACTGACCGCCTGCTTCGAGAACATCTGTGGCAATGCCGTGGCTGGGGGCATCGATCTGGCTGGGCTGTTCCCTCACTACATCGACATCCGTCGTGGGGCAATTATCACCTTCGTGGCGGCTTGGATTTGCCAGCCCTGGCAACTCATCAACCGGGCGACGACCTTTGTCAGCGTTCTGAGCTCATTCTCTGTCTTTCTGAGCCCCATCATCGGCATCATGACAACAGACTTCTTGCTGCTCCGGAGAGGCAAGATCCGTCTCAGCCACTTGTATCGCACCAACGACACATCATATTGGTATTTCCACGGAATCAATTGGAGGGCCATCGTTGCTTGGCCATGTGGCTGGGCGCCGACGATAGGCGGTCTAATCCTAACGGCGGGCGGAAACACAGGTGGGCCTAAAGCACTGTATCAACTGTACTATATGGCCTTCCTAGTTGGTAAGAGAGACCCTCATAATTCTGCCTATTCCTCGTGATGCTAACACGGCCGGCCAGGATTCTTCATCAGCTCGTCGGTTTTCTTTGTCCTCAATAAACTGTTTCCAGTCCCTGGTATGGGCGAGTATGACGAGGTGGATTATTATGGCACATTCACAAGTCGGGAGCTTGCGAAATGGGGTGTCGTCCCTTGTGAGCCGGTACCTGTTGTTGAAGGAGACGGCGTCAGTGAGTCGCCAGTTCAGGAGACATTTGACAAAAAGGAATAGATGTGGCTCCACATCGGAATGAGCAATATTGGTGATGCAATTTCGGGTCTGTTGACAAATTACTGTAGCATAATACCACCCCTGACCTATTTCCCCACCGCAGCAAATCCTCGAAACCTACTTTTGCCCTGAAGTTGCCGGCATTGCAGATTTTGTCCAAAGTACTCATTGGTCGAGATCCACTCTGTTATACTTCACGAAGCCCTCGGCTTCACTCTAACCTTGAGCCCAGCAGGCCTGTAATTAAACCAGCCGTCCTGGTGCCCATCCAGCTTCCAATCCGGGTCCACCAGCTCAAAGTCACACTCCCTGATCAGCATCGCCGTGACCACCATGTTGAACTGCCAAGCCCAGTGTTTGCCTATGCACTCCCTTTTCCCGTTCCCGAACCACTTCTTCACGCCGGGGGGCAGCTCCTCAAACCCCTGACCCAACATGCGCTCAGGCCTGAACGAGAGAGGGTCATCGAAGACAGAAGGGTCGCGGTTCGCCCCCGCGAGGACGAGAATCATGGGCTGGTCGTGCGCGATCTGATACTTGCCGCCCGCGAGGAACACAGGGCTCTTGTCCGCGTCGCCGCTCGGCGCCTTGGGCCGGGGCACCGGCTCGATGTTGAAGCCGGGCGCGGCGAAGCTCAGCCTCAGGGACTCGCGGACGACGGCCTCGACGTACTTGAGCTGCGGGAGGTGCTCGGCGCGGATCTGCGCCGCATCGCCCGCTGCCCCAGCCGCGCCCGACCAGGGCCCGACGACGCGGTCCAGCTCCTCCCTGGCCTTGGCGACGCACGCCTTGTTCCGGATGAGGTAGTACACCTGGGTGCCGAGCATGCACGGCGCCGTTGAGCTGCCGATGGGCATGCTCACGATCTCGTCGATGACCTGGCTCTCCGTCAGGCCCTTGCCTGTCTGGTCGTCTTTGCCTTCCATGAGGGCCCAGAGGACGTCCCTGCGGCTTGTTGGGTTCTGCTTCCTGTGATACACCATATCGGCGGCGAAGTCCTCGCGCATGACCTTGATCGCGTTCTTGAACTTGCCGCCGTAGAGCAGCCAGTTGAGGAGACCCGGGCGATTGGGCCTCTTCATTGCCTCTGCAGTGCTGTCCTCCATGCCCTGCAGCATCGGGTGGCTCTCAGCAGCACTGATGCAGTTCAGCTTCTTGCTGAACATGGTCAGCGCCGTGGCCTCAAGATTGAGCCTGTTCAGCTCGTCCATCAGGTCGACTCCGCCCTCGGACGCCCCCAACCCCTTCCACTTCTGAATCAGCTCGACTGTGCAGCCGACAATGTCGTCGCATCCTTCCCGCACGGCATCAGGCGTCAGCCTCGGCGCGATGATGCGGTGTGCGACGCCCCACATCTCCTCGTGGTCGAACGCCGTGAACAGCGCGTCGTGCACCGCGCTCCGGATCTCCACGATGGGCCCGCCCACGTACTTCCGGAAGCGCTTCTCGTCGCAGAGCTCCTCGACCAGCGCGGCGCCCGCCACGAACACGATCGTCTTTCCGAGGACCTTGATCTGGAAGATCTCGCCATACTTCTCCGACAAGCGCTGCAGGGACTGCCAGGTGTTGGAGGGGCTGACGTCCAGGAGGTTGCCTACCAGGGGGAGACCTTTCGGCTGGGGGATTGGGTGAGACATGGCTGGTGTGGGGGTGCCGTGGTTTGATGAGGTTGTGGTACTTGCTCAGTTCCGGATCATTCCTCTTATAGGAGCCGTGGGCATGAAGCTGTCGGGCGCAGGTGACGATGACATTGTTTGTGACTCGAGGGGCCGGGGGAATATTCGGTGGGCAGAGAGGGGTTGTTATGTTCATCCATTTTTTGTGTACACCACGGTGAGTCCGTCTCACTACTTTTTCTTTGTCTTACTTGGACCAACACATTCCTGCAGCTAACCGTTCTGGCTGGCTGAGGTTCAGCTGTGGCGGCGATCATCCTCGAGGCACAGCTGCGCGGCTGGGCAGCTGGGCAGCTGGGCAACCAGCACCAGTTGACCGTTGTGGGGGTTGGAAGCGACGTGCCTCCTCATCTTTTTACATTAACGATCGTACTGCAGGTGCCTAGCGTTTTTGCTGCCCGCGTTTATAAAACCTGCCTGTTTGAGTGGTTTCGGGCAGAAGTGCAGAAAATGCCGAGTGACCTGCAGGAGATGACCCAAAGAACGGTTGGCTGTTGGTGTGACACAGTAATACTGTATCACTCAGCACACCACGACGATCATCTCCAATCGTGTCCAAGGCATCCATGGGTGGTTGGGGCAATGCACATTGCTTATCACAGCATGTCAATAGCCTATCTGACAGCTCAAACTCAAGACAGATCGGCTGCATCACAGCCAGATGTTTGTTTTTGCGGGTGGAAGGACATCGGAATACTCCACCAAGAGACTATAGAAACGCCATGTCTCCGGAATCTGTTTTCAGCCAATTATAGTGATGAAACACCATCTTCTATGCTTCTTGTCTTGATCGAATGCTAACAGGTCTTCGAGCCCATGAAATCCCCGCGAAAGACCGAATGCTTATAGAGGTGAGACCCTGAAGACGCAGGTTTCTCTGCACACCACCGGCAGTCATTCTTTCAAGGCATCTTCAAAAGTACAACGAGCGCCTCTATTAGATAATAAAATTGTTCACTTGCACACTGTGTCTCTAGTCAGATTTCCCGTCCCAAAAGGTTCTTCACTCAGACGGCAGCCAACTGTAATACCACCTGTGCTAAATCACCAGACACATAGGTCTCTTCAGTCCTCCGACGTGAAGAAAGGCCCAAATTACTGTCATTTCATGACAACCTATCACATCTACCAGGCAGAATTTCAATGCGCAGGGAGTGAACATCGAATTGAATAGACCACAACTCCACAAAGCAAGGTTCGCGATCATCCTAAGTTTTCGGCTTCGTGATACCGCTATTTTCCTCATCTATACTGAGTGGCTTGCGGCACATAGATCACTTCTATCTGGTAGGGTGGATTGAGGACATCAGTTGAAGACATGTGGTGGGATGCCATCTGGTGTGACCCAGTGTCAGACCGATACCCATCAGATGGTGGACCATTCGGAAGATATGCCGCAGCAGCCGGTGTCGAAGCTGGGTTTTGTTGGCTGAAGTTCATCGGCACCCAGAATACACCATTCCTTGGATCTGCGTTGACATATCCATAACCATACGATGGCTGACCGTCGGCTTGATACACCACCGGAAGCTGCGCCCATGCGAAGCTCGGCTGTGTCATGCTCCCCGGCACCCACGATCCACCGTTGCCATGGCCTGTGTTGGCGACTTCATACCCATCACATGGACGATCGCTCATCTGGTTGACCGCAGACTCGGGAACCCGTGTGTTCGCATGGCTTGGGCAGCTTACATCCTTTGGCACCCGCGGATCACCATCGCTCCGGTCCCTATTGGCACTAGACCTCTCCTTCAACGACCGTAAGGACGACAGGAATGACGATACCGCTCTGTGCCACTTGAAACCAGCAAACACAGAAGGAAACGTTGGCGCACAACAGCATATGATACTGGTTGCCATCTGCGTAATGTCCCAAATAGGGTCCAGAACACTCGTGTCTATAGTAATTAAATTGTTAGCACACTCTCACCTCATTTGCATCATCTGATTCCTATGTCACTTGTCCGGAAATCGACCACCAGGATCTATATCAAACTTACATGCTGTAGAGTATGCTTCCGCAATCTTGATGAAACCAACGATACCAGATCTGTAATACTGTCAGCTTAGTTCATATCAAATTTTGAGCAACCACGGTCCAACTTACAAGCTGCCAACCGAGAATAAGATGCTAAGCCTGATCTTCTCATAGAGGCTCATCTGAAGGGTAGTAACGATCCGAATCGCTAAAGCGATCATCACGAAGTCAATCACAGAGTTGGCGCTCTCGTTGACAGCAAAGAATATAGGCATCTTAATGCATTTCCCACCAGGCAAAGTCTTGTCCCAGATATATGTCACTGGCCAACACATCATCCACTTGACAAGATAGACCGAGAAGGACCATAGAATTGTGAGGATACCGATGCACCAAAGACAGCGGACAAAGCCCTTGTGAATCCAGAAGATGCGATAGTAGAACAAAAGCAACGTTAATTTCGTCAGCAGCTGGTTAGGACAAAATTGGGGCGCCATTGCCCAGCCGACCTAGAGATTGGTCAGTATGGCGTTTCCTAAAACACCAACGAAGAAACTAACAACCGTAGACTTACTTTCAGCACGTGTAAGATGGTCTCTGGAGGACCCATCTTCAGCTCAGTCAGACTACGGCCGTTGAGTACCGTCAGAACTATCAGGAAATAGATCATCAGTGCTGGAGAGTCCCGACATGGCAGTCAGGGTGGTAGAACGGGTGAGACGAACGATATAGGAACATAAGGGTGTAAACCAGAAAAAAGAACAAAGACGCCAGAGCCAGCCAATTCTCCAGATTCTCTCTTCCTGTTGTCTTCTTAGGGGCCGCGAAGCGCAATGCTGTAGCTAGACAGCACACAGGAATTGCCACCACACATAGAACAAACCCTCCAAGTTGCTCCGAGTCTTTCCATACTTCAATCGCCATCTTAAATTCCTGTCTGGTGGACGCAGTCTAATTAGGGGTCACGTGTATGCCGGAAGTGCCGCAACCAGACAAACTGAGGGGGTTATCGTCGAAAAGTGTTCAGAACAGACTCCACGAGTCTGGGTGTAACTCTGTTCGGATGCGTGTCTGGACCCGAAATTTGAATAATGCCCAGGTTGTGCGTGCTCTTCACGTTATCTGCTGGTAGGTCGGCCAGCCAGTGTAGGGAAATAATTGTGTGTGGACGAACAAGAAATCTTCACGGGCAGATACTCCTTAAAGCGCATCTCTAAACGGGAAATCTGTGCAGCTGCTTGTGTGGTAATCTTTTTGGGACCCACTGGTGGCAGGCTCCATCCGTCGATCATGTCGTCCTCCCTAGTCGACATCAAGCAAAATTCATGGGTTTCTGCGTAGTAAACTTTGAAGGTGTAGATCTTCGTACAAACTGAGTAAGGTATCGTCGCATTCATTACAAGCGTACGGACCCGAACCAATGTGCAGTGAGGAAATGGGCTGTTGGCAGCTAGAACTTGAAGCGATCCCGGGAAACACTCCACTACTACTGCGCCCCTCAGTACGGAGCGTAGCACCAACAGTCCAAATTCAAAGCAATCAAAAGAGCGCGCTATCGGACCGATGAAACCTGTTGGTAAGTATCTGCAAAAGAAATTGTGGGGAGTGGGTAGTATTTAAGAATGACTCCAAGCACACCGACGCATCGATCTCACAGCCTGGCTAGTGCCCAGAGGCGTGGAAGGTTGGCAACCAGATCAAATCCATCTTTTTCCCACCAGAATACACAATGGCACCTTCTCTCGCGAGCGTTTGGACAACTTCCTTCCCTCCAAAGCCCACTTTCACCGAGAAAGATGTCCCAGACCTCAAGGGAAAGGTAAGCGACCAGGGGGTTCCCCTTCTACGCACAATATACTCATCAACCCTTGGCTATAGGTCTATCTCGTCACCGGTGCGAACACTGGCATCGGAAAAGAATTGTCTCGCATGCTATACTCTAAGAATGGCAAGGTCTATGTGACGGCACGTTCCGAAGATAAGGTCAGCCAAGCAGTCAAAGACATCCAGGCTGCGGTGCCCAATTCATCAGGTACACTCGTACCACTTGTCCTCGATCTCTCAGACCTTAGCACCATCAAGGCCTCTGCAGAAACGTTCACCGCTGCTGAGTCAAGGCTTCACGTCCTGTTCAACAATGCCGGGTTCATGGGGCCCGAGAACAAAGTGGAGCGAACAGTGCAGGGTTACGAGAAGCACTTTGGCGTGAACTGCTTGGGACCTTTCCTCTTCACGAAGTTGTTGACTCCAACATTGATTGCCACTGCACAAGACAAGACAACGGCACCCGGCACAGTTCGTGTCGTCTACCTAACTTCGGCTGCCGCCGACCTCTTCAGTGACAAGAACACCATTGTCGACATGGATAACTTGGATTTCCATGTTGAAAAGAATGCCAAATACCTATATGGGGCCAGCAAGGCAGGCGACTGGATCTATGGATTCGAAATGTCCAGGCGCTATAAGAAGGAGGGCATCATTGGGCTCGGTGTCAACCCTGGAAATCTCAAATCGGACCTCTTCCGCCAACAGGGAGCGGTGTTCAGGGCCTTGACAGGCCCGATGAACTATCCAGTTGTGAATGGCGCATACACTGAGCTGTGGGCAGGTCTGTCGCCAGAAGTCACCCTTGAAAAAGCAGGAAGCCTTGTGTGGCCCTTTGGACGCTTTGGGGCGATCCGCAAAGACTGGGAGGCCGCGACCAAGTCAAGTGCTGAGGGTGGCAATGGAACCACGCAGAAATTCTGGGATTGGAGCGAAGAGCAAGTGAAAAAGTATCTCTGACTAACAATAGGTCCGTCATGCGCCGAATGAGATGCCTGCAGCTTACGGCAAGCAATTACGCTTGAATAATGTCAGAAATTAGGGAGCTGAGTCCTTTATCACCGGTCTTGTGTGGTTTGCCACCCCATTCTACTCCACCGGCAATGTCTTCTCCAAGTCTTTTTGGTGACAAATTTCTTGTAGATAACTCTATACATCACAAGATAAGTGGTTTGCCACAAATTTTGCTGAGCTGCTCCATTGACACGGTTACTTCGGCTCGTGATCGTGAATATCCTAGGGTAGGAGTGCGGCTTTGGATGAAATTTTAATTTCCGGTAGACGATGAAGAAGTTTCTTCGCGTTATTACTAGGCTGACAACGTCAACATACCTGTGCCCGGCAATGGTGGAAACATTGATGACTTCTTCCTCGGTCCTCATACCAAGAATACCCAGCCGCTCATCTCGTTCGCTCTAAAGATCCAGTGCGCCCCATTTCAGCCTCCCAATATCCCTACGCTACTTGTCAGCTGTCTGTATTTTTATGATACTCGAATTCGGCATCCTGCCTCCCTGGTGATGTATTCGGCTGACAGTAACTCGTAATGGCCGCTAAGTCGATGCCGGCAATGACGGACTTCATTGGCACAGGTTGAAAACTGAGGATGACAAGGACTGCGGCGGCGACTGCGGCAATAAGCAGACCATGGACCATGGCCCGGATGGAATACAGTCTTTCATGATCGATTCATTGAAAAGATAGGACTCAGTGCTGGTTCTTGAAGATGCTGACAAAGCGCAAGATTTATTTGTTGTTTCTATTCCAACTGCCTCTCAGCAAGAATATTGCAGTTGAACATGGGGAACACTTGGCAAAAAGACGTGGCGTCGTTGCAGGCGACGTGCAGAGGTTTCAACGAGACCAGACTGCAAAAAGTGTCAATGTTGCAAGGCAAAACAAGCCCGAAAAGCTTCTAGCGTTGACATCTATCAGCTGGGGAGTGCTGGTCTTCTATATAAGACTCTCTTCGGGTAGCGGGTATTCCAAGTTGCGAGCTGAAAATCGAGCGATACTGCTGAGCCTGATGAGAGACGTTTCCGTATCACTTCGGGCAATGAAAATGGGCCCTGACCCGAAACAACCGTTGCCAGTAGTATCATTGCGCCTGTTCATAGGCTGACGACCACATCATGTGGGAGGCACCGCTTCCTCAGGGTGGTGGACCCGCCCGCCCCCAACGGTGCGCGACCAGGCAAACCTTGGAATAGGGCAACCGAAACATCAGCCAGCCACTTTGCTTCATGTCCAATGACAGGCTGCTTCGTATTCCAGGATGTATACAACGCACAATTTACTCGCGGTTACATCACATAAGCGCCGAGCGGGCACTCACACGAAGCAAAATGACTTTTGACGGTGGCTGGTCTCCGAAAGGTTGTTGCCATAGGTTGTGTTGTAACCCGTGCACAATCTGCCCGAGGCACAGTATTGTAGCAACAAACAGTGTACATGATAACCTTCTTTTATTACACGGCTCGCTGGTCCTCACTAAAGTCAGTGGTTGATGATGCACCTCATGGCCGTTGCTTGCGAGCGACTTGGATGGCCCCGACTAATAGATTGGACAAGGTCAGGTGCATTAGATGTCAAAGGGGCCCCATACAGGCAGGGGCCTCGTTTGATGGGCACCAATCATTTGGTGTGGCGTTTCACACCCGTGAGAATTGTGTGATCTATCTGGTGATACAGCAATGCATTTCTGGTAGCTCGCAATGAAAGGGAGAAGTCGGTCTCGGCCGGCCCCCGACTCGCGCTCATCTCTGGGAGTTACACCATCTGAGACAACTCAGCGATGCAAAGAAACTCACCCTGCAGACCCCTTACTGTTGAGTGCCCGTCAACAGCCCATCGCTCACATTCGCTTTCAACAATCTCTGTGCACCAAGCTTAGACCCCGCGTAAGTCGATGGCTCCCGAATCGTATCTGCCGCGAAGAATTGTGGTCTGTGTGGATGGAACGTGGTTCGACGAGGATGGCAGGGAAGGTAACTATTCATCCACAACGTGGGACCGTGGGCCTGACCAGAGGCGACTGCTGACCGTTGGTTGCAAAGGATGTGGCCGAGGCAACAACAGCAATGTGTTCCGGTTGTGGGCTTCAGTGAAGGAGGGCCTTGTTACTGATGCAAATGGAAACAACTTTGATCAGGTATGCGTGCCTTAAACCTAGTTCTAGACCCAAGGGCTGGGTCTATACTATCCTTAGATGCTAAGTTAACGTGAGCATAATCAAGAAATACTTTCAAGGCATTGGCGTTGGTGTGAAGCGTTCTAGTGAGAAGCTGAACGCAGGTATTTATGGTACGGGTTGCGGTGACAAAATCTGCGAAGTTTACCAAGTGAGTACTTTCTAACACGCCCTCAATCTTTCTACCACTGACACAAATTCAGTATTGTTGCACCCAAGTCAAGAGCCCAGATGATGAGCTTTGGCTCTTTGGTTTTAGCAGAGTGGCCTGTGAGTTCTCATCATCTCAGTGATCACAACACCCGAATTCTCTGTAGCAGCGGCCTCTTTGGCTAATGGGCCACTCTGACCGGTATCAGACATTGTTCAAGCCGTTGCAAGCCTCATGCAATATGGCGTGACTAAGGAGCATGAGAACCGTTGGCAATCCTCCTCCAGCGGTTCAGAGAGGCCCAGATCGATTATCGAAGCCATAGGTTTGGCAAAAAGAAAACAAAGCTTTGCCAAGTATTTCCATGGCGGCAAAGAGTACCGAGTCAAGTCCGTTTTCTCCTTATATCCGACGCCTCATATTCTAATTGATCGCATTCCTTCTGACTGTATTCACCAGATCCGAGATGAACGAGGCCCCGGTGATCAAATTCTTGGGTCTTTTCGACACGGTGCAAATGTCCTTGGACACGGGAGACGTGGATGTCTCCCAAACCAGGTCTATCAAAGCAATCCGTCACGCCTTAGCCCTTAACGAAGAGCGCAGGCCTCTATCTCCATCTTTATATGACTGTACAGACACTAATAGCGACAATGAAACGTCAATAGTGCAAGCCTGGTTTGTCGGCACGCATGGGGATATTGGAGGAGGCACAGAGTACGACGGCCTCTCACTGTACCCGCTGCAGTGGATGCTGCTCGAGAGCAAGCTGTATGGACTGGTCCTCGAGCACAACAGCGACGGCAGGCTCAAGGGTTTAATTGAGGACCCTCTCAAGTTGGTGTTCCCGCCTACGCCATTCTCTTTCCGAGACCCTGATACGGAGCGTGCTTCTGGCTCCGACCAACCTGTGCCGTGGATATTCAAGTACTCAAACGGGCTCGAGATTTCCATGCAGGATATGCGTCCGTCGCATAACCATGGTAATCTGCAGACGGTAATAAGACACAAGCTGCAGAAACGGAACAAGAGGAGAAAGGGTGAAGAATCGAACAAGGAAACAGCTCACCGCCCACGTCACTTTGTCCGCCTTAATACCGACCTATGGGGCAAGGTTGCAAACCACATAGGCTTAGGGAAGCGCGAAGTGTTCCAGAATGACTCAAAAGAACTCAAGGGATACAGCAAAAGTGGCAAGTCATATGGGCATTCTGTCGACGACGTACCTTGGTGTCAAAATGGTAATCTGACTGCAATGTTGTACAGCACGGAATTGCACTGTGATCCACCCGTCGACTTATTTCTTGCTCGAGACTTGCTCCTCCCTAGGCATCGGAAAAGCCTTGGCTCATCTCAAACCGCAGCTGGAGAAGTTTCGTGATGAAACAATGGAGTACGGAGGTAACGGGCATCCTTGGCTAAGAGACTATCTTCAGGTCAAGACACCCACCTTGTCAACATTTCGCATCCTGATTTGCGGCAACGCGGGTGTTGGCAAGTCAACGCTTCTCAACCGGGTATTTGGCACAGACATGGTTGGTAGAACTTGCGACTCAGGCTTCCGAGGTTTACAATTTCCTCATAGACACACTGATATCTGCTCCAGACCACCGAATCTCACAATGAGCTGGGCCGGCACAACATCGAGGAGGCTTTCGAATCAGATCAACATCCAGGACTTCTGGTCCATGACTCCGAGGGTTTTCAGACCGGAACGGATAGAGAACTCCTCGCTTTCAAGAAGTTCCTTAAACGGAGGTCGTCGGCTTCTGACCCAGAGGAGCAGCTTCATGCCATCTGGTATGGTGAAAGACCTGCTGGCCCTGCACTGCCAACTCAGAACCATGTTGGCTTTTAAGCGAATGCTGACCGATGCCTCGTTGACTAGGATTTGCCTCGAGTCTCACAACTCACGACCGGTCCAGCACGCCATGGTGGTTCTGCTCAGAGCCATCAGCGAGGAAGCGCCATCGCTTCCAATCGTCGTTGTAGGAACAAAAGCAGACATCCTCCTCAAGATCAACGACCATTCTACTCAGATAAGAGAACAAAAGAAGAGAGAGTTCCAGCACGCTTTCGAGACTAATGCAGAGACCGCGCTCTTCTGGGATAAGCTGAAAACCGACTTCACATTTGTCTCATACAGTACCTAGGTACGTTAGACCCGATCGCCCTAAATTGCTCATATCCCCGGACACGCGCAAAATGAAATCCAATAAAGGCTGTCAAATTGACTGGTTGGCACGTAGATGACCCGGAATCGACACTCAAGCTGATTCAGATGACAATGACATCCGTCATAGACCCCGTCATCTCCGAAACGATGTGCGCGGTCCAGATCCAGGATGTGGACGCCAAGATCGACCAAGCCATCGAGAAGACGATCAGGCTGCTCCGGATCGCCGTCACCAACGTCTCCGCGGGGTGGGAGGTGGTGATCGCCGGCCTGATCGGCACGCCGACGATATCGCGCGTCCTCTGCAACCACATCGTCTTCGGGTGCTACGGCCTGCCCGCATCCTACAGCCTCGAGGCGGAGGCCATCCTCAGCAGGATCGTGTGGTCAAACCTGGTCCGCTACATGGGCCACGCCTGGGTCAACATCTGCGTCTTCCCGCTGGGCACGACGCTGATGCTCGAGGCGCCCGCCGCCGCCAGGATGGTCCTCAAGTGCGCCTGCGACCTCGTCATCATCCTGGACAAAGGCTTCCGCGACCACGGGGGGGCCCCGACGATGGAGAGCCTGAGGCGGATATCCAGGCACTACGCGAGGAACAAGGTCCAGGTGGCGAACCGCGACGGGAGCCTGACCTGCAAGTCCCGCAGGGGGCTCGTGCACGCCGAGGTCAACGAGATCTTCCCGATTCACTCTGGCCTTGCGCTCACGGTCAAGGTGCATACCACGAAGCGGATCTCGGCTATCAGAGACGGGTGCAGGGAAATCATTTACAGGCATGGGTTTCAGAAAGAAAAGGATTTGGCAGCCAGTTTGAGTACGCTTTCCTTGTCGTCTTCTTCGGAGGCCGTCACAGATGACAGCAGCCCAGGCACCGACAGATCCTCCGCGCTTATCCCGGTGGAGTTGGATGAGGACAAGGAGGATATTGAGGCATATGAGTTCCGGAATGGGGAGACACCGCCTAGTCCGTAGTTCTTCAAGTCACTGTTTCAATATACTAGAATTCTATATTACCTACGGTATAAAACGAGCAGTCCTCGAAAGGAAAAAGAACACAACACAGTAGACCGTCAAAAAGTCCGCCCTAACATGCACACACGTACGCAGCTGCCACATCACAGACAGACGCCTTGACGCACCTGCTGTCTGAGAAAAACGAGTTGCCCCCCCCCCCCTGTTTTATTACCCCTGTCAAAAATTTTAAAGGTTTTTTTAAAAAGTAGTCTTCTTTTAATAACTTTATTAATACTTAACTTAAAAATATATAAAAAATATATTTATAACCCTTATAAAATTCTTTATAAAATTGAAATTTTAAAATAATTTTTATTTAAAGTTTATATATTACTAGGATTATAGGCTGAACTACTTAATAGGTCCGTACACTTACTTATTTTATCAACCTAGTAATCTCTATACTTTATATAAAAAAGATTTAATAATAAATACTTAAAAAATATTAATATATAAAAGTTTTAATAAGGATTATAAATATATTTTTTATATATTTTTAAGTTAAGTATTAATAGAGTTATTAAAAGAAGACTACTTTTTAAAAAACCTTTAAAATTTTTGACAGGGGTAATAAAACAGGGGGGGGGGCAACTCTCGTTTTTCTGAGACAGTGGGTCGCCACATAAAATTGGATCACGTGAAACAGACAGTTAAAGCAGCAATAATCACGTCTGATCCCACCACAACACACACAGGTTTTCTCAACGACTATAGATTAATTAAATATTTGCATTGATTCCCCTATCAAGCAGATATGAACCCAGTCCCCCGTGCGGTTACGCAGCATGGTTTGAATCTTAACATCTACAAAATCACAACCTCTTTAACATGAGACCCCCCTCCCCTACCATCTCTGCCTCACCACAAACCAAAGTCATGCTCAATACTCACTAGAAATATCCATTATCCAGCGGCGATCCCCAAGTCAATCCCATCTATCTACATAAGTACTAGCACACAAACAAGCAACTCAGCTCTAACCCCCCCCCCCCCCCCGGGATCAAAATCCATCAACGCGGCGCAAGCCCAGGCACATTCCCCCCACCATCCATAAAAGCCGGCCGGGTACGGCCAGGATTCACGTCCCCAGTAGCACCAGGCTCGTCCGGCGCCTCCCACTGCGGCGGCCGGTCATTGCCCGCCCAGTGCGGCGCCGGCAGGGACCCGTCGTCTCCTGCCGCTGGTGCCGCGGGCTGTTGTGTGTTTCGCAGATTGTCAGCGCCCTGACCAAGATCCAATCTTCATGACCCAGCCCCAAGCCGGAGGAGGAAAGAAATCACGAGGGTTAGGTAGGGTAAGGTAAGGTAGACGGGGATCACTGGTCACGGGGTGGAGAGTGCGGAAGAAAAAAAAAAAAAAAGTGATAGCACAAGAAGAGTAACCGCAGCAAAGCAGGCCAACTCACAGCAGCAGGCTCCCCAAAGGCCCAATTGCACCACGCCCGGCTCGCAGCGACGTCCTCCCCGGGCACGACCCGCCCGCCCGCGCCGCCCGCGCCCTCGCCCTCCATGCGCCGCATGAGGTCCTGCAGCTCCACGAGCGGCGGCCGGTCCGAGGGCAGGTCCGCCAGGCACCGCAGCATGAGGTGCAGGAAGTCCTCGTCGAGCCCGTCCTGGAAGGCCAGGTTGAACCCGTGCGTGTAGAACGTCGCCACGGGCGTGCCGCCCGAGTCGCGGATGACGGTCGTCGGGCTGCGGTCGAAGAGGGGGTTGGGCGGGCCCGTGGTGGCGTTCAGGGGCCCTATGGCCTGTGGCGGGTATGGGGGGTAGCCTCTTGTTATCAGGCTTTGGATGCACTGTGTTGTTGTTGGCGCGGTGTGTCAGTGATAAGTAGCGGACAGGTAGGTGGTGGTTCTCAAGTTTCGTCTGATGTAAAGTGCCTATGGAAGGAAGGGCAAGAGGGAAGGGGGTGGGGGGGGGGCAGTAATAGTAACAACTTACAAGTCCAACCTGGAAGATGTTGCTCCATTCCCCGTACCGGCCCGCCACCCTGTGGCGCTCGAGGACTGGTATCGTCTGTATGTAATCCCACTCTTTGTGATATTGCTCCTGTCATGCCCCAAGGAGAGGTTAACCAACCGACTCGCATCTTGGATGGGACCGCAACACCCCCTGCCCGCCAACAAGACCGTGGTTACTTAGCACATACCGGCAACAGCTGAATGGTCTTGCCCTTCCGCCGCCAGCCCCAGGCACCCTCACTACAGGCGCAAATACGTCAGCGTCAGCATCAGCCAGCACCGACCAGGAGACAACGTGAACGCGCAGGGGTCCACCCACGGATATTCAAACACCGGATCCTCCACGATCTTGCCCAGGCCAAGATCGCCAATCTTAACGACAGGCGCCACCGTGTGCTCTCCAGCGTCTCTGCCCCCGATCAGGACTACAACCACGACACACCACCGCAGTCAGCACGTATTCAATGTTGCCATACCTAGGCAGACATCCACTGAAGAGGGGGGGGGGGGATCACGACATCACCGTACTGTTCTGAGGATCAAGGTCAAAATGCACAAGGTCGAAGCCAGGTGGCTGCCGGCTCGACCCAGGGAACGGGTCGGCCAGCACCTCGTCGAGGTCAGGCCCGAACTGGTCGCCCAGCTCAGGCGCCGGCACCGTCGTCCCGTCCGGGCGCCGCGTCAGGGACCTCGGCGGCGAGTACATTGCTATGCAGGCCCTGACGACTTTGTGGAGGACTCAGTACTGGTTGCATGGGTGGATAGATGTCAGACCACAGACTCACGACAGAAAAAGATGCGCCATAACACCGCCTGGGGCACAGTCCTCCCTTCCCTGGCCACCTTCCTGATGAGTTTATGCAAGTCCCCGCCCTTCATGAACTCGAACGCCATCATGGTCTGGTCGTTGTCGATGGGCGCCCACCTGTCCGCCAGCGCCCGGAGCGCGGCCGCGTCCGCCCCCGCCGTCGGAGGTATGATCTCGCGGCCCCAGGTCAGTGATTGCACGATATGCGGGGCCCGTTTGAGGACCTAAAGGTAAGAGCCGCCCAGTTCATCAGCAGGGCCGTTGTGCACACCGCATCCAATAACTTCGCGGCATCCCATGGTATAGTCATCACTGCCTGCCTGCCAAGTTTCCAGGACATGACAGGACAGGACAGGACACGAGGGGGCGGGAATCCGACGAACCATATTATATTGCCGCTCCGCACGCATGTTCCGTCCCGCCTTCAGCACAGACTTGACCACGACCTTCCTGCTCGGCCCACCGTCGTCCCCGCCAGGCCACACCTCGAACAGGCACGCGACCCCGTTGCCCCCGACGCCAAGGATCTTGATAAGCTGCACCCGGACCCCGAGCCGCCCGAGCCTGTTCCTCACGGCGCCCGCCGTGGCCTCCGGGTTGATGTTCGGCCAGCTGCCCCAGTTGATCGAGCGCATTCTCTCGAACCCGACCCGCCCCGCCAGCTGTTTCGCGATGGCCGCCCGGGCGTCGACCTGATAGCTCCCGTCCCATCCCCGCTGCGGGTTTGGCGGCTCGCGGAACAGGAACGGGAACTTGGGATCGTTCCAGGGTGCCCTGTGGTTGCGCGAGAGGCCTCGTCTGTGGTACTCGAAGTAGTTGCACGAGGGCCACTTGATCGTCTTTTGGAATTGCGTCCAGTAGCGTCGGTCTTCTCTGGGGGCCACACCTGGTAGTGCGCCCCGGGCCTCGACTATCGGGTCTGGTGCTGCTGCGGCCCAGCCACGTCTTGCTGGAACGGGCCCTCCTCGTCCACGGCCCCCTACGCCGCCATCGCCTCTATTCCCTCCACCTCCCCCGCCGAGTCCGCCGCGATTATCGTTGCCTCTGTTTCCTCGGCCACCCCCTCCTTGATTCCCCCAGGCACCACCGCCTTGATTACCTGGACCTCCCCCTCCTCCCCCTCCGCGTCCGCCACGGTTAAGATTGCCTCCATCCCCCCTGCCCCCTCGACCTCCACGGCCACGTCCGCCTCGGCCCCCGCCCCCGCCGCCTCTATTCCCCCCACCTCCCGCGGTAAAGACGAACATGTCCGTCTGCTCCGGATTCCGGGATGAATTGTATCAAACGAAGGCAGCCGAGCATCAATCGCAGTGTAGTGTCCAGCTTGGGGCCCCGACCTGGTTGGCAGGGTTGTCGCACTTTCGATGCTGGGAGCATGGTCAACCTGGCTTTGGTACGTAGGTAAGTAATTGACCCCCTTCAGCTTTGTAACACCGTCTTCTGCTGCCCAAGTACAGGCAGGTGACAAAGGTCGGTCCGCGGCCAGAACTCTTGTGCTGGCCGGAAGCAGTGGCTTGTTTGTGTCCTGTCGGCACAAAGAGACAAATTGTACCCGTGGCAAATGGCTCTCGAGAGGATAACGTTGTGAGGTTATTTGACATTCCGCCTTGGAATCTGACGAGTACTCGCAAGACAATATTGTTCGCGTGAGGCTTCTTCCTTCTTTCACCAACAACCGTACCATAATGGAAATGTTTCGGTGGCTTCGTTCTTCATCCGTATATATCCCAGAGGCGTACGGTCCCTTCAGGTAGTGGTAGACCGATGCTGTAGAACGACCCAGCAGTTGAAGAACACAAAGCCAACAGGTGAATGTTTCAGCTCGGCACAGAGTGGTTTCGTTTCGAATCCCCATACATGTAAAACGTATGTGGCGCCTTCACAAAGTGGTAGACGCTCGAGGATAGAAAAACCCAGCGCTTGAAATAGAAAACACAATGCCAACAAGTGAACATTTCAGCTCGGCACAGAAACCGGCCCGAAAAACCACGGGTGGCGTCTCTACTGCCATGACACTGCCACTGCATGAAGGCGCCGTGTATGGCTTCGAACGTAGTTGTACGGAATAGAAGCGAGACCAGTCACTGCCATGAATATGCAGAGAGAGACACCACGACAAAAAGAGTTGAGCAGTACTGATCATATCCTTTCAGTTCCTCAACTACCAAGCCGGAACAACAGCAAGTGTCTGAGAATGGCCGCAACAGAATACACATGCAAACTCAACAAGCATCAATTGTGCAAGTAACGTCAAGCAAAGCCAACGGCAGTTCCCAACCTGGGGAACCCTCAGGAGGTACTGCACACTTCAACAAGCTGCACGTCATCAACCGCTGGTCAAAAAGACAGGCGGTCTCTCTCGTCGCCATTCAAAGCCACACTCGCGGTGAAAAAGACGGCGAAGTGCCGGCTCATACAGGCAAATTATAAGCCAGGTGTAGTTGGCCGCGTCAGGCACGCTCTCCTCCCCAAGGCACCGCCGGATAATAACAAGGTGCGAACACGAGAACCTTGTAGATCCCCAGCGCCCGTCTGTTCGCCAGTGGTAATGAACAATCAAACCAGCTGTCGATCATGCCTTGAGCTTACCCTGTCAGCTGTCTGCCCGTCTTATACGAACCGGTGGCCCAACCCAGCCTGTCTGCGAATGTTAAAAGGACAAGATAAAGCAAGCAGAGCAAGCAAGGCCGGCATTGTGAGCAAAGGGCCAGCTGACCAATACCTGGTCGGGGGAGAGCAGCAGCTAAATCACCGCGCACTGATAACGACGACGCCGTGACTCGGCAGTGAATGACCTGCACCGAGGCCATCCAGCCTGCCATGCAAGGGCATTCCGATAATTTAAAAGTACAGATACGGTACGGATGACAGCACTCCCGCGGTGGATTTAAAAAAAACAACGACAGCATAAGCACTTGCTCAATAGTTTCCAAGTTTGCTTCGACGCCCGAGATAATGGCGCCCGCAGGTATTAGGTAACGGGGGGTGGGAAGGTCTTGGCAGGGGGTAGGAAAAGTAGGTCTAATAAAAACTTAATAGGGGGTGGGGACGCCATACTTAGGGTATACTATAGAGATACTATAGGTAGATTAGTATAGTAATTAATTATAATTAGGTATATCTAAGATATACTATAAGGTAAATAGAGATGTAATTATATATAAATATAGTTTATATATAATATATACTTTATAGAGACTTTATTATTTTATATTCCTTCCTTCTTTTTTTTTTTAATAATAATAACTATTATTATTATACTATTTTATTAGTATATATCTACTCTAATATACATTTTAACTATATATATACTAATAAAATACTTTTAATATAAAATTAAAAAATCCTATTTTAATAAGTTTATAGTATTCCTATATATATAATATAATATATACTTAAAATATATAGTATTATATACTAATAATATATAATTAATTATTAATTATATAGTATATTTAAATATAATAATATATATACTATATATATAATATAATATATATTTATTAATTATAAATTATTATTAAAATAGCTATTAATTAAAATATTAAGACTTTTAATATATATATATATAATATATACTATATATATACTAATCTACTTAAATAATAACTATATTAATAATACTACTAACTTATTTTAGTTTAAATACTATTATAATATATACCTTTAATATATATCTAATATATATAACTATCTTATATTAGTAAATTAAACCTTATTACTAATAATAATATTAGTTACATCCTAATTAGTTAATACTTTTATATATATATAGTATATATACTATATATATACTAATTATATATAGTTTATTTTATTAATCTTTATATTTAAGTTACTTTAATTAAAATAATAGTTAGTTTTAATAAGTATATATTATATATATACTTTAAATATACTAAGTATTAATAACTATTTTAAACCTTAATATAACTCTTTCTATTATTAATATTTATATATAAGTACTAATAAAGTATATATTATATATATACTAACTATATATTTTAATTATAATATTAATATTAATAATATTATATATAGTATTATTATTATTAACTAATTAAGTATATATATAGTATATATTATATATATATATAAAAACTTATTAGTATATTTAGTTTTATTACTACTTTTATAACGCTTACTCTAATACTAATAAGTTATTTCTTATTATAGTATATAGAGTATATATTAAAGGTATTCTAGTTATTAACTCTAACTATATTAATATCTCTATTATTAAGAATATAGCTATTTAGAAGTATATATAAGTAGTATATATAGTATATATTTAACTAATACTTTTTAGCGCTATTAAGCTTTTTATCTATTCTAGTACTTAGCGCTATATTAACTACTTTATAAAGTCTAAATTTATATACCTTATATATATATTAAGTATATATTTAATTAATATTAAGCTTTAATTATAGTTTTAAGAACGACCTAATTAATTAATATATTACTAATATAAAAGTAATTATATATATATATATATAATATCCTCTTAATATATATTAAAATTTAATATAAATTAATACTATTAATTAAGAGTTTATTAAAGTATATAGTATTTATTTTTACTATAAGGTATATATAGTACCCTTTAAATATATACTAATAGTATAATTAGGATTTACTTACTATATATTATTATTTATCCCTCTTTTAATATAATAATAACTTTATATTAAATTTACCTTTAAGAAAGTATATATTATAAACCTACTTATAAAGCTATTTATAATTAATTTAATATATACTATACTTAAACTAAAACTTAACTTAAAGTTAATTAAGGTATATTAAACCTCTATCTCTATATTAATACTAACCTCTTTATAAGTATATATTATATATATACTATTACTTTACCTTAAAACTCCTTCTCTACCTACCCTATCTCTATCTATTCTACCTTAATTAAAATTATAAAGGTTAAAAAGGAATTCTACTAATTAAGATATAATATACCTTAAATTTATACTTAATAATAATTATATATTAAGTTATTTAGTTTATAACTTACTTTTAAGGTATACTTTATATATACTTAGTATATACTAATAATTTATAGCTTATTACCTTTAAGACCTCTACCTTTAATAGTTATTATAAAATATAAGTACTCTCTTTATATATACTTTATATATATTAATTATATATAGTAAACTACCCCTCTTCTATTTACTTTTAATAATAAGGATAATAATAATACTATCTAGCCTACCCTTAATAAATATAAGTATATTTTATATACTCTTAATATATATTAAGTTAATACTTTATAGATGCTTATACTTTTAAAGGTAGTAAATATAATAGCTATTATTCTACTTATAATAATATATATTTTATATATACTTTATATATATTATATTAATATAATTATAGTTATTATTAAGGTTTAAATTTTTTTAAAGTATACTTATAGTATATACTATATATATATTTATTTATTTAATTTAGTTTAAATTTTTAAGCTTATTTATTTTTATATTTAAGGGTATATACTATATATATATATAAATAAAAATAAGGGCTTAATACTTTATAATAATATTTAAATATAATTACTTTATAATATATATTATATATATATTTATAACTATACTTATTATATATATTATTTATATACTCTTTTCTAAGTTTTAAATATTCTCTAATAATATAGTCTTTACTTTTCGTTCTTTTAACGTTTCTTTTAATAAATAACTAGTTTTAATATTATATAAGGCTTTATATATACTTATTATATACTATACTTTTAAAAATATAGAAATAGTTTATTTTAAAATAAAGGAGGTAGTATTAATTAAGTGTATATTAAAGCTATATTTATATTTTACTTAAAAGCTATATTCCTAATATAAATAGGGAAGTTAAGGGTTAAATAAAAGAAAGTATTTATAGAGATTTAATATTATTATTAGACTATATTAAAGTTATACTTAATATAAACTTAATATAAATTTATTTTAAGTTATATAGATTTAAAGGGTTATAAGGTCTTTTAAACTCTTTTATTATCTATTTACTTATTAATAATATATAGCTTTTAAAAGAATATTTATTTCTAAATTTAGCTTTAAGAAAATATATTATATTAAATTATTTATTATTTTAATTATAATTTAACTTTATACTTTTATTTTTTTATTATAATACTTTTAAGACTATATATATATTAAATATATACTATACCTATATAAAGTATACTTATTATATAACCTTTATTAAAAAAGTA